CTGATGAAGAAAAGATGGACCGGTGCAAGTGGTATTTAGAAGATGATTCATGATATATTACCGCAATGATAATTTGTATTTCTTTTTTGGTTAACTATCCTTATCAAATGATTTTATATCAATTTGTATGGGCTACATGCTTTCTGAGTCATCCTCTCCATTTAGGGCTGGGCACAGGTTGGGTAATGCAAAATAAAATGGAACCGCTGGTTCCATTATACAGGTCGGACCGGTATGGGTATTGCAATTTTCAAAATACGAACCAGACCTTACCCGGCTCGTTGGAAACGGGTCGGTCCGGTCCGAGTTTTTTGTTTCCTGTTTCTATGTTTTAAAAGTAGTAAAAATTTATGTAGTTTGAAAAATCAATAATATAGTGCATTGGCAAGTTTCAAAATAACTACATACTCAACAAGGTGCATAATTAACACGAGCGACAAGTCATAGTCCATAACTTCATATATCTAAGTTCCAAACAATCAAAGAAGTTCCAAAAATCAACAACATAGCCACTGTTAAGTTCCCAAATGACAACACCAAAGGTCCAAAATAACAACATAGTAAACCTTCAAGTCCCAAATGACAACACCAAAATAACAACATTACAATGGATATTCATTACTAGATTAGGGTTTGTACGGCCCGGATTTGTACGAGTATCGGGGTTGGACCGGGCTATCTGAGCGGGCTTCAGGACGGGACTGGGTAGGATCGGGCCAAACAATTCCAAGCTCGGCACCGCCTGCTTCTTCATTCGGGTCAGGCCAGCACAATAGCGGGTCGGGCCGGGTCCCGAGTCGGGCTAACCCGTTCCAGACTCCCAGTCCACCCCTATGCTTGAGTAGGCCATAAATCAACTCCATCAACATACTTTTCTTTGTTTTCTTCATTATCATCCGCATCTTCTTCTATCTCATCATCCTCCATCAAATCAATATCATGTTCACGTCGAATATAGTTTATGTAATAATGCACATGTCACTATTTTCCGACCCCTCGTATGTATAGAATACCATGAGGCACTCTGTAAGATGGCCCATCGATTTTTAAGTAATCTAAATCCACACTGTATCACATTCCTGTCTTATGAGTGCTTCATATTAAAATACTCATGTGCATTATGAGGGTATTGATTTTTTTCCATTTAGACAAGTGATACTCTTGTCCTCTATACGGTGCAAGAAATTCTTCACAAATTGCATACCATCCATCAATCAAATAATAGCATCCGATAATAACAAACAAGAATGAGTTACTACATTTATATTCGGCCACATAATTAGTATAAATAATAGAATTACATAAAAAAAAGTATGCACAAACTTTTATACCTTGTGGAAATAAGAACCTTTTCGTGAGGGCATCTCGCAAAACTCTATGGTGGTTGATCCCTCGCATCCAGGAAAAACATAGATGAATTGCATTTGTGGATTGCACACACCAGGTACATTTGATGATTTTTTGATGGTACATAAACATCAATATACCATAGTAGCTATATATTATTAATAAATATATACAAACATTATGGTAAGGGTCATCTAATGCGCCCTCACAATTATGCAACATTTTAGTAATAAATATTATACACATTTATCATTTGGTATCTATATATACAATGTTCAATATAATAACTAAGATAATCACCTAAAATATTTACCATCGATCACCATTGCATTCCATCAAAATTAGTTGGGGTTTGGGAATACAAAATCGAATGCAGTTGTAGCACTGCATGTATTACGATAGCAAAGCATTTACTGATTATTCTCCCGCATCTTTGAAATTGAATTATTAATGTTCTATTTTCCGATGGGATAATACAAGTAGAAAAATAGCTACTTGTTCTTCTACCATCATATGCCTGGTTGGTCTCAACCCACCATTTATAATCAACATATGGCACAACTTGAAAATAGCAGCACAACTCATTCGCAATTGGGAAATGCAGTTTTCTTTAGGCCCGTGTACTAATCTTCTAAAATGTTCACCCCTCTTGGAATAATTATCTACTATATAATGAATACTTTGTGTTCGTCTACCCCTGGTAGATAATGTAACAAGCATCCAAAATATGATTTCATAAACCATGTTTGAGCATTAAACCACCAATTTATGGACTTTCTTCTTGCATTACTTTTTGTATTTAAACACTATGTTATAGTTGTTTGGTGTTTCAATTGCTTCCATTCTATAAACATAAGATAAGTGTAGTTAAACACGAAATAAAGACAAATCATGTATGTTCCAGTGTTCAACAATAGTAAAGAACAGTATGAAAAATAAAAATCCCCAATGATCAAACTGTCATAATCAACATGTGTGTGTACTTAATAAAACTCGTTTTTAATATGAATATTAAATAATATTCATACGAATATTATTATGAATAATAATATTTATTTTAAATATATATATATATATATATATATATATATATATATATATATATATATAGGGAGCGGATCAACTGAGAAGTGCCCTTAGGCTAAGAAGCTGAGAAGTCTAACTTATAAGCAAAAAACACGAACTTTTAACCAAAAAATCATAACTTATAGACCCCCTCAAAAACACAAACTTTCTGCAAAAAAAAAATCCAGGTTTCTGGAGTTATTTTGATGCGGTGGCATTTTCGTAATTTTTTTGGAGGGGGTCTATAAGTTATGATTTATTGGTTAAAAGTTCGTGTTTTGAGCTTATAAGTTAGACTTCTCAGCTTCTCAACCTAAGGAGGACTTCTCACATGATCTTTTCTCTATATATATATCTAGTGATAGATTATACAAATCAATAGATCAATAAGAATAATGATATAACTAAAATATTAGTGCAAACATTTATATGACTAAGTATATGATAACATGCATATCAAATAATATGAATATTAACTAATATGACTATTGAATAATATCAATAGAAAAAGAATCCTTTTAATCAGTGTTCTCAGTTCTATTCTTTCCCAGTGTTGTTTAGAAATATAATTTTTTGTGGCAGATGTCGCCTATCCGATGTATATTTCTCGCCATCTTCGGTCACGTTTTTTTGTGTGCTAATAAGAGGTTTATACTGATCTTTTCATCAATCATTAGCCTGATTTTCTTCTGCACCAATATTGAGGCGGATCGACCCCTCCTAAAATAATGCCATTCCAACGTTCCAAGAAGATGAGATAATGAATTGCTTTCTTTCCGTTGACCGGTGAAACTAGAACAAATTCCACACTGCCTCCTTACTGATAGCTGGGAAAACCGGGAAACGTAATAATTCTTTTGACACTTATTGTGGTAGTAGCAGGATCAATCAATCTGAAGGCCAGGTAGTCTACATATTTGCGAGATTTACGATATGCCTTATGTAATACTTGAGATTTAATTTAAATGGATTAATAGTACTACTCATACCAATAAGGTGCATCTCCTTTTAAGGAAGCTCATTAGCCAAGAACTCCAAAGTTAAGCGTGCTTGCACGGGAGTAGTCTTGGGATGGGTGACCCCCTGAGAAGTTTCTCAGGGCGCGCACGAGTGAGGACAAAGTGCGCGGAAAAGGCTAGTGGCGGTTTGTGAGGACAATACTAGAGGCCCGAAGTAACTACCTCGGGGCCTACGGGGCCGGGGTGTTACACCTTATCTTATTTTAGCCTTGAGTTATATGATTTTAATTGTTCTCGTTTTCTTTATCAATAATCATTAAGTTATTTCCTTTCAAAAAATTATGTCAATATACTACTCTCAATTGGAGTATAAGAGAGAACTATTGTAGATTGTAGGATTTGTATAGGAAAATGAGATAATTAAAAGATAATTGAAGTGTGAAAATATATTTTAAATATAATTTTTTAATAAATTATCAAAATCAGCCAATTGAGTCATTTCAGTTATAACTTTATAAATTTCTGCAAAATCAGCCGATTCATCCAATTTCAGTGTTATCAAACGAGTTCTAAATTTGTTCGAGAATATGGTGAAAAAATAGAGAGTGTTTATGATTTTTTCTACATTAAAAAATTGAATTTTTAAAGTAACTTTAGAGAAAATGCTTACTAATATTTCGTAAAACTTAGTAGTATTTGAGAAAAGTGAATTCCAAAAAGTAAAAGTTGGTAGGGTTCGTCTCTTGGTAAAAAAAAGTTCTTTTTGTACAATAAAAAATTGAAAAACATTTAAAACATCCATCCACTAACTTTTGGTTTTGAACTTTCAAGTGCTTAATTTAAGCAAAATTTTCATATATATGAAAATTCTAATTTCAGTTTGTTTAAAACAAATGGCTGAAAAACATTTATTTTTAATTTCAAGTGCTTAGTTTGTTTCAAATTGATTTACAAAGTCAATTTTTTTGTCAAACACTTTCATTTTATTTATGCACTTAATTAGGATATCAATTTTTAAGTATATTCTAATGTAGATATTGCAACTTTATAGAGATTTTAATATAGTTTCTAAATATGTATATCTTAATTATTAAAATTGAATTAATTATCAATACGAAGGGTTTAACTTTAACATTGATTCTTTAAAAAAATTACATTGGTTGACGAAAAATATTGACTTTGCGAATCAATTTGAGACACAAAGAGTAGTTTTTAATATTCCTTTATCTCAATTTCAGTTTCTTGCTTTCCTTGTTTTGAACATCTTAGCTAAAGATTGTGGTTTCTATTTTATAAAATAATTAACACTTTAAATGAGAATTTAATTATCAAATATTGAACATAATATATCTATAACATCACAATTATTATCGATGTCCTCGTTGTATTATATACTTAAAAGAATTATATCTCAAAATATATTTGAATTACTTTATTGACTTATTGTATTAATAATTATGTCATTTTTTAACGAGATCTTTAAGAGGTAATGTATTTTAAATCTTGGGGAAATACTAACTGATTGCATTGAATAAAATATAGGGATTACAACTTACCATTGCAAAAAAAACATGTCGAAAAATAAAATAGAAAAACAAACAATCCGTGAAACTTGAAACAAAAACTATCTAATTGTTGTCACATCCTGTAGTCTCTTTTATTTCATTTTTGATAAACAGAATACAGGATCCTATGAAAAGCCAAAGGTGATGGTAATATCCTTCTCCTCCTTCAACATTATTTCCGTGTGTGATTGAAGAACAACTAAGGCATGTATGTTTAATATTAAATTCGTCTTTAATTCTTCAATTTGTTATAAACATTCTTATATCTTATTGAGATTCTAAATCTTTCAGGAAAGTGCGATTGTCTTATTGCCATAATTAAGCTGATTACTCGCGGTTTATTCAAATACGAAGGAGGAGATTCAGGATTCATCATCACTATTTTCATCGGAAATTCAATCAAACCTGTATTTCTGTTTTAGCATTCAGGTGTAATATATATTGCACGTATCTGAGTGTATATTTTAACATCAAATAAATATCTGCACACACGGGGTAATAATTTCCTCTGGTGATCCCTTTTATTCTTTAGTTTCAAGACCGTAATTTATCTTCTTTTTGGTCATAAAGATCGGTTTTGTTTCTATTTCTGTTTAAAAAAAAAGAGACAAGCAGTATCAAGATTTCATTTTTCTGTTTCTTCGTTATATGGTCCTTTTAATTTTCTTTCCCTTTCTTGGAAATCTTGAATCAAAATCCAAGACGTGTTGAGCTGTTACCCTTACATTCTTTCTCTCCCCCCCATCTCTTTCTCTCATGCGTGTGTAAATTAGAGAGAACTTTTGGGAGCTTTAATTGAGCTCGTCATCATCCTGTGGTACTTCTATGGAGTCCCAATAGTGTTGGGCTTTCTGGGTATTCGCATTGTGATTATATTTTAGCCTGGAAGTGAAAGACTACCGGAAAGATTCAATCTTGAAAGAATTTTTGTTTGGATAAGCTCTGCAATGGCCCCCTCGTTTGGTTGGTGGGCTAAAGAAAGCCGTAGAGGCACCCCCGTGGTGGTGAAAATGGAGAACCCAAACAACTGGTCAATGGTGGAGCTGGAATCTCCGTCGGAGGACGATTTTCTAATGGCGCCGACAAACCCCCGCCGGGAGAAGGTACGCCACAAGAATGCCAAACAGTTAACATGGGTTCTCCTTCTGAAGGCGCACAAGGCTGCCGGCTGCTTGACATCAATTGCCACCGCATTAGTCAGCCTTGCTTCAGTCGTCCGCCGCCGCGTTTCTTCCGGGAGAACAGACTTCGCCGATACCAGCGCGGCGGAGAACCCGAATGTCAAGACTCGGTTCTACAACTGCATAAAGGTCTTCCTTTGGCTATCTTTAGTCATGTTAGGGGTTGAGATTGCTGCATATTACAAGGGGTGGCATTTGAGAGCCGTAGATCTTCAATTTGAGTATCTATACACTTTGACTGATCCTTTAGCGGTTAAGGGCGTGTTTGATTGGCTATATTACACGTGGGTTTTTGTTAGGGTGGAATATATTGCCCCCCCTCTCCAATTCATGGCCAATGTCTGCGTTATCCTCTTTATAATCCAGAGTCTAGACAGGCTTGTCCTCTGTTTAGGTTGTTTCTGGATTCGTCTAAGGAAGATAAAACCAATTTCCAAACATGGAACATCAGATCTTGAAACTGGTTACTTCCCCATGGTTCTTGTACAGATTCCAATGTGCAATGAAAGAGAGGTTAGTGATTGTTCTTTCTGATCTTTAAGATGTTACTTAAAAAAGAGAGATTCACTAAATAGACTAAAAGAAAGGACATGTTTCAGGACTACTATTGTTTCATTCCCAAAATAGGACTGATTTACTCCTATTTTGAGAAGTTTTAATCAACTTATTTTTTTTAACAAGACTAAACAATTATGGAAGAAAGCATACTTGGTCGTATTTTAGAACTTTTCTATCTTTTAGTCCTATATTGAGCAATTTAATAAAATTAATGTTTTTTTTGATATATTTCTTTTCTGTTATTGCTAGGTTTATCAACAATCTATAGCTGCAGTGTGTAACTTAGATTGGCCTAAAGAAAAGATATTGATTCAAGTTCTTGATGACTCTGATGATCCAATTACCCAATCTTTAATTAAAGAAGAGGTTTATAAATGGCAGAAAGAAGGCATCAACATTTTGTACAGGCATAGAGTGATTAGGGAGGGATATAAAGCTGGCAATCTTAAGTCTGCTATGACTTGCAGCTATGTAAAAGACTACGAATTTGTTGCCATCTTCGATGCTGATTTCCAGCCTATGCCTGATTTCCTTAAACAAACAGTTCACTATTTCAAGGTATTCATTTCCCATAACTCAGATGTGTGTTTAAGGCCCTGTTTGATGGAGCATTAATTGGCTTATTCCTCATATCTGGCCTAATTTGGTTAAAATCAATTTTAACTAACGCTTTTCTTTTAAGAGAATTCAGCAGTGCAGGCAGGCCCTTTGAACCAATTTAATCTTGCCAAACGAGGCCTATACATTTCAACTGTGCCTTATACTCTGTACATTGAAAATATTCCACTTCTGATTCTAAGTCATTTTCACATTGAGCCCATCATTATTTTTTTCTTTAAGCGCACCATGATTAGTTTCATGTCATTTTCAGTCCTTGATGACACATCCGTGAAATAACAACCAGAAATTGTACATAAATTGGCTGGTTAGCTGTCAAAATGACCAGAAAAATAAGAGTAAAGACTGAAAGTGAAAATGACCTAACAGTCAAGGGATCAAAAATAGAATGTTTTCTTGTTTGCATTCTCATTCATTTAAGAGTCAGTTAACAATTGACTAAGTTGTTATTTGTTAAGTTATTGAACCATCTGATCTAAAAGCTTAAATTGTTAGACCGATATTAGTCTTCAACAGCTATTCGCCTTTGCTGTGATATGTAGGATAATGAGAAACTGGGATTGGTCCAGGCGAGATGGTCGTTTGTGAATAAGGATGAAAACCTACTAACGAGATTACAACTTATTAATTTAGCATTCCATTTTGAAGTGGAGCAGCAAGTGAATGGGATTTTCCTGAATTTCTTTGGGTTTAATGGGACGGCGGGAGTGTGGAGGATAAAAACTTTGGAGGATTCGGGTGGGTGGTTGGAACGGACAACTGTCGAGGATATGGATATTGCTGTCCGGGCACACTTGCACGGATGGGAGTTCATCTTTCTCAATGACGTTGAGGTTTTTTTCTGCCAATATGCACTGTTTCATTTTACCATTTGTTTGTGCCAGTAACTGTTTTTTTTTTAATTTTCAGTGCCAATGTGAGTTGCCAGAATCATATGAGGCTTACAGGAAGCAACAACATAGATGGCATTCTGGACCAATGCAACTATTCCGTCTCTGTTTGCCTGACATTATTAAAGCAAAGGTACTTACATTATGTATGCATTTGCTGAAATTGTATCTGATTTTTTAAAGAATTAATTGAAGAAAACACTGCTTCATCTATCCCAATAAAGAGTCATCATTGAGCAATATACATTTTTATTTTTGCAATACACGAGTTTACAGCTGTCAGATCTCGTTCGATCTTACATTAACTCTTATATATTGGGTTAACTATTTAACGAAATGTATTATTTACATGTTTTAAACCTTCTTTTTATGACAAGTTGCATGAAAATCTAGCTCAGGTTGCTAAAATATGAATTTTGTTGGGACAGAGAATTTTCTTTCATGCCAACCATTTCAGCCAAGAAAAACACTTCTTAGAAATTTTAAAGCAACATGTTATGCTTTATTAGAATAAAAATGATATTTTGAGATCATTATTGTTAAGATATTGAAGAGTTAAAATTATATTTCTCAATAAAAGCTCTAATTATATTTCCATCATTTGCAATGGAGCCAAAGATTCATTATTTTTTGGCTTGAGATTATGATGAAATAAAGCAAAATGACTCACTAAACTGTCTGCGCTTCTTTGTTATGAAGCGGCAGTCAGTCCATGCAATTTTGGACGCGATTTTCACTATGGGTCATCTGGAAACAGTCTCTCTGTGTTTTAGTATAGGGGTACTGGGGTAAATGAAAATGAATAAAAGCTCTAATTTGCTAGTTTTTAGCCAACTACTTAATTGGACAAGTGCATTTAATAAGGCATCCCAAAAGGGAAATAGTACTGGGTAGAAAACAATACTTCTACCAAACAGATTACAAGTTTGGTGATCTTGTTGTGATGAACCTGTACACTTTATGATTGCAGATCAGCTTTTGGAAGAAATTCAATTTAATCTTCCTCTTCTTCCTTCTGAGGAAGTTGATCCTACCATTCTATTCATTCACCCTCTTCTGTGTCATCCTCCCCATGACAATGTTCATCCCAGAGGCCACCCTCCCCGCATGGATCGTCTGTTACATTCCGGCTACCGTTTCGTTCCTCAACATACTCCCCTCCCCAAAGTCATTCCCCTTCATCATACCCTACCTCTTATTTGAGAACACGATGTCGGTGACAAAGTTCAATGCCATGGTTTCCGGACTTTTCCAGCTCGGCAGCGCTTATGAGTGGGTCGTGACAAAGAAACTCGGCCGTTCTTCCGAAACCGACCTTGCGTCATTGGTTGAAGAAGAGAAACCTAAACAACACCTAAGAGGCACGTCGGTCCCAGATTTGGTGGAGTTGAGGGAGGAGGTTATTGGGATGGAGGTGGTAGCAGGAAAGGGAAAGAGACACAACCGGATATACACGAAAGAGTTGGCCCTTGCTTTCCTTCTCCTGACCGCTTCGGTTAGGAGTTTGCTTTCAGCTCAAGGCATACATTTCTACTTCCTGCTGTTTCAAGGGATATCGTTCTTGCTGGTTGGGCTCGACTTGATTGGTGAGCAGGTCATTTGAAGAGGAAAGTCTTAACACTGTAACATTGAAGCCAGCCGATGAGGTAAGGGGTGGGTTGGTATGCATTGGCCACTCCTAGAACTGAGGCCGGGGTGGGACTTGAAAGAGGAGAGTCCAAGTATGCAATATTTCTGCCTGGAAGAGGAAATTGATCAAACAAAGAAAGCATTACTGAATGGTGGCAATATTTGTTCATTATTAGTATGTTATATATTTCCCACGCAGCAGTATCTATCTAGAAAGGATTTTTTTATTTTATTTCTTTCCTTGGATATTATATAGGGAGAAAAGTATATTCTTTTGTAAGAACAATCTGTCTAGTTGACATTCACACATGATATTTTTGTTACAGCTGATATAAAAGGAGAAAAGATGCATGGTAAAATTTGTATGTTGTTTCCTTATGCATGGTATGTTGTCTTGATGTTTTTGTGACAGGGAAGGAGGACATGCCCTGCAATCACGGAATCACCCATATCTTGTTAAGACCCCATTTCAACACTAAAATTGAATGAATTTGTTAAATTTAGGTGTAGATAACCCGTGACTAGATTTGAATCGGCTTTTGGTTACCGGTGTTGGATTTGAGCATATCAAATTCAATGGACAAACAAAAAGGATTTGAAGTTCATATTATAACTTGTGGGTCGGGTATGTAAACGTAATGAGTCCGGATAACTATAAATGAGGTGTCAGGTAACTGTAATTGACGGATCGAATAACAACTGAACGGGTGAATGTTGATAACCGGGTCACTGGATGGTTGGACGTTGGTCATTAGATGGGTAAACGGGCATGTAATTGTGTTTTTAGTCATTGTGTCATTTAGTCACTTGGCGTTTGGGTGAAAATCACTATGTCAATTGGTTACTGGACATAAGTAACTATGTCAATTGGTCATTGGGCGATAGTTAGTATAGGATTGATCACTATAGCGGGTCAATTGGTTTAGTAAGGATTAAATGATCTCTTTACCGATTACCAAACCGAATTTTTTTCAGTTTTAACCGAACCAAACCGATTTAGTTCGGTTCGGTATTCGGTACGGAAATATACAAAACTGAAATTTCGGTAAATCGAAATTTCGGTTCGGTTCGGTTCGGTGTTACTGAATGAACACCCCTGCTAGTTTACCTCTTTTTAGTTACATTTTTGAAATTAAAAAGAAAGATCACTTTTTTGTCCATTCTCTACTTTTTAGTAATATAATGGCAAAAACTCATATGATTACATGATCGAAAACTTACATGAAGGGTTTTGAAAACGTATAGGTAGGAATGCATTAGTCTCGTTTCGAACCAGTTCTGATTCCCTAACTGGCTAGCCCTTGAGAAATATTTATACTACATAAATAGTACAAGGACCTTTAATCTCGATTTAGGGTCAGCTCCATTCAATCGGCTGAGTTCAATTTCTGGTCCAATACTCCAATCTCATGTTTAACTTTTATTTTAATTTTTAAAATCATCACCGCTTCTCACCCATCTTCAAGTCTTGCATCTCAATGGATATAAAACAAATCAAATGAGATCGGATCAGGACTGAACTAGCTAGTTCAAGTCACTAGCTTGGGTCACTCGAGACAAGGTCCTTCACCTACCCTTGATATGGTTCTGGTCAGGAATCACCGGACACATTTGACATATATAACGTATTTAATGATTATCGTGTTAATTAGTGGGGTTTTGTCCTTAATATTACTAATATATGGGTGATTGCCAAAAATGTGACCTTTTATTTAATTTTCCAAAAAAGTGACTGAAATTAACGGTGCTACAGTGACGGTGCTACAGTGACGGTGCTACAGTGACATTTGCAGTGACATTATTTGCAGTGATACCACTAAAACAATTTTACAGTGACAACATCATAGTGACTTCATTTGACGGGGTCTACCGCCCGTTCATCGGCCACAGTGACACCATCACCATTGACCCCGCCACCGGTGACACCACCGTAGTGACATGACCGTCATCGGTGACGTCGCCACAGTGACAAAATGATTGCGGCCACAGTCATGCTGCCGCCACCGCCGAACACAAACACCAGCCACCAGCTACCATCCCCACACCCAACCGCCAGTCCGCAACCCTAGCCCGAACCGTCACCACCGCACCACCTTACCTGCCTATCGAACAGCCACCCCAACAACCAGAACGTAACCCCATACCCCTCCTCACCCAACCTAACCTGCCCCACCCAACACCGCCCCTGCGTCAACCTCTGCCACCACCACGCTCCATCCCCACGCCTTAGCCCCCAACCCCTCCCCAGCTCCACCTACCTCCCCCAGCCCCCTCCTCAGCCCCGAGCCACCTCCCCATCCCCCATGACCCCTCCTCATCCCCCACCCGACCACCAGCTTCCCCACCCATCTCCCTGACCCGTCTCATCTCCCCAGCCCCACAACACCCCCACAGCCCTGCCCAGCAACGACACACCCTAGCCGTCCCAAACACGCCGCACCACAACACCACCCCAAAAATGCCGCAACAAAGCCACACCAAAAATGCCGCATCACATGCCCTCAAGCATCGCCTACCTTTCATCTTTGTCCCTGTGGAACTCTTGGATCTCAGATCTGGTTATCGACGAAGAAGATGGCGGTTTGGACTGTCGAAGAAGATGGCGGTTTGGACCGTCGAAGAAGATGGGGGCTTGGACCGCCGAAGAAGATGGCGCCATGGCCGTGCGAGGAGAGAAGCCTTAGGACTTCCGACGAGGTGCAACAGAGAGGAAGACCGGCGAAGAGAGAAGCGTTCAGACCCCGTGCGGAAGGAAGATTGACTGCTAAATGTTGCTCCATGCGTGGGAAGAGAGATCGATGGAAGAAGCTTCTAGGGAGATGTCTTGGACGGAAGAGAGAAGGTCGAGCTGTTTTGACGGGAAGGAGAAAGGGAGCTGTTTTGACGGGAAGGAGAAACGGGAGGGTAAGTTTTGTGTCAATTCTAAAAAGAGTCATATTTTTGTCCAATGAAAGTTGGGGAGTAATATCTATGTCATTCTTTCTTAATTGATTTATTTGGCAAATGATACCACATTTGACACAAGTTAATTTCCATGTCACATACTCTTTTTGACTGTCATGTGAGATTAATCTTGACAAGTGACACATTACTTGTGTATGACTGTGCTGATTAATTTTACTTGGTGAGTTCTGTTGTGCTCATTTTAAATTGCCTTATCAATGCAAATCCCTAATAGACATTATACATTTATAGTCATTTTATGTACAACATAAAACTCATTTTGATATTTCATACACGCAATATATATACATTCAAATCTTAATTAGTACTCTCTCCGCTTCGAAAATGTTTTCCAAATTGACTTTTCTTGGTCAATCACAATCAACTTTGACCAACTATATTTTTTAATACGAAATTATTTAGAATATGAAAATTATATCAACATGTTCCTTATTCAAAATATTTTCATAAAAGTATAAAATTTATAAATAATTATATACAAATATAATAATTAAAATCATTATTCAAAGTTTGTCATCGTTGACCAAGAAAAGTCAATATATCGAAACTTTTCCGTAAAAGAGTTTGCAATCACATCAACTTTATTGTGCTCATCTATAATGTTACTAATTCACAAATATGTAAGCAATTATACTAAAAAATCATAATTAAAATTTTTTGATCATCAAAATGAAAATTTTATTAAATCAATAAATTATTTGCCAGGTGGCCAACAATACAATCTGGAATACAATCATACTCAACGCCATGATCTGAGATGGTTACATATGATTGTGTCAGGGCATGAGCCACATGATTCGCAGATCTTCTACAAAATGAGATAAAGAAATTACTCCTTGTTTCCAAAATTCTCCTAATGTCATCAATAATCAAATGAATGTAAGCTCCTCCTTCCACCTTCCCCTTCAGGCTCTGAACCACACTAAGTGCATCCGTCTCGAATTCCACTTTCTGCCAACCCGCTTCTAAAGCGCCCATTAGCGCATCTCTTAACCTCATAGCTTATGTTTCTTCGGGAGACCACTCAGTCTTGGTAGAAGAGGCTCGAGCCCGAATAAAAGTTCCATTCCCATTCCTTGCCACCCACCCCCAAGCATGAACCTCCCCACCTTGATTAACAGCACTATCCACATTTACTTTCAAGAAATCCGGTTTCAGCTTCTTCCACTTCGTTTCATCCTCCCTGAACGAACCCTCCCTTGTTCTAGGTGCAGCTGTCTTCCGGACATCCCGCCATGCTCCCATCATACTAGCCGCCATTCGAATTATCCATGCAGCCTCGATATCTTCACCCTTCCACACCACATTGTTCCGCCACTTCCAGATGCTCCAAATAAGGGCCTGTAGGAATCCCAGCCCTCTGTCACACTTGCAAAAATAATAATTTATACATACTCATTTTTAATATTATACCATTACTCAATTTTTTAAATGTAAACTCATTTAAATATTATATAAAACTCATTTTCATAAATCATACATTTATTATATTAATTATAAATTAAAGTAATATAATTAGTTCGTTTATTCAGCCACGGCTTTGCCAATACAAAACAATCTTATTAAGAAAGTAATATACAATTCCTCATTTATAATTTTATGCCAATGGACACTCTTAAGCAGTATACTCATTAGTCATAATCGCTACTACCTCCATCCCCAAAAGATTGATACATTTTGACTTTTCTTGGTTAATGGTGGTAAAGTTTAGACAATGATTTTAGGTATTATATTTGTTTGTAATTTATAATTTTTATACTTTTATGTAAGATTTTTTAATAAAGATTATGTTCATATAATTTTCATATTTTAAAGAGAAAATGGTCAAATAAGGTCTTCTACTATTATGAAATAGTCACATAAGACCATGTAGTCAATAAAGTGTCATATAAGTACCTCTACTTGTAAAAAGCAATCAAATGAGTCCTAATGATCTATTTAACACCTCTTAATTTCGATTTCAACGTACTTCTGACCATCTTTTTAGAATACACTATACGGCATATGTCGAATATTTAACTAAGATTGGTTGAAATACAAGTAAAAAAAATCGACATGTAAGCTAAAATCAGGATTAGGATGTGTTAAATAAGCCGTTAGGACTCATTTGATGTACTGATATGACACTTTAATTTATTGAGTATATGACCTTATGTGACTATTTCATAATAGTAGAAGGCCTTATTTGACTTTTTTCTCTATTTTAAATAATTTTGTATTAAAAGATATCATTGGTCAAACTTAACCATCATTGACCAAGAAAAGTCAAAATGTATCAATCTTTTTTTGGGACGGAGGGAGTATATGTTCATTTCAAAAATTTGGTTACTCGTTTTATTCATTTGTGCAAAAAGTTATACTCACTTTAGTTGTTAATTAATAGATATTAGCTAGATATCTTGTGAACGGAATGTATCACTGTGACAGTTTCAAATAGGAGGTCATATGTTTGAATACCATTCCGGTTCAAAGATGTTGACCACTTAGACCTTAATATAAAAACAGATACTACGGCATGTTAGAAAGCTTTGTCAAAAGAAAATTAATCTATATAAGAAAACAATTGAAATTTTCAATCTAAAAAAGAAGAAAAAAGAAGTACTTCGGATTAAAACCAGAATTGCCGGCCTAAGAACCGAAGCTATTCCATTAGGGCTCGTTCGGTATAGTTTTGAGTTTTCTATTTTTGGTTTTCAAAAAACAAAAAACTGTTTTTAGTTGTCTATTCTCAGTTTTTTGAAATCGTTTTGTTTTAGTGCTAATTCATTTTCAATTTTGTCATTCCATGTGGTGGTCCAGTGGTGGTCCGGTGGTGGTCGGTGGTGGTCGGTGGTGGTCCGGTGGTGGTCCAGTGGTGGCTGGTGGTGGTCCGGTGGTGGTCGGTGGTGGTCAGGTGGTGGTTCGGTGGTGGCTGGTGGTGGCCAGTGGTGGTCCAGTGGTGGACGATGGTGGTCCGGTGGTGGCCGGTGGTGGTCCGGTGGTGGCCGGTTGTGTCCTGGTAGTTGGGTATTGAACATAAATGATAACAAATTTATAGAAACTATGTTTTGTTGATTTCAGAATTATGTTTTCGTTTTCTAAAAACACTTGCAAAGATTATGATTTTGGAAACAAAAACAACTTTTTACCAAACGTGTTTCTGTTTTTTTTTCTAAGAAAAAAACAGAAACCGAAAAACAGAAACGTTACCGAACGCATCCTTAGGATCCGGTTTCCTGAAATTTTGAACCGGAAACAGAAGTTGGGGTTTGAAACTGGTGAAAACACTACTAGGGTGTAATTCGGGTAGCCTATAAATATAGGCCAGAGCCCCTCTCTGTTTTTCTTTAACTTTACTAAATGCCAAGAAAAACGATAGTCAGTGAGAAGAAATGGTTAAGAAAGTTGTGGTACTGGTTGCCTTCTTTTTACATCTTTGTTCCAAGCTATTTGTTAGAGGTGGCGCTGCAGGCTCTCCGGTGAAGTTTCTGCCTGGGTTCGACGGCCCGCTGCCCTTCGAGCTTGAAACCGGGTCTGCTCACATCTTCCTTTACTTTCTTCACCTTTGATTCTTTCCCCAGTTTACTGATAATTAATTATTCATCAACTGTTTTTTTTCAAGAATCTAGCTAGTTTAGAGTACCTGTTCTTCTTTTACGCTTATATTTTGCAGAAGGGGAGCTATGTATTGTTATTGGAAAACTACTTAAACAACATAATTTATTTTATGTTTTCTGGAATGACAACTATATTAAACATATAAATTAAAAGCCCAAAAAACTTTTAGAAAAAATAACAATATGAATCTCGGCCGGCTTGGGTATGTTGGCCAGGCTCTCAAATGATACGCCCTCCTTCCATTAACAACTTTACCAAATTTGAACGGCAAGAGAATTAATAAAGTAAAAATCGTGTGGTTGAAGTTTGTATAGAGGAGAGAGAATTAATTGAAACCACAAATTCTTTACGGGAAAGTGACAAAGTTAGTGGGACATCTAAGTGATTCATTTTTCTTTCGTGTATCAGGTTAATAAGAAGCCCACATAAAAAAATAAAGAGAAAAGGTGCAAATAAGCTCGCGAACTAATCGAAAAAGTGCAAATCACCCCTAACCCATTTTATATGAGGTTTTGTCTGGCCATCGTCATTTTGTACGGTTATCGGTGAAATTTTTTGATAATATTTTTGAGCATCTTTTTCATTAAGTTTAGTTTAACGACACCAAATTTCAGCTAAAAATTTAACCGGGAAGACAGTCAAATGATTTTCTGAAACATACTGCGTTGTTTAACTGCGCAGTTATTTTCAAACATTTATTTGACTGCCTTCACGATTGAATATTTAGGTGAAATTTTGGTTGAGTAACTAAACTTAATGAAGAAGATACTCAAAAAATTTCATTAAAAAATTCTAGCGAAAACGGCCTCACAGACGGACAGAGCATCTCATTTGCATTTTTTCAATTAGTTGGACCGCTTATTTGTCCTTTTACCCAAAACAAAAATGTACCACCAATTATGTCGCTTACTTATGTCGGCTTCTTATAAATGATACCGATAGTATTACCGATTCACTGTTCAGCAATTATATGATGAGAAATTGAGAATCGGAGTGTGTTGGTGATGTTCTGAAAATAATGCCGAGTCTATGACTAGTATTAATAATTCTTGTTGTTTTCCTTCAAAATTACTCCCTCCGTCCCATATTTAACTTCGGTTTTGACCGGGCACGAGTTTTAAGATAGTGGGATTTGTGTGGTGGAGAGTTATGCAGAGGAGATAGAAATGTGTAAGAATGGTTGTGAACCACATGTTCTTTACCAAAAAGGGAAAAAGAAGATAAATTTGGGACGGACCGAAAAGGAAAGAATGAAGATAATTCCGGGACGGAGGGAGTAATAATAGCCCAAGCTTCGCTCACCCCAACAAATGGTGGGCGTACCCGGTTTCTTTCAAAATTGAACAAATTTGTCCTCTTACTTTTGTTATACGGAGCATTAATTACAAATAATTAGTTAATTATTATTACTAGTACTCGATATCAATTTAGTTGTTTGGTGGCAACATTAGTTAAACAAACACACACTACCAAATCTGTATGCAATATTTTTGTAGCAAACACTTATTATTTTTACAAAATATTACTCCCTCCGTCCCATAAAATTCTTCCCACTTTTCTTATTGGGTCGTCTCAAAAAATTCTTTCCACTTATCATTTTTAGACAATTTGTGTGGTTCACATTCATTTCACATTTTTCTTACACAACTACAATCATACATTTCCACTTTCTTAATCTCTGTGTCAAGTCAAAGTGGGAAGAATTTTATGGGACAGAGGTAGGTAGTATAAGTTATTCATTTTTCTTCCAATGTTTACAAAAAATAGACCAAATTAAACATTTTTCATAATCTTATGTTGGCCCAATGTGTTGGCCCTATGTTTCCAAAATTTTGTGTAACATGTTTCCAAATACACTTAAATGTTTTCAAATAGTTCACAACATACACTTAAATTCCTAATGCAATCAAGATTACACTTTCTAACTACTATCGAACAACTACTATATAAATATTTGGAACCCATTATTAATGCTTCTATAATTTTTTTTAAAATCTTTTTATACAATGGAGGATGAATCTGAAAAATATCTAAAAAATAGTACTCTTGATTTTCACACTTATGGGATATTCATCATCCTCACTATCTGTATCTCAGTTCTTCTTTGTGATGTGATTCATTAAGTTTGCCGTATACAATATTCGTTAATATTTTGATTGCCATATATATATATATATATATATATATATATATATATATATATATATATATATATATATATATACACACTTTGGTATTCATCTTTATAATCATATAACTACGATACGACAGTATTTAGGATGTTTTTAATTGAGATGTTTTTTATCTCAAATTAAACCATATCAATTTTTGATAGTTGTTTAATACAGTTAGAAAAAACACCTGCACATAAACATACATCTAATAGTGCAGACCAGTTCAAATTAGATCAGACCAAACTTAAATAAAACAAATAATATACAGTAACATTATACCAGATTAGACTAGACCAATAAATTTTTATTCAATTGCAAACATCTTTGTTTGCATTATTATAATAAATTAATGTCACCCAATAATTAATTTTTGTCAAACTAATAAGTACACTTCAAATAGCAATTGTCTTTTTATAAATTAACGGCTACTATATATAATTTAGAATGTTAGTTAATTATATTTTTTATTTGAACTTGTATACTATATTTTTGATAATGTTTTTTTGATAATATAATTTTTAATAAGTATACTTCGTATTAGATTTTTTTGGAAATTCTATAATATATTATACTCCCTGCGTTTCTAAAACAAGTTCCCAATTGGTTTTCACGGTTACTAAGGAAAAAAAATTACTGAGGGTAACCTTTACTGTTTTGACACTGTTGGGGCACTATTTGGACACTGTTTGACACTGTTTTGCACTGTTTGAACACTGTTTGGCACTGTTTTGATGTAGTTAATTTGCCAAATAAGGAAAGAGGAACTTAATTTCGGAACTACCCAAAAAGAAAAAGGGGAACTTGTTTAAAAACGGAGGGAGTATATTTGAATAAGTAACATTTTTAATTCTAGTAAACTAATTACATTCGTTTTATATTTGTTGAACTAATTTCAGACATGGAGAGGCCCACCTTTTAAAACTACATCAGCACCATGTTGATTCCACATTACGATCATATATGTTACATGACTAGATTTATGATGTGAATGATATTAGTTAGTTTTTAATTGAACTGATTTTAAACCAGATAGATTCAAACAAATAGATTCAGATCAGACTAGACTAGATTTAAATAATAGTAAATATACATTTTTCGACCGTTCACGAGACTTGATTAGTTTTTTTTTTAAAAATTACATATATAATATTGGTGTCAAATGAAAGATCATAAAAAGATACTCCCTCCGTTCCTATTAAAACTTCCAACTTTCTTTTTTCGTCCGTTCCAATTAAAACTTCTACTTTCCTTTTTTAGTAAAGAATTTGTGGTTCACAACATTTCTTACACATTTCTCTCTCCTCTGCACAACTCTCCACCACACAATACCCACTATCTTAAATTGTGTGCCAAATCTATTTGGAAGATAAAATAGGAACGGAGGGAGTATTTAATTTGGTATTTTTTATAAAAATTGGAGCAAAAATGAAAAAGTTATGACATTTTATAAAAAAAGGGATTACTTGCCATATGACATCATTCTATTGGATGCATACTTTATGTAAAAATGATATGGAGGAGACGGCCACGGAGGTGGAGGTACGCAAAGAAATTTTTATTTATGTTTTAATTATAATTAATTTTAACTTTTAGTAGGCATGTCACTACATTACTTTTATAGAAAAAATGTCAATTTTGTGGAGATGTAATTTTAAACTTTATACGAAATTCTATAAAAAGATGGAAATGAGAGTAACAACGTTTTAGAATTTTAAAGAGAAAATTCCTAAATAAGGCTAAAACTAAATTAAGTCAAAAATTTGATTACCTTTGTTTTATTCCCAAAATACGACTCATTCACTCATTTTCTAGAAAGTTTTAATCAACTTATTCTCTTAATAAAACTAAATAAATCATATTTAAAGAATCAAATATACTATTTCTGCTTTGAACTTTGTATATATTTTAGTCCTACATTGAGCAGAGCAATTTTTTAATTTTAAAAAAGGACTATTATGTTTTTATTCGCTAAATAAGAATAATTACTGCTAAGTTTGAAAAATACTCTAACACTTAAAGTCTTGTAATATCGAAACATAACTGCAATTACTCATATTTACAGAAGAAAAATATGTAACAATCTTATTTTAAAATTCACAAACATTTATACTTCAACGAGTTATTGTAAATTCGTGAAAGTTTTCAGTCAATTATAATTAGTCACTTAGGCTTCGTTTATATATCGGCGTTTCAGTCCAAAATCGGCGTCTTTGACTGCATTCGCGTTTCGGAGGACTCAAACCTCTGTTTTTATTCTGTTTGGCAAATGGAGTTTAGCACCGGCGTTTGGGATGAAACTGACAAAATCAAAAACACTATTAGTCAGGATTTAATTAATTAATTTTAGCGGCTTCGGTTTAAGTTTTCATTAATGGTGATTTATTTGTTGTCCTATGGACTCGATTTATTGTTTCGGAGTTCTTTGACAAGTGGTTCAATGTTACCGAATGGAGGAGTTTTTTTGCTAAAAACAACCTGAGGTTTTGTTAAAATTGACAGAATGTGACTGGACATGTGATAATTCTATTTGTGTCGGTATCCACCCAAACATTTGTCCAAAAGGTCAATCTCCAACATTTGTCCCTACACCTTGACCCGAGAGAGCAAATGAGAAGTTAATTACAAAACATCATCTTTGTAATTAACTTTGGTCTATTTAGGATTCAGTCCTCACTTTGTTTGCAATTCGACCACTCTTTCACACTTCACCCCTTCTTTTCTTTCATTTTTCTTCTTTTATGGTATATTTATTTCCATTTTTTTGCTTCTTTCCCCCTTTTTTCTTCTTCTTCTATGGTATATATATTTCCAGATTTTTGCTTCTTCTCCCTTTCTCATTCATCCTGTTTTCCTTGATTTCTTCTTCAATTCCTCCTTTATCATTTCTTAATTACTTCGTTTTTATATGACAGAATTCAAATTGAAAAACAACACTATGTTTTTTCAGAGCAAATAACTTGGCAGCTATGTTAGGGTGGCTGATGCAACTGTGCAAGGGAAAAACCCCATACCTCTTTTGGAATTCGAAATTTGTAAGAAGAAAAGGCCACCTTTTCTAGTCATTTTATCAAACTCCCATTTTAAGAAAAGGGAATATAAAAGAGTTTTCACATACACTAGATTTTCATAAACCATTTTGAGAAAGAAAGTGAGACATTTATTTAGAAATGGATTGAATAATTTGCAAGATCTTTATTTTTTCAATAGATGTAGAATTGAATGGCCTGAAATATTGTTTAGTCCTTTAATAAGGAGTCCCTAGCAGTCCTTTGATGAACGCTATTTCTTCTCCCTTCGTTCTCATCTTGTTTCTCATAACAATTCCTTAGCAAAAACAATGGTCGCCAACTCACCATGGATAGGTTCTTTAAGCTCAACTGCCATTAATTACTTTTTAAGCTTTTCAACTCAAGAAGATCCAAGTCATTGGATCAGCTAACCTCAGGATTAGCAGTCATATTGGTTTTTTGGAAGTGATGGACTTTGAGTCTGGTTGAAGGATAGACGGTCGGAAAGGGATATTGTCTTTTTGTATTTGCCTGAATTCTGATTATTCATTATAAGCCAATTTCTTCTTAAAAAATACTAAAAAGATCCAATTTTAACTTCAAAGCACACCGGACGATCTAAGAGAATAGCTAGGTAAATGGGAGAGGGGATCTGCTTGAGCAACTATGTTTTGTCCAATAATTAGTCGTCCGTATATATGGATATAAAACATCAAGAAATTAAAACTGGATCACAATTCTGAAGCTTTATTTTGTTCTTGTAGCTTCGGTTCATTTTTGTAAATTTTTTCACGTTTTTCAGTATTTTTTTAAATCCGCCTTAAAAAATTGCTGGAAAAAAAATCGGTCATCAAAGTGACATCATGGGCATCTATAATCAGTGGCGGACCCAGAAAGTCGGAGTACCCTGTTATATCTCTAATCTTTAATTAATATAAAATTAATAAAAAAATAATAAAGATGCATAACACTTCAAAGTTAATGTACACCATCAAAACATTAAGATATTATTATAAAGCAAAAAATTACATATCAAAATTATTCAACAATTCTGTAGATGTACCCTCCTAGGCTTCATTTGTTGGAAATATTCTATAATGGAATCATCACTAATAGTACCAAAACCATCTCTCTCAACATATGTAACTAATTGTATAAAATTGAAAATAACATTTATAAATATATGAATTTATTAAATTAATCTAACATTAAAAAAGATATGCAAAGAAAAGCAGCAGAGTAAAAAAACCTAGGTGACAACGCGATTTTAAAAAAATCGATTTTTTATAAAAAAGCCGAGACTTGACCAGATTAAAAAAAAAATACATATATAATATTGGTGTCATATGAAAGACCATAAAAAAGTATTTCATTTGGTATAATTTTTATAAAAATTGGAGTAAAAATGAAAATGTTATGACATTTTATAAAAAAAGAATTACTTGCCTTATGTGACATGACATCATTTTATTAGATATAAATCGAATGTAAAATTGATATGGGGCAAGTCGTCTGAATAGAGCCGAGCGTGGAGGTGCGTAAACCAATTTTAATTTTAATTAATAATTAAGAAGGTCAAATTTGTCATGTCATGATTACGTAAAGCAATTCTAGGGTGCGCAAAGCAACATTTAATGGAATAAAAAAATACGTATGTTTTTTAATAGTAGTCACTCAAGAGTCATATATGAAAAAATTACTATGTTTTCTAATAGTAGTCAATAGTCATATATGAAAAAATACGTATGTTTTCTAATATGTATGTTCATGAGATTTGACCAGTTTTTTTTTTTTTAAAATTGCATGTATAATATTGGTGTCATATGAAAGATCATAAAAAGATATTTAATTTGGTATAATTTTTATAAAAAATTGGAGCAAAAATGAAAAAGTTATGACATTTTATAAAAAAAAGAAATTACTTGCCGCATGGCAACATTTTATACGATGTATATTTAATGTAAAATTGATGTGGAAAAGATGGAGCCGAACGTGGAACTGTGGAACGTGAAGCAACCCCCCATGGATCGATTCATGTTAGTCGATCCTACAATCCTTTGGGAATAAGGCTTGGATATTGTTGTTTGTTGTAGTTCCTTTTATGAAAAGAAATATGTGGTCCACAACATCTCCCTCTATTATATACTTAAATCTCAAGTACGGGTACATTTTTTTTTACCTTTTTAATAACTTTATTAATAATTGCAAAACAAAAATAAAATAAAAATCAGATTGTAAAACAAAAATAATTGTCAAACCAAAACAAGATACTTCCTCCGTCTCTTTTTAGTTGCAACGGTCAACATTTCACGTTTGTCAACGCACAATTTTGACTATCATTATATTTAATTATGTATTCGTAAAAATAAAATAAAAATCAGATTATAAAACTTAGTAATAAGACGAACTTAACAATATTTTTCAAAAAAATAATTCACTTACATTAATAAACAAAATGCAGTCAAAGTAAAGTACATGAATAGTGTATATATTCCAATGTTGCAATTAATGTGATACGGGAGGATAGCATAATATAATTGTAGTACTAATATATGAACTCCATCAGGTATTTGGGCGTAGGAGATTATGAAGACGTGCAACTCTTCTACTACTTCATCAAATCTGAGTCTAATCCCAAGACTGATCCCCTCTTACTTTGGCTTACTGGAGGACCTGGTTGCTCTGCCCTCTCTGGCCTTCTATTTGAGATCGGTACTAAATCTTCGATTTTGGCGTCTATTATACTCTACTTTGCATATCAAATAAAACATACTCCGTACATTGTTTAACTAGCTCTATAATTTAACTTTAAATCACATCCAATGTACATTGCTTTATACAAAGTATAAACTATGTATTTTCATATAAAAAAAGTACTTCGTCTAAACTACTTCGTATGTAAAGTCTTTTACCATTATGCCATACTCTACGTAAAGTATTTTACAAGGTACTAATAAAATTGTTAAATTAATATTGTTTTGTACTTTTACCTAGTGCATAGTAAAGTAGCCAACCAGGGGCGGAGCCAGAAAAATGTGTGAACGGGGTCGAAATTTAATTATATACAGTATCAAAATGATGGATAATTATTATACAATACTTGAGTTAAATGTTTCATATGTAGCTGAGATAAATGGTAGTTTAATGAGAATTTTTCGGTTAATGTGTTGATATATAGGTAATGTATCATAATGTTCACACAACTAATGACTGAATAAGTTGTTTTATTTTTAAATTTAAGAATATAATCAACGTCACATACCAAATTTTGCTTATTTCAAGTTAAGATGATGCTGATTTTCCAGAAGTCATAACTTTTTATATCAAATCAAAGGTATTTAAAAGCTCTAAAGTCTTGAACTTTCAACGGGGTCACGCGGCTGACCACCCTGACCCCCCCTTGGCTCCGCCCCTGTAGCCAACCCCAAATTTTGTAGAATTATTTAGGGGTGGGCAATAATACGAAATCAGCATGATACCGAACTGAACCGATATGATATCGAACCGAAAACTGGGGTTTGAAACGAATCTCAAATTTTTGGTCCCGAATCGGACCGTACTGGTTCTAAACAATGTCATGACCGGTTCTCATAAAATGAGAACAGCCACTGGACCGAATCGGACGAAGTATTTATAATTAATAAAATTTACATTTATACCATTACTTTGACTAGTGCCTTCACACTTTCAGCGTCTTTGCTAGTTTATAGGAAGCCTGAAACCGGATCGATGTAAGGTTTAATTATATTAGTACTACTATAGCTTATCTAAAATTTATTAATTATGTAATACTACATCATTTCTAAATTGATTTGCAAAATTAACTTTTCTTGGTTAAATAGTTTCATTTTATTCACTTAATGGGGATGTCAAATTTTAATTATATTTAATTTTGAGTTTGCAAGTTTGAAGACTTTTTAATTAGTTTTGAATATGTAAATTTTAATTGTTAAAAATTGAATTAATTATCAATGAAGAGGATTTAACTTTAACATTGGTTGACAAAAAAATAGTGATTTTGCATATCAATTTGGGACGAAGGGGGTATGAAAATTGATAAATTGTGTGGATTTTTGGAGGATGACTAAACTTTAATTTGCCTTAAACACTTGAAAAAAGTGGCATTGTTTGGTATTGTTATGACATGGTACCGTCCCGTTTGAAAATGGAACCGTACCGAAAGGGTTTAGGTCTAAGACCGAACCGAATGAACCATTTGAATAGTAACGGTACGGGTACGGGTTCGATCAAATATTGGACTGGACCGGACCGGACCGTGCCCACCCCTAGATATATCTATTTTGTATTATCGTATACAAAAAAATTTGTGCAACATTTTACATGAAAATGTTTTGTTTTTTTAGTTTTGACTGGTCTTCTCAATAATGTCCCCTGATTATGCCATTAATCTTAGACATCACTCTATATGGTAGTAACTAGTTAAATACGGATGGAATATGCCATATATATCTTCAAAGTCCATTATCCATACACTTGTTATAAATGAATTTCAACTAAACAATAAACTTATGGTATATTTTTCTTAAATAAGTAGCTGACAAAAGATATGGTCATCTATCATAGGTTAGAGTTAGGAGAGTATTAAATTTGATAGCATCATGTACCCATTACCCATGCACCTACATCTTATTGAGCATGCAGGACCTCTTACGATGGCCCATACCAATTATGATGGAAACTTGCCAACATTGCAATTACAACCTAACTCATGGACAAAGGTTTGCTATTATTTTTATGAGAAATGTCAAACGTGTCCATCTTTTCTCTATTCTGTAGTGTTTGGAAAGAAAAATTTCAAGAGTTTTTTCTAAAATAAAATTTATTTGCAAATATATGATTAAAAGTTACTACAAATATAATCTATCGGCATGATCACCTATGAAATTGAAAATAAATTAATATAGCTAAAGTTAGTGTTATAGTCACTATGCATAATTTTTTTTTAGTCACTATGCATAAAAATTCACATATTTGTAAACATATTTTTTAATCATAAATACTTAGTTATTTCATATTTTAAACAACAAAAATACCTATCGACATGGTTAGGGGTGACTTCTGAGTCCAGAAATTAGTGGGAGCAACTAAGGAAGCATATACAGTTTTTAATTATTTCATAAATATTTGATTTGATATGTTAGTTTGATCTGATTAAGTTGGGTGTTGTGTAAATTGGTCTGTTTGTTTTAGGTAGTAGATATTTTTCGTGACTAATACTATATTAAATTAAAAAGACAAAAATATGATTTATTTAAAAAAAAATCAAAAAATGACATATTCAATTATTAGTTCTTAATGATCCATCATCTACCAGTAACTTGTTGCTTTGGAATACACTACAGTGACTATTGTCCAATTATTTTATTCACACACAGTGGCTAGTCATATTTTTGTCCACAAAAAATAACTGATCATATTTTTGTTTGGGGAAACTCGGTTAATAATATACACGTCATTTTTATGGTACCCCATTTTTCTGAAAGGTACCGGAATATTAGCCAAAAAATGGCTTATTAGCCATTTATTTGGCTGGTTTGACTGAGTTTAGCTGTTTTGACCAATAGACCAGCTAAATAACATGTTTGGTAAATAGCTTTTTGAATTGGCTTCTTCATCTCAAGCAGTCAAAAAATTATATGGTTGGAAAAGCTAAAGGTTGGAGCGTTTCGTGTCGGCATCTTCATCCCAAACATATACGTCGTATTATATTCTTACTCTACTACTTTTTTTAGGTTACTTTTTTCTTCTTCTCATATTACAATTACTAGACTGCCAACACTTTTCACAAAACTTGAAGTGGGTGATAATTAAAACTATCTCTAGATTATATTTTATTTTTCAACTTTATCTTTTTTTGCCTCTATCCTTTTATTATATAATTTCTTTGCAATAGAAATTACGGCGTATAATTTTTGAAATGCTTAAATAGAAATTAGATTAAATACTAACGTCCTTGTCTTTTTACAAGACAACAACTATTCTTGGACAGCTAATTTACCAAACATTTGTTGACAACAAGCTAACATAATCAGCCAACTAAAACAGCTAACACAACCAGCTATTGTCAACCAGCTGTCATTACTAGTTAACAACTAACAGTTAACGGCTGATTTCCAAACAAGGCCAAAGTTCGTCCCTAATTTATAAATATTTATTTATGTGTGTAATCGATGATAATTTGGAGACGAAAAATTACTATAAATATAATTCATTTAAATATTGAGCTTGTTTTTAATTAGGTTAACTTCAATCCTGGATCAGAGCATACCGGACCTTTACAAGTGTAAAATACACATAGAAGTACTACATCCACCCCCTAATATTGGGTCAAAAGAGAGTGATGTGGTTTTTAAGAAAAGTAGAGTTATGACCCGCACAGATAGCTAAGTTGATTGAGTGGTGAGAAAGTTGGAAGACTGACCAAGGATCAAAACCCGTAACGGTCATGTGGAGTTTACACTTCTTGCGTGTTGGCACCTCTGGTGTGCACGGGTACAAGATCTACCACCATTGGGCTAACTGATTCATCGTGACTTACAACCGCCCAAAAGCCTTGTCGGGTTGGGACGTGGGGGGGGGGGGGGCTTGGGATTGGGGATTCAAACTATTTGAAAGAAAGTAGAGTTATGTGGTAGATAATGAGTTGATAAAGTAGGAATAAAGTAAGAATGAACTAGAGCCACAAAATATTATCAAATATGGTATGAGACAATTTTAGTGGAATGATCGAAAAAGGAAAAATGAGACAATTATAGTGAGATGAAGTATAAAATAGAGATCTACGAGACCACATCATATCAGTTTAAACTAGACCAGACCAGACTAGTCTCAAACAAATCAAATTAAACCAGATTAGATCAGAGAAGACACACAACTTTTGATTCCATCGTTGAATTGTGTAATAACCAAAATAAGTAAGGGTAAAGGTTTTTTTGGCTGAACTGGTAGAAGTTACTGCAAAAGACAATGTTAACTATTTATCATGTAATTTTTTCTTTATTTTATGAATCAAATATATTTAAATAGTTTTTCATAAGTCAACACATTCAACCGATTCAGTTTGAATTACATCAGTTTCAGTAGCTTCGGGCGATTCAACCAAGAAAATATGTATGGAGTAAGTGATTAGTGATTAATACCGTTACGTGATGTCTTATTTTGTGTTAGGTGGCAAATATTATTTTCTTGGACTTGCCGGTGGGCACAGGATTCTCTTATGCAAAAACGATAGCAGCTCATCAATCAAATACAACTCAAGCTTGCAAACAAGCTTATGAATTTCTTCATAAGGTCCTTGATTTTTTTAGTTGTGTTTAATGGTTAGGGATGTTTATTAAAAAATAAATAGCTTTAAACATGAGTAAAAACATTTTTTTAAGTAACGAGTAAAAACATTTTAAAATTCCAAAATTAGAGATTATGTTTCATTCTCCAAATAAAAATAATTACTATCATTCTTCCAAGATGTTACACTTGCCGTATAAATTAAAGTGGGATCGTATCAAAATTTGAAATTAAAATTCCAAGATGATAGTAAATTAATTACCCCTATTTAAAAAAGCACAATATTTATATGTGCAATTTTTTATTGCTTTTTTTCAATCTCGGGATTTTCCGCTTACTTAAAATGCTAAATTAATTGCTCTTTACATATCTATGCATTGATGAAGCGGGCGCATTTGTTCCTATCATTACTCAAATCATATTGGATGGTAAGTCTTTGAACTACGACCCCCTCAATTACAAGTTCATTTGGTAACACTGAAATTGACTTAATTCACTGATTCTGTTGAAATTTATGAAATTCGAACTGAAATGATTGGAAGATTGATTACGTTGAATTATGAAAAAATTATATTTAAAATATGCAAAATAGTTTATTAATAAATAAGGAAAAAATTATATGACAATAACTAAAATGACCCCTTACGGTATTATTCTCATGTAAGGAATTCATCTCATCTTGCATGGCTTCAACCCACTTAGTTTTATGTTCATCTTCCATGGCCTCTGCATAACACTCAGACTCTCCCCCATCAGTGAGTAAGACGTACTCATTAGTTGAAAAACGAGTGGAAGGATGACGATCTCTTGCAGACCGCCTAAGTGGGACAAATGGTGACACGTCTGGTACCGGTATCTCTGAATGAAATTCTTCATCCACCTCTGGCTGTTCTGGAGCATCAATATCATCAGTATCATGTTGTTCATCATTCTGAACATCATCATCAAGGGGTGGTTCTACATGCTGAGGAGACACTGGATCCAAATCAGTAACATCCTCATTATGTTGAGGAACTGTCTCTTTCTTGTCAACATCTTTCAGGGTATGATCTTCAACAAACACAACATCTCGACTTCGAATAAGTTTCTTGTGCACTGGATCATATAATCTGTCACCGAACTCATCTTAGCCATAACCCAAAAAAAAATACATGGTTTGGACTTCACACCAAGCTTTGATCTTTCATCTTTAGGAATGTGCACAAAAGTTTTGCATCCAAAGACCCTTAAGTGACGGTAAGAAACATCTTTGCCACTCCAAACCCTGTCAGGTACATCAAAAGACAAAGGAACACAAGGAGTTAGATTAATAACATGTACCGCTGTATTCAAAGCTTCTCCCCAGAATGCACTTGGCAGCCCTGCATGTGACAACAAACATCTGACACGCTCCATCAAAGTTCTGTTCATCCGCTCTGCTAATCCGTTCAACTATGGTGTCTTGGGAGGACTCTTTTGATGTTGAATACCATGATCTCTACAATAAGCATCAAATGGGCCGATGTATTCACCTCCATTATCTGTCTGAATACACTTGAGCTTATTTCCAGTTGTCTCTCAACCGAGGCATGAAACTGTTTAAACACTTCAAATACTTAATCTTTAGATTGCAAAGTATAAACCCATACCTTTCTGGAGTGATCATCAATGAATGTGACAAAGTAGGAGCAACCACCAAGTGTCCTAGTCTTCATAGGACCACAAACATCAGAATGCACCAGATCAAGTACATTTTCCTTCCTGGAAGGAGGATGGCTCTTAAAGGAAACCCTGTTCTGTTTACCTGCCAAACAGTGAGAACACTTCTTTAGATGAATATCATGCACAACCGGTAACACATTTCTCTTCAACAAAAGAGACATCCCTTTTTCACTCATGTGACCAAGTCTCTTATGGCATGAATTAGTCATGTCAGTATTCACCACAGCATTGACCCTATCCTTGAAGATCTTCGGATGTGTCATGTACAACTTTGAACATCTTTTACCTCTAGCCACGATCAAAGAACCACGAGTGAGTTTCCATATTCTATTACCAAAGTTGTTGCCGTAACCATCATCATCAAGTAAGCCCACGGAGATCAAATTAAGTCTCATATCCGGAACATGTTTTACATTATGTAAAATCAACTCTATCCTAATGTCAAACTTCAGACAAATATCTCCGATTCCTGCAATCTTTGATAGTCCATTATTACCCATTCTAACATTTCCAAAGTTACCTAGAGTGTAAGATGAATAAAAATTTCTCTATGATGTTACATTACACGTAGCACCGCTGTCAATAACCCAACTCGAATCATCATGTGCAATGTTGATCATATCAAGATCACAACAAATAAGAAAGTCTTCGGTAGTAATGTTAACTTCAGCATTGCCATTACCACCCTCATCTTTCTTATGGTTCTTTTGATTGTTGTAATCGCTCTTCTTCTTCTCCTTTTTCAATTTCCTGTAGAACCGTATTGTGTGCCTTTTTCTACCACAATGATAGCACTCAAAATCAGCAAACTTTCATTTGGATTTACTTCGATGCTTCCCTTTGTTACCTGGACCTCTACTCTGACTTCTCCCCTGCCTTCTGTAACTAAGACATCAAAATGTGAAGAGGAACCTTGTGACTTTCTTCTCATCTCTTCATTTAAAATACTGCTTTTAGCTAATTCCATGGTGATGATACCATCTGGTACAAAGTTGGACAATGATGTCCTCAAAGTCTCCCATGAGCCCGGTAAAGTGCCAAGCAATCACAAGCCTTGTATCTCATCTTCAAATTTGATACCCATTCCTGCAAGTTGATTTATCATTCCCTGAAAAGAATTCAAATGATCAGTGACATGAGTTCCATCATGGTATTTCAAGCTCATCATCTGTTTTATTAAGAACTATTTATTGTTCCCGGTCTCTCTAGCATACAACTGTTCAAGCTTGTTCCACAGAGTGCGAGCATGAGTCTCCCCGCTAATAACATTATCATCAACCCATTGACGAATATACCCACAAATCTGTCTATGCAAAATAGTCCACTCTGCATCTGTTTTACTCTCAGGTTTATCAGTAGTAAACACAGGCAAATAATAATCCTTCACATAAAGAAGGTCTTTCATCTTGCCTTACAAACATGATAATTAGAACCATTCAAATTGATCATCCTACTTGTGTTAGCTTTCATCGTTCAAACAAGTCTAATCCAATACAGAAGAACTCAGCTCTGATACCAATTTGATGGGAAAAACAGCCACAAACGATAACTAATAAAATGTAGAATTAATTTCCGTTTCGCTAAACTTTCTCAACTTGAATGAACCTTTGAGGATGCAAACAAATAGGGTGTTCTTAATCCAATTAGAACACACAATACTGTTTTTGGTAGTAAATTCATTACGGAGTATATTTTAGGAAATGAACAACTGTGGTCCTATTTGATTTTTTTGTATTTAAGGAATTGAATTCTCTCCCCCTTGTTATACGTAATGCTAAACATGTAATTATACTGATGACTTCATCAACCTTTCGTGACTGCAGGGAATGACAAGGGAATCAACTCCAAAATCAATATCAAGGTTTGCAGCATTGCGCAACAAAAATACATACACACTCTAGCTTTTTCTCATGCACACACATATTCACATATAGTCATATAGATGCATCAATAAGAACGATGATTAACGTGATTGTCTGAACGACAGTTCAAGTCAATCCCGACTTATCAGAATATTACTCTATATATATATATTGGAGAACGTTATAATGATAATCACTTTTAAAATGGAAACTCATTTATAAATGAAAATATTTAATCTCCACTTTTTATATTTTGAGTCAGAGGTTTGGAATGAATAAAGTTATACAAACTAAAACCTAGGAAAAGGTATAGAAGTAAAAACATGTATTGGATTATCGAAAAACCACAGGGATATGTACTTGGGAATCCATATGTGGTTCCGGATTATGACAACTACAAAATCCCTTTTGCGCATGGAATGGGACTCATTTCGGATGAACTTTTCGAGGTAAAATTTTATATGCAAAAAGAATTCAAGGAATTAAACCCACTCTCGAATCTAAATGCCAGAACTAATCTGTCTTATTAACATAGTCTTGGAAGAAGAATTGTAAAGGGGAATCATATGCCAATATAAAGCCAGAAAACATCAAGTGTTATAACGACGTTCAAGCTTTCAAACAGGTACTACTATATCACTATACGGAGTATATGATATGCGTTTTAGGATTGATTACTCTTCTCATTTTTATTCTTTTATTTGTGCAAATCCTAATTTACTCCATCCGTCCCATTTTGGTTGTCTTACACTTTTACTTTCTTTGGATTGTCCCAAAATGGATGTCATTTCCCGTTTTAATAAGAAATTTGTTGTCCATATCATTTCACTTCATTCTACTTGTTAAGACCCACAGGTCCTAGGATCGCAACCGGCTCTAATAACATGTTAAGATCTGGGATTCCATCCTAAAAGGTCAACATGATAAGAGGAGTAACTCATGTCTTAATATAGCACTTTGTTGATTCAAAATTTTCCGATGTGAGATTTTAACACTACTCAAATGTCAACCGTACCTTTCAACTACTTTATTAATGATCGTGTGATATGAGATAAGCTGAATGAGAGAAACATTAATGATCGTGTCATTTTGACGCAATGCATTTTCTTGTTTTTGCTTTTGTCCAGGTGACCGGGAAAATTAATGAAGCTCATATTTTAGAGCCCCTCTGTAGTGGACGTTCATTGAGGTCCCAAAAGGGGTTTGCCCACAAAAGTATTCTTCTTGAGAAGTCTAATGACCTCATCAGCACTGGTCCATTTCTTTCAATAATGAAATGCCGGGTGTGCCAAATTTCATGTATATTTTTGTTTTGTTTAATTTAATGCTTTCATATTATATTTCAAGTAATAATTATGAAAACATTACATTTACTAATTTGCAGTCAGATGCTTATGTCTTGTCGGAAAATTGGGCGAATGATGAGAGCGTCCGAGAGGCACTCAATGTAAAAAAGGTACCGCTCTAATCTCGAAAAACAAATTTCTGCGCCCTTTTATCTTTCAAATTTGTTGAATCTACTGATTCTGTAAAAAATTTATAAAGTACTGATTGAAGTGGCTGAATTGTCTTATTTATAAAAAAATTATATTTAAAATACTTTTTATTAATAAAATAAAGAAAAAATCATATGAAAAATTGCAAAAAATGATCATTTACATCAACGGTCAATACAACTAGAAAAGTAACTTTATCTTACTTTTTCTTATTATTACATAAATCATCATGTTAGTCGATCCTAAATTCTTTTGGGATTAAGGCTTGGATGTTGTTGTCGTCTTACATAACTCAGCGAGCGAAATAAAAAAAATGACCAATAAGTGTGATAAGTCAAAAACAAGGTCAAAGACTCTTCATCTTTTATCTAAATATCTACCCCACCCTCCAAAAAAATTGAGTCCCCAACTGAATATAGAAAAATTATTTGTGATGAGATGCTGAGAATGAAAATAATGCTCAATCCTGCAGGGGTCTATTGGAGAGTGGAAACGTTGCAGCAGTGATTTAGATTATATTGCAACAACGGTTGATATAACTCCATATCATCTAAATCTCAGCGCCAGAGGCTTCAGATCACTCATTTACAGGTATTGTGTGCCTGTATGTACTACACTTTTTATAATTGCTTTTGTACTTTTAGGAATAAGATGTGAAATAATAAAAGTGGAGAATAATCCTAGTGGTATATTTGTATTAATCATTGCACTTCTTTTAGTGGAGAATAATGGCTTACCATTATACTCCCTCCGTCCCGAATTGAATTGCAAACTTTGACCGGTACAAGGATTAAGGAATGACAATAAATGATGCTTGCTTTTTACACTTTTGCCCATCTTTCTAAAAGTAGATGTCTTTAAGTTAATGAGGAAAAAGTAAAAGTAAGGGTAAATTTGTCACTTTATTCTTATTTACATATCTAAAATAGAAAGTGTAAAACCATTTTGGGACAACCAAAATAGGAAATTTTGCAAATCAAATTGGGACGGAGGGAGTAATTGTTTTTGTACTTATTAATCATTTATAATAAGTGGAGAATAATTGCTTTTGCAGTTTTACGAATCTTAAAAAATGACCAAAATACTCTTATTTAAAAATTGTGCATTTTATACTATTTTCGTCCATTACAAATATTGCACTTTATACTGTTGTTATTGCACGATATTATTGCACATTTGGTAAGAATCATTGCACTTCCTGCAAACATTAATTCTCTTCGCATCCAGTTTGGAATATATTATAGTTCTTTTTTATATATTTTTTAGATGTAATAACATTACATTTGTATTTTTCGTCCAATTAAATATATTTTTACATCTCGTACCGTCGTTATTGCTCTATTGAAAATGCACATGTTTCTATATTAGGTTTTGTTTTTATATAAAAGATAATGCACATGTTTCTATATTAGGTTTGTTTTTTTATCAATATATCACAATTAGATCTTATGAAAAGTAAACTTTAATAGAGGAACTCTTTTAAATATAATTTAACTATGGTTAAAACTAAACTATGCATAGATATGACCAACATTGTTTTGCATTTTATATTGTCTAGTGGGGATCACGACTTTCATTTAACCTACATTTCGACACAAGCATGGATACGCTCTCTAAACTATTCCATTATTGATGAGTGGCGGCCATGGATGGTTGAAGACCAAGTTGCAGGGTAAGATGATGATAATTATCATAACAACAACAACAACAACAACAACAATAATAATAATAATAATAATAATAATTGTAATAAGAAGAGAAAGAAAAAGAAGGATACTAATAGTAGTAGTAGTAGTAATAATAATAATAATAGTAATAATAATAATAGTAATAATAATAATAATAATAGTAATAATAATAATAATAATAATAATAGGTACTATATTTTTTCAATACAAGTTTTTGATGAACGAAAAAGACATATGCATGTTTGTATATTATTCTGTTGATCTTATAAGGTACAAACCAAATATATAGGACTAAGTTGACTAGTCTTAAAGGAAAGGTATTAAATCTATACCTAAAGTAATTTATTACATATCAAATACTCCGCATATAAAATGACGTAGATAGCAACAAATATATGCTCAGATTTGACTACATCTCGAATAAAATCACAATCCACCTCAATATGTTTAGTACGTTCGTGAAACACTGGATTCCTAGCAATATGCAAGGCAGACTGACTATCACAAAACAACAAAATAGCTTTGTCATGATTAATTCCAAGATTGAGGAGCAAGGCCTTGAGCCATTTAATTTATGTTCACAAGTGGCGGCGGTCTTAGCTTGATATTCTGCTTCAGCAGAATAGCGACAAACAGTGGGCTATTTTTTGGTCTTCCAAGAAATAGGAGAATATCCAAGAAAAACTAGCCACCCAAATAAAGAGCGACGAGTAAGTGGTCATGCAATCCAATCAAAGTCACACCAATAAGTAAGAGAGAGCTCACTATCAGCCCCAAGAAGAATACCCTGTCAAGGAGAACCCTTGAGATAGCTAACCACTTGTAGCGCATCATCCCAGTGGGCTTTACAGGAAGCCTGAATAAACTGAGACAAAATATGAACAGAATATGTCAAATCAGGACGAGTGATGACAAGATAAATAAGACTCCCAAGCAGAAGTCAATAAGGCTCCGGAATGGTCCGAGGAGGCTCGTGGACTTGAGCCAGAGAATGATTTTGCTCAGTAGGGGAATCAACAGGCTTAGCACCAAGATAACTTGTCTCAGAAAGAATATATATATGATATATTTACGCTATGTAAGAAAGAGACTCGAGGGCAGCGAGCTACTTCGATCCCTAGACTGAAAATAGTCACCGCGATAAGCCTTAAACTGAACGATAGCCTCATGATCATTACCAGAGATACCTGATCATCAACATAAACCAGGACATTAAGTTGATTAGCTGAGTAGATCCCTTAGTGTGTGTGAATAGAGAATAATCATCATATGACTGAAGAAATCCATAGCCATTAAGAGCACCAACGAACTTGGCAAACCAACAACGAGGTGCCTTCTTTAAGTCATAAAGAGACTTATGTAGACGATACACAAGAAAAGAATTAGAAGCAGCATATCCTGATAGAACCTACATGTAATCCTCTTCAGCCAAATCATCATGTAAGAAAGCATTATGAACATCCATTTGATAGAGTTCCTAAGTTTTGGATGTCGCAACAGCTAAGAAAGCACGAATTGTGGCCATTTTGGCCATGGGAGCGAAAGTTTCGTTGTAATCAAGGCCCTCAATTTGGCGGTTGCCAAGGATAACCAAACGAGCTTTAAGGCGTTCAATGATGCCATTGGACTTGTATTTGATTTTATAAACCCAACGGCAGGCCAATGCCCTTTTTCTGGGCGAAAGATCATGTGTAGTCCATGTGCGGTTTTCTTCAAGAGCACGAATTTCAATGTGCATAACATCACGCCAACCCGCATCATGAACAACTTCTTTAAAAGAGACTGGTTCTTTACTAACTGATAGTGCCGTCAAGAATACACGATAACGGACAGAAAATTTATCACAGTTAATATAATGAGCTATGGAATATGGGGTACCTGAGTCGGGGGGGGGGGGGGGGGGTACCTGAGTCGGCTGATGAAGAGGATGGAGCAGGGAATGGGCGATCATGCGTGATGGTATGTGTGTCAAAATCTCGCAATCGGATAGACAGAAGTTTAATGCGTCTCCGATGACCCAAATCAGACGATGAAGAACCAGAGTTGGAGGGCCCTGCAGAAGGTTCAACATGTGGAGGAGGTTCAATACTAGGCGGAGAATTAGAAACCCGGGAAGCTGGTGCAGCAGACGGATACTCCCAGATATCCAAAGGTGGTAATGTTATTGGTTCCTCCTAATCTGGGACCTAGAGGTGTATCAAAAGGAAATGTATCCTCAATAAATTTGACGTCACGTGAGACGAAAAATTCCTCTGTCTCTAGGTCATAAACTCGCCAACTCTTTTTACCAAAAGGGTATCCAATAAAAACACATTTGTGGGTCTAACTCAAAATTTATCCCTGGCAGAGCGAATATTATGAGCAAAACAGAGACATCCAAATATCCAAAGGGTCTCATAATCAGGAGTTTTGCCCAAGAGTTTAGCACAAAAATGCATAAACATAAGAAAAACTTCTGTTTTATCTACCAAAAGATACGGCCAAACAACACGTGAAAAATCATCGACAATAGCTAGAAAACTCTTAGCATCACATGAGGAGGGCGTATGATATGGTCCTCATAACTCACAATGTATAAGGGCAAATATACGAGTACTCTTGCTAAAACTAAGAGGAAAAACATCTCTGATATGTGTAGCCCTAAAACAAATATCACAGGGCAAAGAACAGCAACAGTGGGATATGGATGGATATCCACTCACAGGTGGGAGGCATTTCGTAACTGTATCCGAAGGGTATCCCAACCGCTGATGCCAAATGAACCTCGAATCAAATCCTTTTTTAACACGAAAAATAGAAGTAGTAGTGATGTCCTGAAAATAATAAAGCTCATTCCTCCGCTCACGCGCTCCAATCAGCCTCCTTGAGTGTCGATCTTGTATAACACAAATATTAGCCGTTAATTGGGATACAAAAATAAGACTACAATTTAATTTGGGAAAAATAATACATGTGATAAATGTGATAAATGTATTTTGTGATACAAGTGAACCGATCCCACTTCATTAATCTGTCCTTTCTTACTGTCTGGTAGACCAACCACAAAGCTGGCAATTGTGACATTATTTAGACAAGAAAAATTTCCGGTCATGTGATCTGAAACCCATGTATCAATGATCCAGGAATAAACACTAAACATACCAGATACTCGTTCATTCTTAGAGTTCGGTTTACCATTGATCCAAAAAGGTGGAATCTCCCACCTCAGGAGCCCCTCACCCTGACCCGACAGGATGGTGAGGAGGTTAGTCACGGTGACTCAGTCAGCAGAATGACAGTAGGCCCATACACCCGTGCGCACCAGAGTTCTAGCCTTATTTCAGGTTCTGTGACTTCAATCCGGCCGCTACGGGGATTCGAACCTTGGTCCATTGATCCAAATCTCCCAACACTCGACCAACTGAGCTACCCGTGCGTGTTAGAGTTTGGTTTACAAAAGGCTACTAGAAGAGCCTTCCACGGTTCAAAACTAAATCCTTGAAGCATATTCCCGTCTCCCGTACTACTAGCGCCTTCCACAACCTCTGTTCGAGAGCCAGAAACATCCATCGTTGTCGCAAGAGACGAACAGTAAATTCCATCGTACAGCCGGTTGTACTGTGCGCACGGTATAGCTGGACTTTTAATTCCCAAATCGCAGGTCGCAGGTCTTCTTCGCAGTTCGCAGCCTTCTATCGCAGATCGTTCTTGATGGTCGTCCTTCGCTCGCCGTCAACACAGATGACGATTCTCAACAGCCGCAACTCTCCGGCACGAGCGCATCACTTCAAACTCCGACTTCAGCGGCGGCTCCTGCGCAGCACCTGGTGTATAGCCTTAGTTGCTTCTTCTCCCTCTTTCTTGTTTTGGATTTTTCCTTTTTCTCTTTTTCTTACTTAAGTTTGGTGGCCACAAGTTAGAGAAATCTAAGTTATACGTAATTCTTCAGATGTGAGCATAATAAATGAAATTATGAGCATAGTAGACATTTCAAATGAGTTTTATGAATGCTCATTTTGTAATTTATGTATACTCATTTGATATTAGTGTAATACTCATTTTAAATGAACATATACACATGAATATTGAACACATTAGAAATGAGTTTTATGTTAAACTCAAATGAGTATAACGCCCAAAATGAATGAGCACACACAAATGAACTTTTTAATTATTTGATACTAATTTGTAAGTTATGTATGCTCATTTTGGACTAAAACTTTTTAATAAACGAAAAAATAATAAACAAAATGTGATATATGAAGAATGAAGCAGATATCACTAATGCTCACCGTTAGGATCCTAATACTCAAAAGAACAGGCTCGATACTCATCAAAATTGATTTAATGCTCATTTAAGAGGATCTGTGATTTTCTCCATAATTACAAGTTTGACATCGGGTGTACGGCCAGCACCGTGCAGCCGGCTGTACCATATACGAATCCGAGACAAACGGCGGTTTTACTTCAAGGATAATTCTGTCAACGAAAACATATTTCCGCCTCACCCTTAAAACCAATCGGGCAGAGTTAGACCATTCATCGTAATTTTCCCCAATCAATTTTACCGGCGTTATATAGTCACCCGGCTGGTATGCACTAGAATGATTGTGTATTATTCTCTGCCGATCTCAAAAGGTACAAACCAAATATATAGGACTAAGTTGACTAGTCTAAAAGGAAAGGTATTAAATCTATACATAACATAATGCTTCGTATATTACATTTCAAATATACAATAACTTAGATATCATCACATATATGCTTTCCATTCTCATAATAGTTTCTAATTAAACAAAGTATTTCTTATGAGTATGGTTAACATTGTTTCTCATGTGTTTACATAAATCAATTGTTAAATATTATAGGTTTGCACGGACATACTCAAACAAGATGACATTTGCAACAGTGAAAGGTGCAGGTCACACAGCTCCTGAGTACAAACCCAAAGAATGTCAAACAATGATGCTAAGATGGATTTCTAATAAACCACTATGATAAATCTATTATTATATAATCAATGTAAGAAACACATTTGAAATGTTTCAAATTCAGACACTTTCGTGCCAACCCTTTTTGGAATGTATAGTAAAAAGAGTTCTCTTTAAGTTCGATATAAATAAATCATTCTGATTTTTCTTGTTTCCATTCTAATGTATAGTATTACAATTTGCAATGGCTAAATAAAAGATAAGTCATTTCTGTTAGGAAATTGATGTAACGTATCTCGAAAGTGCAGCAACGGTAGTTTAAAATTTTCTCAAACAGATCTTCCCTGATTATGACAAAATAACGAATATGATAATAATAACAGATATGAGTTAGAACTTACAGATCTTCCAGCCTAGCGATGATAATCCTTGACCTTTGGTATCCACGTGATTTCTTCTTTCCGAAAGAACGGTTAGATCTCCCTAAGAGAAAGGCTAGGAAATCTCTTCGGAGGGAAATAAACTGGTAATACTGAATCTGAAAACTGGTCTAATAATTATGAAGGAGAATGGTGTATTTATACTAGTATTATGAATTAAATATGTTTAATCTAATTAATATTTAATCCATTTTCAGTATTATGAATTAAATATTATTTAATCCAATTAATAATATTTAAATCCTTCTAACACTTCATTCGGAAGGTATAATCACTTGTTGTGTGACCCATAAGGCCTTACATATTAAGCACTAATCAAATTAAGGTCTTAGCGAATCCCTAGACGATTCTCCAGACAAACTTAATATATAAGGACGTTTGTGAGGACTATACAAACTCCCTGTAATATAGAGTTCATGGTGATACGGTTCTTTCATTCAGCGAACATTCAACTAAGTCTAGAACTTGATATTATGTCTATTCCAATAACTTAGTCTCTATCTCTCAAACTTTCTAGATGATCCATAATGATCATATTCGATATCCAAAACGAATATATCTTTGCATTGGCCAATGACTTTATGATCCATCTAGATATGAGAAGTAGAATGTTCTCTCTTAATCTATTACGAGGAATGAATCCTTTCTTGGTTCAACTACTACTCCATGTGCTTTGTGATGCACCCAACACATGCCGTATCTACCCCGATTGGAGTGAAAGCGTTGGTCATGGTCAAAGTACATCACTCCGCACATGTAGTACGTATTGATCTCAAGTTGGAGGACTATTACACTACTCTATACGCCGATAATCTCATAGACAAATGAATAGAACTTATCAAATGGTTTCTCGGTGGGTATGCCAATATTCTCTAAAATATCTATGTGACTATCATGAATTACAAGAACTCATAGTTGTGAGATCAACTATACTTTCTAAAGGTATGATGCAGTCCACATACCAATCTTATCGCATATCTTCAATATTTTATTCTTGATGATCATTGATTGGGGCTATTTTAGGACCTTATGTTATATCATATAAGCTCCCACTTACTTATTGACATTATAAGTTCAAGGGAACACAATTATGAATAAGATATTGACAATCGAAATATTTAATCATCAATGTGTAATACCGTATATATCAAATATATAAAACTGAATGTGATCAAGTATATATATCTCTAAAAGGTGATTGTCGCTAGGACATATATACTATCAATTTCATCAATCCTTTTAAAAAGTCATCTATCATGTCATTTGAATGTGCCAATTATAGAATATTAATTACTTTCTCACTTCCTATCACTAATCTTCTCTATAAATGTAGCCAAGGGCGGATGTAGGGAGAGGGTGTAAAGTTTGTATGGTTTTCAATCATTTTTACTTTATTCTGACTTTATCAAGTCAATAAATAATCACATAACCTCACTTTTCTTAATAATTGTGTCACCTCTCATGTTCTAATGTCAATGGGATGGATTGGGTAAATTAAAAGAAATTACTCAATCCAAGTAACTAAGAATTGGGTATGGTTTAAAAGGAGGGGGAACCCATAATCTTTAGTCAAGTAAGGCAGCCAATTATATTCGCTAAGTTAAATAAATAGTTTGAACTCAATAAAAGAATCATTTATAATGTCAATAAAAACTTCATTTATTAATATAAAACTATTCCATAACTAATTTGAAAAAATTGATAGAAAAAACGACTTAATAGACGTCTTAATGGGAAGGACTCTATTCTTCAGCTCAATGATTAAGTCAGTTTGTTACTGATTGATTAAGTCATATGTTCCAATTCAAGAGTTGTTTGGAATTGATTCTGCTTCCGCTTCTTTTTTAAAAGCAGGAGTAGAATCAGAATCAATTTTCCAGACGTCGGACTCATTCAACTTCTTAAAAAATGCTTCTAGGAGCTTTTGGAGCACTCAGAAGTACTTCTGCACTTTTACCCAAACCACCAATATCTGTTTGTACTCCGTGAAGGAGAAGAAAACGGTGTTAATAAGCAAATCCAAACACCCCCTAAGTCATAAGTAAACATTACCTAATGACTGAATGGTTAAGTCATGATTGCCATAAATCCATTAAGTCGAAAGTAGACCACCTTTTGATGTCATAATAGTCACTATGTTCCAAGCATGAACATATTTTTTTGGATTAAAGTTATTTATTGGGTAGAGGTTTTGAATCACTCTAAGAATCTATAGGTATGAAAATATAGGTGTTTAAATGAGAATCTCTTTTAAAATTAAATGAGAACTCATTTATAAATAAAAACTTTTAATCTCTAACTTTCATATTTCAAATCAATTGTAAGAATCAATAAAGTGACCTTTTTTAATAAATTTACAATACTTACAAAAAGATCTCATTTGGATTATGGATAATTGTTATTGCTTGTTGGGCTCGACTTGATTGGCGAGCACGTCAATTGAAGATGAAAGTCTCAACACGTACGGTAACGTTGATGCCACCTGATGAGGTAAGGGGGTTGGTGGGTATGCATTGGACCACTCATAGAACTGAGGCCGAGGTGGGACTTTGAAAGATGGGAGTCCAAGTATGCAATATTTTTGCCTTGAAGAGGAAGTTGGTCAAACAAAGAAAGAAAAGATGACACTCCATTCCCGAGGGTCCACCAGAATCAACCGAACAGTTATTTGGAAGAATGTAAGTTGAGTTTTGATCACACTTTGATAGAAAAAGAGTGAGATTTCATTTCAAATCATTGCTTGAAGTTGAACTTGAGAACTCTCCCTTATGACACCCCTTCATAGCAGGAGAGTTACGCCCCCTGATAATTTGATCAAACAAATAAAGCATTACTAAATGGTAGTATTTCACTATTTCAATTCCCACGCTGCAGTTTTTATCTAGAGAGGATTTTTTATTTTATATCTTTCCTTGGATATTTTATAGGGAGAAAAGTATATTCTTTTGTAAGAACAATCTGTCTGGTTGACATCTACACATGATATTTTGTTACAACTCATATAAAAGGAGAAAAGAACACTAAACTATAAGTTGTTTTCAGGTGTATGGTTTGTTATCTTGTTGATGTTTTTGTGAGCCCATTTTTGTTAAGAGCTCATTTTGAAAGGAGGACATGCGCTGCAATCACCCATATCTTGTTAAGAGCCCATTTTGAAAGACTGAAATTGAATACAAACATGAAAACGTGATATTCAACTATCAAATAAGCTTTATTTGAAGATTTGTATTAAGTTTATTTGATATTTTGATGATTGAATGTAAGATCAGAAAATAACTTTGTATCATTTTTATTACATATTTCAATTGATGGGATGTGAAATGACTTTTTAAATCGTGTGTATTTTTACTAATGATTATTGTTATCATGCAAAAGTTATTTTTCCTATTTTAAAATCCGAAAATTGGTTCGAATAATTGTAGGAGGCCCGTAATTATCAATAAATTTATTTTCAATACCATGCCATATGAATAGTATTTAGTTTAAAATTTTGACAACGCTCAAATGAATCGATGGCTCCGTTCGTGACCGACCGGACGAGATCAAATCAGATTTCGATAGTTATAAAATATACATTGATCAAATATATACGAGACTAGACTTAAATAAATCAGATCAAATAAGATCAGACCAAGTCAATAAACTTAAGTCCACTTAAAAACATATTGAATATTCCATAAATCTATGATGTCTTAGTTATTGCTCCATACACTTGTTAAAAATGAATTTCAACTAAACATAGTTTTCTTCCTCTGAAATATGCAAGCTGATAATTATATGTTCATTTAGGGATAGGATCATAGGAGACTAGGAGAGTACTGTGCACATTTCTTTTCGAACAAAGAATATTTACTTTTCTTATTTCACACTTGATCGAGAAATGAACCTTGTCAAGTCGACCTCATAAGGTCTGCCGTCAGGCTATCCTTATTTGAGGTGCTTCCTGGTGGATATTTATGATGATGTTTTGTTAACATGTTCTTCATGAAGTCTAGATTATGCCCATCAAATTTCATCTTAAAATTCAATCGGAAAGTGAGTTAAATAAATTATTAAAAATGTTGCACTAAATATATATCAAATGTGTAGTCTTTTAAATAATTTACTCAACACATTTTCAGATTGAATTTTAAAATGAAAATTAATGCAAATAATCTAGATTTCATGAAGAATATGCTAACAAAACTTCATCATAATAATCCATCGGAAAGCATTTTCAATGTAGATGGCGATCAGCAGATTCAGTCAGATCGACTTGACACGATCATTTAACCACTTAATCTAAACTTGACAAAATAATGTCCAATCGAAGTAGTAAGAAACAGAAGTAATATTAAATTGGGAAAGTTCCCGAAATAGGATTAAATCAGTTTAAAAATTTCAAAATAGAACTGTCATGTTTTTTTATTTTCAAAATTGTGTCAAGTTTAGAAAATACTGGTACTGTCAAAACATGGCAGTAATTAGTCATATTTTCGGAATAAAAAATGGCAGTCCTATTTTGGAATTTTCAAACCCTTTTAGTTCTATTTGGGGTAATTTAACCACCATTTTATAATTTGATACCATCATATAAGTATATAACCACCAACATTTTATAATTATATTGAGAATGCAGGACCTCTTACGTTGGCACGTGCGAATTATGATGGAAACTTGCCAATATATCAGCCCGTTCATTTCGTAGCACGAAAATCGGCTGATTTGACTGGTTCTGCTGAAATTTATATGTAAAAATAGCCAAAATGGTCATATACAGTAACTTCAGCCAATACAGCTAGAAAAGTAACTCCAAGCTTACTTTTTCTGCTTATTACACAAATCAGCTCGCGAAAATTACGTGTTTGGTGAAAAAGTTGGCTGATAAGCCTGATAAGCCGAAAAACGATGTTGCTGAACCGCCTTTATATTGCTAATATGCTACTCATCATTATATCACAATTCACGACGCAACCTAACTCATCTTAAAGGTTTACTACTATTTTCCAATGAAATGTCAAATTTTTTAATTAGTCTCATAATCAAATTTTTAGTAACTAATTTAGATTGACATCATTTGTTTATAACCTAATTTTACTATATAACACATTACATACTAATATATATTAAAGATTAGATCCCAACTTATTGAGTGATCCGATAAAAGGTCTTGAAGGAACAATGAAGTATATATGGATATGGATTACTCCCTCCGTATCTATTTACTTGTCACACTTTCCGTTTTTGGTGTATCAAATTAGTTGTTTCATTTCTTTTTTTGGAAAGAATCTCACTCAAAAAGCAACTAAAGTACCAATACAGTACCACTACAGTACCAAAAATCTCTTACTTTTTATAAAGTCTACAGTAATTGTCTTAAACTCCGTGAAAAGCAAACATGTCATCTAATTAGATACGGAAGGAGTACTACGTATTGAAACTCATAGGTATAATTATAAACTTCATCTGTCTCACAAAATTCTTCCCATTTTTCATTTTTTGATGTCCCCAAAAATTGTTCTTATTTTTCTTTTTATTTAATCACAATCATGCATTTTCTATTTATTCCCATTTTGGTGTGTCAAATCAAAGTGAGAGTATTTATGTGGCTAGTGGCCCTATTGTACAACATTATGTCCTCCGTACGGAGTAAAATATTGTGATGGTTGGGCTACTTGTTGTACAATATTATTAATTGGGCTAGTTGTTGTCCTATATCCTTATTTTTCCCTTTTTAAATTAGAAAGGAGCTTGACCGGCTATGTACAATACGTAGTATTGGTGTGACTCGCAACGACTGAATAACGGACGTTTTTTTTATTATGTTTACAAAATAAATTAAGAATTATTTAGAATCACATATATTTATTAAAATTGTTATGAGACAATCTTATTGAGACCGGTTAGAAAGAAAAGATGGGACAATTTTAATGGGACATAAAGAGTATAGATTTATTGTACTTCTTGTGGTCCTAAATAAGGTTCACACTTTCCTTTTTGGGGCGGTCCAAAATAAAGTTCACACTTCTTCTCTCTTCCTTATTTGAAAAATTATCTACATCAAAACAGTGCAAAACAGTGCCAAACAGTGTCACAAAAGTGTACTCTACAGTAGAGTCAAATTTATTTCCTTAATTTGTGTGAAGTCAAACACCGAACTTTATTTATGACCGGAGGGAATATATGTTTTTTTTGTTAAATAAAAACATCCTTGAACTGAGATGAGTTTCGATCATGTGACATTCTTTTTTAGAGTGTCGCGGTGATGTCATGGAATCACATATTGTTTGGGTGTATTTATTATTAACTTGTTATATACATAGTATTTTTTATTTAGATGCAATCGTGTCCTTGGAACGTCGAACCAATTTATGACCCCAAATTTTATGTCATCGAGTATTTATCTCCTTTCACTTAGTGCAATATACTCATAACTATGACTTTCAACTCGCCTTGAGGTTTAATAATTAAATAACACAGTTCAAGTATATTTTGTGAAACAATTTTGATAAGTATAATATAAAATGAGACCATCGATGATAATTGTAATAAAATGAGCGTGAAAACCTTAAACTCGGGCGGATGAAGTGCTATATACTCTTTTGAAATTTTTGTTATTTTTATTTATAATATCATACGGTTGAACATTTTCTTAACATTAAACTTTTTTTTATAAATCATACAAGCAACACATTAATTACAAATTAAGAAATATACTTAGTGATGGATAGTGTACCCCGGGGGTAGCTTATCCGGGGGTTATTACGGGAATAACATAGAGAGAATTCAGAGCAATAAGTAAGAGAGAGAAAGTGTATTCGAATATGTGAACTTGTGATGATTTACAATGGAGAATGGATTGCTATTTATAGCAGTAATAAATGCGATGAGAGTACACGTGTCAATAATCTAACGGTCGAGGGTCACCTCAATCGGGATGGCACCAGCATACGCATGTGCATCGCATTAGATGCGGTGGGTGGATGTGATGCCGCATTAAATGCGGTTGTTGCTTGTCTCCAAAGGGAATCTTCGATGTTTGTGCTGTAGCCGAAAGCTCCCCTGTGGCCGGGGGCTCTGTGTAGCCGAAGGCTCCTGACTTCCGCCGTTTTCTCCCAGTAAGTTTGTATGCGTAAAATTAGCTGTCTTGTGAGTTTTGGGGGGTCTTCGGCCATGAGGCTGAAGGCACCCACATGTGCACCGCGGGTTTCTTGATATTTGAGCTGCTGTCCTTTGGGTCTCCTGTGCTTCTTAGGCCTATTGGGCCCGTGTTAAAGTAGTAGGAGTCTATGGACCGGGAGTCCGTGGTCCATATACTCTATCACTTAGTTTTATTTATTCAACTATAGCTTTAGCAATATAAATATATCAATCTTAATAAAAATAACTTATTAATCCTTATTTTGGATTTGCCTACTTTATTGTGATCATTTTAGTTAGAATCACACACCGGAAAAATTTGAATCAACAAAGTGATATATTAAGACATGAGCTACTCCTCCTATCAGGTTGACCTTTTAGGATGGAACTCCAGATCTTAACATGGTATCAGAGCCAAACCGATCCATAATCATGGTGTGGCCCCCTTATGAAAAATGACGAGACTATTAAAAAAATGACAATGACAAACCGACAAAAAAAAATGACTGACGGCACTATCCAGATGAAGTGTCTGGTCGTGAGGAGGGGTGTTAGAATCACACACGGGAAAAGTTTGAATCAACAAAGTGCTATATTAAGACATGAGTTACTCCTCCTATCAAGTTGACTTTTTGGGATGGAACCCCAGATCTTAACAATTTTATAATGTTACGTCAATGGACAATCCTCTTAAATAGTATACTCGTAATACTCGTAATTAGTGTATGTTTATTTGAAATACTTGTACTTTATTTAGAAAAGTCATAATCATGTTCATTCCTTTAAGAAGTTATATATACTCTTTTTAGTTATTAATTAATCTATATTAAAAAAAAACTGAAAGTTTAAATGAAATATAAAATGAGTTTTAGAATTCGATAAGATCTTTTCTAACAGGATAGAAAACGCTTGAAACAAAACAAAATACGGCAAGATATAATTAGATCAATTACTACACGAGTTCAGAGTAAAATCAGAAATCTTTATGAGTTTCACCATTTCAGATTAATTTGTACTTTTTTCTCAATACATTGTAAATGAAGTCGGAACACTAGTTTTAGAATTCAAAATGATCTTCCTAAAAAGATATAAAATGCTTGAAACGGAAGAGCATACAGCAAGAGATGTTCAAATCAAATACTTAGCCTGTTTTGTGTAATATAGCATTTTTTAGACGTGGGCACGGTCCGGTCCGGTCCAATATTTGGCCGAACCCGTACTATGACTATTCAAAAAGTTCGGTTCGGTTCGGTCTTAGACCTAAACCCGTTCGGTACGGTTCCATTTTAAAAAAGAATGATATCATGTCATACCAATACCATACAATGCCACTTTTCCAAGTTTTCAAGAGGAAATTAAAGTTTACTCATCCTCCAAATATCCACACAATTTATCAATTTTCATACTCCCTCCGTCCCAAATTAACATGCAAAGTCAATATTTGTTTATCAACCAATGTTAAAGTTAAATTCTCTTTATTGATAATCAATTCAAATGTTAACACTTAAAATATACATATTTAGAAACTACATACATTAAAATCTCTTCAAAGTTGCAAGAGTAAGTAGAGCATATTTAGCGTAATTAAATACATTCTTGCATTCGAAATTCAGTTCATTATGTAACCATTTCGTAATATTTTGAAACTAACAACTGAATAGAGTATTAGAACTAGATAAGATCTTTCCACCGAAATAGAAAACGATTGAAACGGACCGAAATACAGCAAGATATGATCAAATCAAAGATTACCAGAGTTCAGAGTGAATCGGAAATGTTTTTGAATTTCAGATTAATCTATACATTTTCGTTAATACATTATAAGTGAAATTGGAGTACTAGTTTTAAAACTCAAAATGATTTTTCCACCCGTATATAAATATGGGTAGAGCCCGTCTCTGTTTTTCTTTAACTCATTTCACACACCTAAAAGCCAAGAAAGAAGGATAGTAAGAAGAAATGGTTAAGAAAGTTGTGGTATTGGCTGCCTTCTTCTTACATCTTTGTTCCAACCTAATTGTTAGAAGTGGCGCTGCAGGCTCCCCGCTGAAGTCTCTGCCCGGGTTCGATGGCCCGCTGCCCATCGAACTCGAAACCGGGTCTGTTCTCTTCTTCCCTTTCCTCTTTTACGCTTATTTGCAGAATGGGAAGCAATTGGCATAAAAGAATTATTGGAGAATGGAGATCTTCTTAAACAAAATATTTTATGTTCTGATTTCTGGAATAACACCTATTAAACATACTCCCTATACATTAACAGCCCAAAAAACTTAGACAAAAACAGGAATTTTATGAATATCGGCCGGCTATAATCCGAGTTTGTTGGCTTTTGCCATTTTCCTAATTGATAGGATCTATGTAATTTATTTTTCATTCGAGTTCTGTTTTTCCGATTCATTAACGTTGAAATCAGTATCAGTTGTCTTGTCACTATTTTACTTTTATACTCCGTAGAATTGTACTACGTATTTTCTTAATTTGATATGCTAATTTTGTGCAAAAATACTTTCTCTATTCTTTATTAACTGTCTCGCATTTCTTTTTGTGACGTTGTTAATTATTTGTCTCTCTTTCCCTTTTTGGTAAGTTTTTTTAATCAAAATACCTTTATATTCCCACTTTTATTACCATTACCCATTTCTCTTTCCTACTTTTTCATTTACCCACAACTCACTACACCTTTTACCCTACCTCTATTATTTTTCTCTTAATCCCCGTGCCAAAGCCTAAGAGGACTCATATTTAAGAACGGAGGGAGTATATGACTTCATTATTTTTTGTCCAATTGAATCCCCGACCCCAATGCCCCATGCTCCGACACGACAAAGCATATGAGAGGTTGTAAATCACAGTACCTCAATCAATCCTAACAGTGGTACATCTTATACGCGTGCGCTCAATCAATCCTAACAGTGGTACATCTTATACGCGTGCGCACCAGAGGCTCAGTCCAGCACATAGGAGCCATGACTTTCACATGGTCGCTGCGGGTTTTGATCATTGCTCATTTGTCAAACTTTCTCACAACATTACCGATTGAGCTACCCGTGTGAGCATATATGACTTCATTATACTGTCAGAGTAGGTTGGTCACAGACTCACAGTCCAGTAAATTCGACTAATTCATAAATTTTCTAAAAACACTAGGTTTATTAAGAAAATTTTAGCGAGTATACTAGTTTTGAAAGAGGAATTGGACTTTACCCGAGCCCCCATTTCAAATAGCGCTATATTAGACAAGTACCTAATGAGTATCATCAACATTTTCAAAACTATTATTGAAATGAAATTTATAGTATGTTTGGTAAAATTGAAATTAGCTAATATTTAAAACATATTTTATTAATAAATTACAGAAAAAGTTACATGAAAAAATAGCGAAAATGCTATTCGACAATAACTTCAACCAACTCAACCCAACAAATAACTTCAACCTTATCTATTTTGATTATTACACGATCAACGCACGAAATCAAAAATTGTGGGTTTAGTGAAAACGTTGGCTGATAAGGCCAATAAATTGAGAACAAAGTCATCCAACAAGCTCTTATTTATATAAAAAAAATTATTAATAATTACTTTAATTTAGAATAATCTCATAGTAATTTAAGTGTAAAAATTGAACATGAATTACTTTGACTATGTTACTATTGTAGTCACTATAATTCGAAAGTCATATTTTTATAAACAACATTTATTTTAGTTACATACATGTAATTATTTCCAAATATAAATATCGCCATAATATAGTAAAAATTCAATACCACACAATCACACAAATTAAATAGCACACACCATCATCATTCATAAACTAACAAAGTAGCATCACAAACTCACAATGTAGTAAAAATTAAAATTGGCACTATATAGTTGTGTATTAAACAAGATTTTTTTAAGAAATAAGAAAATATAAGTAAAATCAAGATAACTAAATGAGTAGACTACATTTCATCGAGTAAGAATCTTTGTTTATCAAAGAAATTAAACAAAAGAAATTTGATGCATTTACATTGAGGATAAATATATAGGAATTTATATGGAGTTTGAAACTTTTACCAATAGACTCACGGACTTGACCAATTGAGAGTTTTTATTTGAGATATAAAAACCTGAACAACTTTAAGACCTATTCAGTTCATAATTTTTTAAAGAACCACCCTCCCGGTTAGAGTTTTATAAAATTGGGCCTTGACTCTTACCCATCCCGAATCTATACTAGGGTTATTTTTATTTGGATTGAAATTTACTGGTTTAGTTTGATTTGATTTGTTTAAATCTGGTCTGGTCTAGTCTGGTAAATGTCTGGTCTTTGTGTATTTTATAACTGTGGAAGACATGTCTGGTCTGGTCTGAACTGGTCTGATCTGTTCTGGCCTGGTTTGTTTAAGTCTGGTCTGATTTGCTCTGAGACTGAAAACAATCCAAGTAAAAACATCCTAGCTGACCTGACTCGCAATTCCTATAGTCGTTTGTCCACCCCTAAGAGCAGCTCTATTCATGCTATTTAAATAAACTCTTTTGCTCTTACACATCATTGTCACTTCATATTGATCCAATGAATTTTAAAGGTTAAAGGGTCAAATAGGTCCGTGTACTTTTACGGATTGCTCAATTTGCCCCCTCAATCCAAAAAAGCTCCAATTGGCACCCTTAACTCGATAAAAATATTCAAATTTCACTTTTTGTGGGTTTCAATCAGGTCACCGCCACGTCACCCGGTAGGGTGGTAAATGTGCATGTGACGTGACAATTTAGGGGGTCAAATAAGCCCCTGAACCCGATCGAATCGTTCAATTTACCCCCTCAACCCTAAAAAATGTCAAAACATTTTTAAGGGTTGAGGGGGTAAATTGAACATTTCAGTCGGGTTCAGGGGCTTATTTGACCCCTAAGTTGCCATGTCACATGCACAGTTGGCACCCTACTGGGTGATGTGGCGGTGACCGGCTTGTGACCTGTAAAAAGTAAAATTTGAATCTTTTTATGGAGTTCAGGGTGCCAATTAGAGCTTTTTTGAGTTCGGGGGGGCAAATTGAACAATCCGGAAAGGTACAGTTTGAGCTTTTTTGAGTTGGAGCTTTTTTGAGGGGCCTATTTGACCCTTTAGCCAATTTTAAATAATCTCAAAGCTCAAAACTTTTTGTCACCAATAGTACTCAAATAATTAGTTTTTTGAGACATGCATGTATTTTATTTTAACCACAACATCAACAACAATATCTAAACCTTTGTCTCAAAAAATTTAGGTGTCACTCAACATGAATCAATAATGATATCGGAATCAAAAAAAGGACCAGAGAAATAAAAAGTAAGATAAGATAAAATGTATTTTAACTACAATCTAAAACAAATCTGGATTTGAATCTTGATATTGGATTTTCTTTTCCAATAATCTCTCTGAATAATCTTTCACACAATGATAAATTTTAAAATAATCAGATATATCATCCATTTAATTAAACTAATGAATGAAGACGTCCTATTACTATATCACACCATTACTTTTATAAAAAGAAATTATTTTTTCATTTAATACGCATGAAGAGAAACGTAGGGAAACTGGTAGGCGTAGCTCAACTGGTAGAGAGGGAGTGCCACAAGGGTTATGTCCCGGATTTGAATCCCGGCAACTGCGATGAGAGGTTACTATGCTAAAAAATGCATAAGGCTTATGCAAGCATCGGAGACAGAGCCTCACTCTCTATCTGTCAGATTAGGATTATAGTCTAACTTACATCCTCCCAATATACTGTCCGGTCAGGGTTGGGGGGCTTTATGGATGTACCCGGAAAACATCCTAATAGAAGGCAATGTATATGTAGTACACAGAATCAGATAAAAAGTCGTGTTCAATTTGTATCAGAGTTGTTTGACAAGTTGCCCAAGGTTACCGACCTGAGGTTTTGTTACATACTAAAATTGACCAAATTGTCCAAATGTGACATAAAATGTTATTTAATGCTATTGAATACTCCTTATTTATTTCCAGAATTTTCCTTCATCAGTTCCTCATTCATCCTGTTTTCCTTAATTTTTTCTCCAAAGTTCATACATTGATTGAGGTCAATCTTTATAATTACATCTTTTAGACATTTTTACACATTTCTCTTTCTATCTCAATCAATTCTTTTAAGATATTGCCGACATTCCAAAATATAATTATGCTTGTGCTTTTTATACTCTCCCTAATGTCGGAAAATGTGACATAATTTTTTTGAACAAGGATTTACATATAAATTGACACATCATTTTTAAAATGAGGTTTCAATAGTGACACATTTTGGCTCATTTTAACGTGTAAAATTTTGGGGGTTGATTATTAAGAAATGTCGAACGAATTTAAACTATATTTTCTTCATATATTTAGACAATCTTCTAGCCATTTATTTCAGGCATAATGTAACAATCATCTAATCATGCTAGATACTTCATCCATTCTTTAAAAGTTGCAATATTGGGATTTTTGCACTATTTACACGTCTTACTTTGAGTAAGATTTTCTAATAATATACTACTCCGTATACTGTATAATCAAATTATTATGTATTAAATATTATTAAATTTCTATATATGTAAATTTCCAAAATATTAACTTTTTTAATATTTACTACTCCCTCCGTTCCGAAAAGGTTGACCAAATTTCTTTTTTTAGATGTCCCAAAAAGATTTGTCATTTCCATTTAAAGTAAAGAATATGTGGCTAAAATTAATTCTCTCTTCTCTGCACAAATTTCAACCACACAGTTTTTACTTTATTAATCCACGTGAAAGTCAAATTTGGCCAACCTTTTCAGGACAAAGGGAGTAATATGCAATTACATATAATTACATTCAAAGTTGTATGTTGGCAAACATGAAAGTCAAACTGTTGCAACTTTTAAAGAACGGAGAATAATATATCTTGTGGGTTCCTTTATGTTCTACACTATTTTTCAAATTAGCTGGCAAAATGGTCTTATTCCACTCATAATATTGCCCGGAGTCCAGTTTAGTAGAGCATATCTTAACTCTTAAGACAAAAAATCAATACTTACCTACATTGGGAAATTTCAAGTTCACTTAACTCCTAAAAGGATCCATTTTCAAAGTATTGAAAGAATAAACGGTTTTGACATTACCTTATTTAAAAAGTATTTACACATTGGATGTTGGGGAAAATATATAAATACACCAACTTTGATGGGTTGTGAGATAAGTAACCAAAATATGCATGTATATTATATACATGCCCTGAACTTTATCTAAAAAGTGATTTTCACATCGATCGTGATTGTGTTGTTTACAAATATGAATTTGTAGGAATAATTACATAATTTAAAATACTCTAAGCTTTGTTAGGATGCAATTAACATTCTAAAATTTCATTTGTGAAATGAATATTATTACATCTTGTACAATTTACTCATAATTACATCTTCATAGATGTTTTTTGTATTTTATATTATGCACTAAATACCATAAATTACATTTGTGAAAAAACATATGATCATAGAGCTAACAGGCCTTTTTATATAAAGTTTGGTATATATATATATATATATATATATATATATATATATATATTACATGTGCAAATTTGGGGCGTATCTCACACCCTTTCAAAGTTTGGATATTTAAATTATTTTTTCTCTTGGATGTATTATATGGTTTAAACCTAGATTGACCTTTATTTGCTCATCATTTGTTTACAAAAATCTAATTTTTTTATTCAACATGTGTTTAAACAATTTAAATATATAAATTATAATATGAGGAGAATTGTACTACTACAGATATTATGGAAAGACAATTCACACTACTTTTGGGGTGTTTTACCAAAATGCGGGAATGCCTAACATGGCTTCCCAAAACGCGGGGAAAAATCTAGGGTTTACCAAAAAGTGGGAGTCGGAATTGGGTGTTCCAACTAGAGTTAGGGCCTTGAAAAAAACACCTATCCTCCAGTCGGATTTGTGTCTTCCGACTAGGATGCTTTTTTTTTTAATTCCTCCCGTATTGTTAATTCCTTTAAAATTGTTAAAGTTTTGATTTTAATAGTTTTTTAAAATAAAGTTTTAAATTGCTGTCAAAATTGTTAATTACGAATTTAAATGTTTTTTAAAATTTGTGTCATATTTTTAAAATGAAAATTATGCTTTTTGATTTTTTGAGTAGCAAAACATTGATTACTTTATATTATTTTTAATCCATCCATATTGCGAATAAAATGAAAGATAAATTTGATTTTGTTTTAAATGTAATTTTTGTAATTTTAATGGAAGTGAACAAAACAAATGTAGTTTTCAATGTAATTTAACAATAAATAGATAGTACATACAATAATAAATTTAATACTACATCTAACGTTGCATGCTCGGCCTTGCTCCGTCGCCAGTGTTTCATGCTCCCGTTGTGTCTCCATGGTAAAGTGACGAATCCAGAAATGAGGAAACAAAATCATCCGCATGTGTGGAGTAGTGATAAGAATCATAATACGGCGATGTTGATCAAATGAGAAACCTTGATGCGTTGAGAATTCAGGGGGCGGTTGTGATTGCTCACCCTCACCTTCATGTTCATCTGCATCATCCTCTTGCTCGTTTCCACCTTCATGTCTATCTTCATAATGGAATATGCCTCAGTGGAGCATCTCTTCATCACCTACATCCAGGGCCAACCACTGTAATCCACCTTTGAGCGGGCAATGTGCTCTACGCCCAAGAACCCATCATCGTGTAACTTCTCTATCACTCTTTCATCTCGCTCTTCATCTCTGAATGCAGCTGAAAGGCAACTGACGCTCTTCAATCACAAGTCTTTGGAATTTGGTTCATACCATACACGATCTGCACGATGGGCATTCGGTGGCAACGTGAGTAGAGAACGATTAACAGGCCCTGGGCGCGGAATACTTTGGTCCATTTGAAATTCCTAAAATAACTAGTTCTAAATTACTAAATTTTGAAATTGCACTCTAAATAAAAAATTGAACACAATTTCTAAACTTCTACAATTTTAAAATCTTAAATTAGAAATTTAAATAAACTTAAAATCTCAAGTTCTAAACATCTAGAATTTAACACAAATTCTAAACTTCTACAATTTCAACTATTATAAATCATAAAAAGTTAAAATTAAAGAGTAAAATTCGAATGTCACAATCTAAATTAAAAAATTTACAAATTACTATATTAACTACTTCTACACTCTTAAAACCTAAATTTAAGGTAAATTCTCAATTTAACACACTTTCCAACTTTCATAAGTAGATTATGATTCTACAAAGTAGTTACATTCATAAATTTCAATATTATTATCTACTACAAAAAATAAATAACATTTTATTTGAATGTTATAAAATGTACTCTGATATGTTATGAACTTAGTTTATTTTTGAATTCATATCACTTAATGAGTTAAATTTTGTTTAAACGCGTCATATTATAAAATGTGAGCTTATCTAATTGAATGAGTTAAAAATTACTAAAATAAATACTTCTAAAGTTATGGTTTACATAAAATAAAATTTATCTCGAATATAAAATTTCTTAAAGTAACAATTTAATTTTTAAAATTTAATTTATAAAATTTCTTTAAATAAAATAAAATATTTGTATTTTCGAATATAAAATTTCTAAAAAACATCCCCTGGTTGGATTTGGGATTTCCGACAGGGATGAATTTGATTTTTTTTCATTATAGTTCAACCGGATTATATAAAAATTCTAAAAAAGACCCCTCGTCGGATTTAGCAATTCCGACATGAATAAAATTGAATTTTTTCGTTTTAATTCGTCCGGAATATATAATTTACATTTACAGAAATTTTATTACATTTACCAACGTAAAAGTCTAAATATTACATTTACATGGTTTTATTACATGTACATGGCTTGTCAAACATTTACATTTACATGGTTTAAGTATTACATTTACCAACACAAATCAAGCAACAAATCGAAAACAATAAAAATTATTCAAACACCCCTAGTCGGATTACCCAATTCCGACTAGTTTTTTTTTTAATTCTTGTCGGATCAGCCAAATCCGACCATGTGTTTTACCCTATGCGCTAACCCTATTTTCGAAGCTTTCCTCCTGTCGGAATTGGAGAATCCGACTCCCGCTAAATGGTAACCTAATCCGAAGTCCCGTATTTTGGCTTGTCGGACACAAAAGTCCCGCACATTGGTAATTTCCTCCTACTTTTGTATGGTCTCGGTATATCATTCAGTAGGTATGGCTATATGGCATCATATATTAAATTACCTCTTTGTAGTGTTTGAGTAGCTTATACTCGATGCATGAAATTTTATCATTACTATTTATGTGCACAACTTGTTTAGACAAATAGTTTTGCTTTCAGTATTTATTTAACCTTGTAGGTTAATATATGTTGAAACTCTCTTGAAAAGTTAATATATGGATTGCTTTATGGTACAAGTAGATACATACTTAGGACATTATATTCTCATCCCTTAGTCAAACACTCAAACACACTCTTTCACCAAAAGAATCATTAGTCTAGTGATTACTTATCACGAGATGTCCATAGAGTTTAAAATTTAGCTAATGCTACTCGTGAATATAACAAGTAAAATAAAATTTAATTATCAAGCAATCATATATGTATAAGAGCGCGCATTGTAAGGTTTTCTCAAAGTATTCACTTAAGTGAATTTCTAAAATTTATCTTGGCGTATGATAACATATTATCACTATTATACTATTAATTGTCTGAAAATTAATATAGATATTTTTTTCAATAAATTAAAACAAGCAAGCACAATACATGTGTACAGATTTTTTTTTATTAAAGAATTGACACCGTATTGGAAGAAGTCTATATCGCGTGTAAACGAATGAGCAATTCAAGGTAAACCGTATAATTAAAGAAGTCTAGGTTTAATTAAGATTTTTGTAAACAAATGAGCAAATCAAGGTCAACCTAAGTTAAAACCGTATAATACATCCCAGAGAAAAATAATTTAAATAACATAAATTTTGAAGGAGAATAGGATAAGCACCCAAACTTGCACAAACTTATGATATATACTGCGTAATAGTTATACGGTATAATTAAAGAAATAACTTTGTTTTCTAAATCTTACGTCAATGAAATTTTATATAGTTTAAATGCTGAAATCAACAAATAAATAACTTTGATTTTCATGTAGGACTGATAATATTTTATGTTTTTCTATTTAAAACGTTTGCAACTCATATTATATGTTAAATTTAAATCTTCCCTATTGACACTTAACTCAATTTATAGTAATTAAAATTTACATAATAAATCTAATTAAAAATAGATATCCTAATTAAGTGAATAAAATGATTTAACTTGGGACGGAGGTAATATTAAATAAAACTCGTATTAAAACTAACGAATATCGGGTGTGGTATATATTAATATATGAACTCCATCAGGTATTTAGGAGTAGGAGATTCTGAAGACGTACAACTCTTCTACTATTTCATCAAATCAGAGTCTAATCCCAACTCAGATCCCCTCTTGCTTTGGCTGACCGGAGGACCCGGTTGCTCTTCGCTCTCTGGCCTACTATATGAGAACGGTAATAAATCTCCTACATTAGGGGTTGTTATATGCTCGCATTTGAGTAAAATGTTAATTTGGTAAATAAGTATTTCGATCTCTAGTAGAATAAATAGTGCATGCACTTAAATTGGTGCTCATAAAGTACTTGCAAGTTAGCAACAGAGCCCATAGTGTACTTTAAATCATTTTCACAATGGAATTATGGTGCATTCGTCAAACATAGATGGATAATTTTGAAAAAAATGATTTAATAAAATTTTAAGTTTTAGTTCAAACTAGTAAAAAATGAAATGGATAAAAAAATGAGATGTTATATAAATAAATTGTTTAATTTTTAAAATGTATTTAACATTTGTAATATTACAATTGAACATATGTTAAATTACTGTTAAATTAAGAATTGTGAAACATTTGATAAAATTAGTAATCGATTAATCAAATGTATTTTAATTGTAAATAAATGTTAAGGAGGAAAGACTACACCAACATATATTAGAGTTCATAACCTACTTCAAATTAAATTGTTTTAGTAGACTAAGGAGTTAATGTTAAAAAACCATCTCATACTTTTCAACTTGTTCAATTCAAATACTACAAATGTTAAACACATTTTAAAAATAAACAATTAATTTTGTAAATCATCTCAAATTTTTCTAACTTTTTTCAATTTCTATTTAGTTTAAATTAAAATTTAAAAAATTATTTAATCATTTTTCTAAGTTGTCCATCTGTATTAATTTGACAAATGTACTATAACTCCACTGTGAAAAGAAGTTGAACTACTTGCAAGTTAATGTAATCTTTATTCCACCGGAGACAAGTTGATGTAATCTTTGAGTTTCCATGCAAGTTTATATACTCTTTACTCTACTGAAGACAAATTCAGACACCAAATTGACATTATAATTTACTCTTTGGCATTTTGTCATTTATTGCAATATAATCATTTGTCTATTTCACTTTTTATTTTCATAAAAATCTTACGAGCCTATTTGATAACTTGCATGTATTTAAAACTCTGCATGCATTATGATAGCGTTCACAGAATTACAGAAGCAATCCCTTTGAATATCAAATACAAATGCAGTTCATTTGCTTTGCATTCTATCCATGAGCATAGCCTAACGGCCAACCTCAAAAGTTTTATAGCTATTAGCTATTTCTATTTAGTACGTTAAAAGTTTTGTACAAAATTTTAAATGAAAATACTCTTTTGAGTTTTGACTAGTGGATCTACTCAATAATCTCCCCCGAGTATGCCATTAAAGTGTATGGAAGTTAGAGGTGTATGGTTTTTTGATAGGAAAGTGACTAATTATATTAAAATATAAGAACCAGCGTCATTACAAACTTTCCGATACTGAACAGCTCCCTGCTACCAAATTAACCATAACCCAAAGGTCTCATCACACTCTGATTAGATATAGAAACGACCACCCCGACTAAAGTGGACGGGTCGCTAACCATTTGAGAGATTTGAAGATTATATCGGCTTTTGAAGTCATCTTACTTTTTCGCAAAAAATACCTACCCACCTCATCATAAGCAAAACACACCCACACAAAGGTTCCAAAATAGAAAATAAACTAAAAAATAACAATATTAAAATGAAAACTAAACGAGCGTGCCACTAATTGCCAAGCTCCTTTTTTCTTGATTCCTTCTAAATGAGGTCTTTAACGAACCTCCAAAACTCCAATTTGTTCATTACATGGCAGTGGTTCAGGGGGAGGACGGGCCATCAGGACCGTTGTGACTGCTTCCTCATCACCGAATGAATTCTGCGCTTTAGCCGGTCTCCAAACGAATGCCATAGTGTCGCGAAAATAAGTGAGTCGGACTGACTTCTCTGAAGTGATGATCCCAACGAGAGCAAGGCTTCCAGTCACCACACTTGATGATGTGGCCTCCACCATCATAATGCATGCAGAGATGTAAATACATGTAAGTTATCAAATAGGCCCGTAAGCCCGGGCTAATTACTCCAACTCAAATTGTGCCTGATCGCCTCCATTTCCAACCTTCAGAGTTGTATGATTAGACACTCACCGTGCCAACAGAGTTGCTCCCACCCTCGGCAGTTCGCACACTGCCCAATTGAGAACTTGGGGTCGCCTAACATTAATTGATCCATGATATCAATGCCAAAAAGAGAAGAAAGATAAGTAAGAAAAATAAGTAAGATAAAATAAAAATAAAAATAAAAATAAGAAAACAATAGCATAAGAAAGACAAAAGATAAAAAGATATAAGAGCATAAAAAGATAGAAGACAAAAATAACATAAAACATAGAAAGATAAAGAAGAATAATGATAAAAGAAAAAGAGAGGAAATATAGAAAAGAGATCAATCTTCCACACGAATGTGCGCCTTCCACTTTACTCTCTCCAAATTCATACTCTCATCCAACCCAAGAAGACTCATATCAATTCCGATTTCTCAAATCCAAGTTTGTTTGGGTCTTCCTCTCCCTCTCCTCCCTACCACTTCTCCCCATCTCCTAAGTCGTGTAACATGTGCATCACTCAGTCTTCTACGCACATGACCAAACCACCGCAAACGAGACTCCTACATCTTATCATCTATATGTGTTATTACCATCTTTTGTCTGTTATCTCATTCTTCAAGCAATCTTGCTAGTATGTCCACACATTCAACGCAACATATGCATCTCTGCCACACTCTTCTTTTGAATGTGACATTGTTTTATCGTCAAACACTCTACGCGATACATTAATGCATGCCTAATTGCTGGTCGATAAAACTTATCCTTCAGTCAAGACGGCATACCTGGATAGCATATAAATAATCCTTATGCACTCTTCCATTTCATCCATCAAGATCTTATTCAATGGGATACATCTCCATCTAATTCACCATCCTTCTGAATTATGAAGCTCATGTAACGGCACATATCACACACCGGTATCTCCTTACCATCAAGAGTAATCCCATTGTTAATACTACTTCTACCTCCACCAAACTTGCACTCTGTATACTCAGTCTTGCTTCAGCTCAGTCTGAAATCCTTGGTCTCCAATGTTTGTTGTCATACTTTCAACTTTGTTTTAATACACGATTGCGTCTCATCAATCAATACAATATCATCGGTAAACATCATGTACCCCGGTGTATTTTCTTGAATTGACTTCGTAAGTTCATCCATGACTGTGGAAAATAAGAAAGGACGACTCAGAACTGATCAGTGGTCCACTCCGATAGTAATAGGGAACTCTGCGGTCCTCCCTATACTAGTATGGACACTTGTAGCCAAGCCTCATACATATCTATGATGATACTGATATACATATATATGTGATATGCATTTTCTAGTTAAAGCCCATCAAATGACTTCTCGAGGTACCCAATCATAAGTTTTTTCTAAGTGTATGAACACCAAATGCAGATCTTTTTAGTGTCTCTATACTTCTCCACAACTTGCCCAGGAAGGTGTAGTCCCTATTTGTTGAGCGTCCAGGCATAAAACCTGTTTACTTGCAATAAAGAATTTTCCGTTAGGGAAAGACGTAAAAGACATAAAACCAATTGAAATAAATAAATAAGTTAAAAATAAATAAATAAATTAATAAATTAATAAATTAATAAATTAATAAATAAATAAACCAATAAATAAATAAATAAATAAATCAATAATTCAATAAATCAATCAATAACTCAATTAATGACTAAACTATATATAAATAAAATAAATAAATGTATTTGTATGTATGTATGTATGTATGTATGTATGTATGTATGTATGTATGTGTGTGTGTGTACACACACACACACACACACACACATATATATATATATATATATATATATATATATATATATATATATATATATATCTTTCGATCAGGAAATTCTTGATCGGAGCACTGTCCGGCCACCTCAATTTGAGGTACTTTCGAGTGGAATTGTTTTATGAAATTTTGCGAGAATGTTTCTCATGAAGTTTAACATAAAATTGAAAAAACTTTGTTTTATGCCCACTAAATATTAGCATAAAATTCAATTGGGAAGTCAGCTAAATAAATTATTAAAAAAGTTGTGTTTTCTAATTTACATATATTTTGGCGCAATTTTTTTGAATTATTATATTTATTTAACTAACTTCTCAATTGAATCTCAAGATAAACTTTTGTGGACATAATCTACACTTCATGAAGATTATGCTCACAAAAATTCATCAAACAATTTCACTCGGAATCAGCTAAAATTGAATTGGCCGAAATATTTCTGTGTGTACATTTATATATAGGGTGCGATTCCGGTGGAAACACTCTTTAACGTGAAAAATGAGAACACTCTAAAACGATGCACATCTATAGTTAAAGTAATGTAAAATTCATTTATCTCATGATTGAATATGTAAGTGAATTTGTGAAGATATCTAAATATGGAGAAAATACTAATCTTTGCCTTTTCATTTGACAATTAAATTTGTTCGTAGATGGGGGTTTTCGAATGAATAATTATAACATAAGAGACTTTCACACATTTTACAAATCACGTGAACTAATACACCTAATTTATATATCACGATGTGTTGAATGCATTAACACGCTCATTTAGGGTAAGGATGTAGGAATGTAATAATTAAATTTGTTAGCATCGATCATATACCCACTTACATTTTATGTTTTTGTCGACCATGCAGGACCTCTTATGTTCGCACCTATGAATATTAGTAAAAAGTTCCCAACTTTGCTATCAAACCCTAACTCATGGACAAAGGTTAGCTACTCTTTTCAAGTAAAATGTCAATGGTGTCCACCATCTTTTTTCTATTCACAGCTGAGACCTACTGATTCATCTGACTTTAAGGTTGTCCGCAATCCATCCATGAAAAAGCTTTATTTACACTTTTCACTCCTAAAAATGTTTCAACCCAGTTTATTGAAGGAGGCTAAAATGGATTGGTGCTACCTTGGGAGTGAGAATTAAAGAGGTTATTGAGTATTGACGGAGGAGAGAAGCTACCTGGAGCGTTAACGTACGAAGAAATATGAGTGCCTACACTCAAATTATAAACCCCAATTTTACTTAAATTATTATAACTTTTTTATTTTTATTCATTTTTTATAAATGATATATCAAAATTCATAATTTTTAATGACAAAATGGCCTCTATATAACCAATAGACTATTTTCATTTCCAAAAATATAACCTTCTTTTTATTTTCCAATTCCAAAGATACGACCTAGATCTAAAAAAGAGACCCGTCACCCCATTCCAGCGCACTTCATCTGCAACACCCATTCCTGCGCAGCCGAGATGGCCATCTGCTTCGCCTCATCTGCTCCGCCTCATCTGCTCGGAAGTGGAGCTCGGTCGACCGCCTCCTTCGCCGCCGCTCTCCTGCCGTCTCCGCCCTGCCGCCTCCGCCCTGCCACAACTCTCTTCTTTTACTCATTTCTTCTCCACCGTCGTTGCTACATCTGAAATAGAATAGAGGTCGAGATCTAGGCGTCGTTCTCAACTGGATCCGCCGTCCCTCCGTAACCGCGCCTTCGTCAGATCCTCCGTTCGTTGGTATCCGCACCTTCGTCAGATCCGCCGTCCCTCGAAGTCGCGCCTTCGCTAGATCTGCCGCCCTTGCTGCGCGAAAACTTCATTTTGGGGCCGCCGCGACTAAAGGCGATGCGATGAGCGTTTCGTTGATGTGCGGCGGCGGGAGTCGATGCGGCTGGCTGGGTGCGATGACGACTTCGTGGAGGTGCGCGACTGGCCGGAGAGGAAGCCATAGGCAGAATAGGTGGGCTAGGAATGTGTTTCTTTGGGATAGGGGTCAAGAAGAGTGGCTGAGTAGCTCGATTTGTGGGGTGGTGATGTTGCAGGGGCGGTGGTGGACTGTAACGGCGGAGGTGGTCGACGGTAGTTATTGGAATGGGTAATGTGGCTGCGGAGGTGTCACTTTCGATGTGTCACTATGGCCGCCGGTGCTCACCGGTGGGGTTGGAGCGGTAGTCACTGTCCGGTAGAGTCACTTTGGCCGCACCGGAGTCACTGTGATTGCAGTCACTGTGGCCGGAATCACCGTGACCAGAGCAGCGACAGTGTCGATGCCGGTGACGGTGGTGGGGTCAACGGTCACAGAGGTGCTGGTGGCTGTAAAGGAATATTATTAAAATTATAAATGTATGATTATATAATAGGAATAAATGACTTTTAGTCACTTTTTTGGAAAAATATAAAACAAGCCACATTTTTGTCTTTTCCATTCATTTTAGTAATATTGGAATAAAAAGAGCATTTTTAATTGGTCTTTTTATTCCAATATTACTAAAATTAATGAAAAAGACAAAAATGTGAGTTTTTTTAAATTTTTTCAAAAAAGTGACTAAAAATCATTTTATTTCTTATATTAAATTATACATTTATTATTTTAATAATATTCCTTTGCAGCCACCAACACACCTGTGGCCGCAGACCCCAGCACTGCCGTCGTCGTTGCTGCCTCTGTCACCGTCGCTGCCTCCGTCACCACCGCCAGCCACTATCTTAGTGACTCTGTCCACCAGTGACTGCCGTCGCCACAGTGACTCCGCCCACCACTGACTGCCGCCGCCACAGTGACTCTGCCCGCCAGTGACTGCCGTTGTCACAGTGACTCCACCCGCCAGTGACTGCCGCCGTCACAGTGACTCCGCTCGTCAGTGATTGCGCCGTCACAATGACTGTGCCGCCACTAACTCTGTCCCGTTAGTGACTGCGGCTGCCCCTGACCAAAGTGATTGTCCGCCCACCAGTCACAGTGGCCCGCTAAAGTGACTGCCCGTCCAAGTTCGTCCACTGCCGCCACATTCCGGCCACTGTCATCACAAACCCCCTCCCCATCCCACAACCCCCCTCCATAGCCCTAGCACTCTCTAGCCCCGCCCCCTGACATGCCCCCAACCACCACATGCGATGACCCACATCCCTCCACCGCCGACAACCGCTCACGGTGACCAAAACCTCCGGCCACCACTGGACCACCATCCCAGCTCTCAGGTCCCCTCCTCTGGTCCTAGCCCCTCCCCAGACCTTCACGACCCGGATCTAGCCACAAGCCACCCCTTTACCGCCTCACTACCTCCGACCACCACGACCACGCCATTGACCTCGTGCATCCATCATTCGCCGGACCCATCGAAAACCCTAGCCACGTCCCCTGATTCCCCCATCATTCATCAACGACACCAATCGTCAATAGAGAAAGAGAAGAAGAAGAAAAGTGGTGGTGATGGCGCTTGAGAATTCAAGCAACGATGGCCAGCAGTGAGAGATGAAATCTGGCGGTCAAGGGACGAGTGAAGAACCAACAATGGACGGTTGAGAGATGGAGCGACGGCCGACAATGAGAGATGAAACCTGGCTGCCGAAAGATGAGACCTGAGACGAATCGGCGGATGGCGGCTCACGGCTCATAGATGAAGCACCGACGGCTGGGTGAGAGATGAGGCGGCGGCACACCCATGCGAGAGGAGAGCTGAAGAGCGTACGATTTAAAAAATTAAAATGATGAAGATGCTTTTCAGATTTGTTGAGACCATTCATTTGAAACAAGTACATAGTAACTTTTTTGGAAAATGGAAAGTCTGTCATATTATTGGAAATGATAACACAGCTAATCATACCCGTGCCATTCTTTCTTTTTAATTTTCTTTCATATAACACCAATATCACATATATAAATTAAAAAAATAACTTGTAACTGTTGGGGATATTTAAACTCAAAATTTTTCTTAAATATATTTTTTAAGAAAACTAAGATATATTTCATAAATTTTTTCTTAAACTAACTTTTAAGTGAAAAGATTAAGATCTGATGACTAAAATATATTTTTACATCTTTCAATTTTTTTCACAATTGTACTTTTTTTTACATCAGAATGTTTGATTTTGTAAATCATAATCATTTGTAAAAAAGTAAGGTTTTAATTAAAAAAAATTATTGAATGGATATATTGACGGTGCTGGATTGCAGTAAAAATTGAATTGACTGAATGAATACGTATAAATTGGTGGGAAACTCAATTTATTGACGGAGATGGGTTGCGGTTAGCCTAAGAAGAATTCTTTTAATAGATTTTTACAAAATTATTAATGAAATAAAATTTATTTACAAATTTTATCACATTTTAAGTTTAGCACTTTATCAATCATTTTTTAGGTAAGGTTAGGGTTATATTTCTTGTTGAATTGACTAAAATTACTATAAACGACCATGTTAACCTTTCCATACAATTGTTCCTTTATTTTATAAATAAGATATACCCGTAATTCAATACAATTTTTCATAATTAAACACATTCAGTTGCTTTAGCCAGAATTTAATCAATTTCAACAGATTTGAGTGATTTAACCAATTTCAGTATTATTAGACGTGGCCAAAGTGAAACTATACAGAGTAACTAGTAAGTGATTAATACCCGTGTGGTCTATTATTTTGTGTTAGGTGGCGAACATTATTTTCTTGGACTTGCCGGCAGGAACAGGATTCTCTTACGCAAAAACTAAAGCAAATAATGAATCGAATACAACTCAAGCTTGTCAACAAGCTTATGAATTTCTTCTTAAGGTCATTAACTTTTTAGTTTTGTTTAGTTGTTATTAATAATCACTCTCTCCGTCCCAATTTGATTTGCAAAATTTCCTTTCTTTGTTGTCCAAAAATCGTTTTCCACTTTCTATTTTAGGTATGTAAATAAGAATAAAGTCACAAATTTACTCTTACTTTTATTTTTTACCCATTAACTTAAAGGTATCTACTTTTAGAAAGATGGGCCAAAGCGTAAAAAGCAAGCACCATTTAAAATAGAACATTATTTAGTCTTGTGTTGATCAAAGTAATTATGAACATTTAAATTACAAGATGGTCATTTCTTAATTCTTGTGTTGATCAAAGTTTGCAATTCAATTCGGGACGGTGGAGTATTTATTAAGAAATTCCAAAAATATGAACATTATGTTTATATTATAAATAAAAGTAATTACTCTGGTGCTTGGAAAGTGTTTGCCACTTCCATTAACGCCATATTAAGATAAAGTCTGATCATATCAAAATATGACAGTGAATTTTTCAGGATGACACTACGTTTCTCCTATCTACTGAAAAATACAATACTTTATATTTTGGAATTTTGGTTATTTTTATTCTATTTTGGGACTTTTGCCTTACTTAAAAGGGCTAAGTTAACACCTCTTTACATACCTACTATGCATTTATGAAGAACGCTATTTGTGTGCAGTGGCTAGTTGATCATCCAGAGTTTGTTTCAAATCCATTCTATGTAGCGGGTGACTCATATGCTGGCACATTTGTTCCTGTCATTACTCAAATCATATCGGATGGAAAGTCTTTGAACTATAAGCACCCTCTTCAATGATTAAATCTTTAGTGATCTTGTGCCCATTCATATTGTTCTACGACTTCGTCCCTTAAAACTTTGTCATCTTTCACTTAATAAGCCAATGATGGTACAGTTTAGACTATGATTTTGATTAGTATAACATTTGAAAACTTAAAAAAATTGTACTTCTAAGAAAGTACTTTTAACAAATAATACTTTCATATCATTTTATTATATAAATATCTTCCTATAAAAACATATAATATGTATTTTATTCCTAAAATAGAACTTATTTAGTCATCATGAAAGATTAAATATCCTCTTTTAGTAGTAATTCAATAATATTTTAGGAGAAAAACACTTTAATTTGGTCCTAATTGAAGAATTGTATAAGCTAATATTCCTATTTAAGGAATTCTCCGCATATTAAACCCTTTATATAGTCATTTGCATGACTCATTTCTATTTTATACAGAGTAATAAACTCGTAAGTATGTTCATGGCTTTATCAACATTCATGAATGCAGGGAATGACAAGAGAATAAACGCCAAAATCAATATCAAGGTTTGCAGTTTTGCACTCATTCCCTCTCTGACAGACATATACAAAGATAACTTTTAATAAAAACCGTCTTTCCGTAAAATTATAAATTGACTCTTTGTAGAAAAGAAACGGTGACATAATTGTAAATATTATATGAAACATTTGTTCAAATGTTTGTACAAAAAATGAGTGTTGAAAATGAATGAGTGCGCAAAATTATACATATTTTCATAAGCAGTATACATTTTCTTTTGTGTCATTGTTTGTATACATTGAATGACTGCGTTTTACATTGTACTACAAAAAAATGTAGTGTTTGATAAATGAATTGAAATTTCTATCGGTGCAAAAAAGTCATCATCTGATTGTAACAATGCACTGATTAAAAACTACGGATTAGAAACTATAGTGCAATCGTTAACACCGCATATAGAAACACAATTTTCATTGCAACTGCACTAAAAGAAGCTTGGGTAACTTGCGTTACACACACATGAGTTATATGAGAACCCCTCTTATGATGTTTTAATTGGACTGGTTTTAAACTCACACCAAATACTAGACTTGAAAAGACCACACAAAACTAGAATAGATCATCCAGACTTCAACAATGCTAAAATACATGTATCAGACATGATTAAATTATTCTATATTTAAATAGACCTGACCAAATCATATCAGAGTTGACCATATTAAAAATATTTCAATCCAATTAAAAACAACCACATAACTAGACGCTTAGAACTCATTTTAAGATGATCTCTTAATATCCATCTTTCACTTTTATAATTAATGGCTAATATTAATATGATGGCATTTTTGTAAATGTTGGGGATTTTTTTAAAAAATGCTCCACTTGAATGTAGTGTAATTATGAATATGAGTTCATGTGAATATAAAATTGCAATAAATGAAAAGTTTTGGTAAGAAATTCTAATTATATATACATATATACACATTTTAAATTCGATCAGGAAGGCAGTCAAATAATTTTTTGAAGATAACTGTGCAAAATTGTACATATAAAACGCGGTTATATTTTAAAAAATATTTAACTGCCTTCCTGATCGAATTTTTAGCTATTTTTTTTGAGAATAAGCTAGACTTGTTGAGGAACATGATCAAAAAATTTCATAAAAAAACCACTAGGAACCTCCCCAAACGGAGGTGGCCGGACGGAGGATCCTTTCCCTCTCTGGCTGGACAGGATCTTTTCCATGTATATATATATATATATATATATATATATATATATATATATAGGGAGTGGTTCCAGTGAGAAAGGACTCCCAGAAGAGAAATGAGAATGAACTTGGACCGTTGGATTGTATTATGTGAAATTGAACTGTGCATTTGGTAAAACTGAAATGTGCATTACGTGAAATTGAAATGTGCAAAATGAAAACTAAAACTCAAATGTGCATTACATGAAATTGAAATGTGCAGAATAAAAGACACAAAAATGCCACTGCATCCTAGTTTTTATTCTGCACGTTTCAGTTTCACGTAGTGCACATTTTAGTTTTTCATAATGCACAATTCAGCTTCACATAATACCACTGTGCCTTACATTTTGTGCTGCACATTTCGATTTCACCTAATGTACATTTCAGTTTCACTTAATGCACATTCAATTTCACAGAATACAATCTAATGGTCGAGATTCATTCTCATTTCTCTCTTAAGATCTTTTTCTCACTTGAACCTAATTCTATATCCATATATATATATATAGTAATCTCCCGGTCAAGCCTTCCTGATCGGAACCGCCGTCCGGATGGCGGCTTTTGAGGCCTTTCTCGGGTGAATTTTTTTGATGAAATGTTTTTGGAATGTTCTCCATCAAGTCTAGTTTAACCACACAAAAATGAGCTAAAAATTATCGGAAAGGCAGTTAAATAATTTTTGGAAGATAACTGCGTCAAAATATACATATAAAAACACATTTATCTTCCAAAACTTGTTTGACTGCCTTCCCGGTTGAATTTTTATCTGAAATATTTTGTGGATAAACTAGACTTAATGGAGAACATGTCCAAAAACTTTCATCCAAAAATTCCACCGAGCAGGTGGTCAAACGCCGCCGTCCGGACGGCGATTCTCTTCCAGAATTCCGGACATGAACTTCTCTCTATGTGTGTGTAACGGTCAATATATTGCTTGTTTATATACGATCCAACTGGTTTGGCATTTGTTATTTGGTAAACTTGCTCAATACATTGAATTTGGCTAAAATCAATTTGAATGAAACACGTAAGTTATATGTTACTCCCTCCTTCTGTCCCTAAATGTTTGTCACACTTTGACTTCACATGTTTTAAGGAGATGAATTTGACTTTACATTGTAGCGACACTGTTTCACACTGTAGTGACACTATTTGGCACTGTTTGACACTGTTTTGCATTGTTTGACACTTTTTGGTATAGTTTTGTTTACCAAATAAGGAAGTTTAAAAAGTATGACAAATATTTTGGGACATCCGTTTCGGGAAAGTGTGACAAACATTCAGGGACGGAGGGAGTACTTATTATATTATTCTAGTGAAAACCAAATTGTCCACCGATTAGTAATTAATACTGAATCAATGAATATGATGATCCCGATCATTGTATATGGTGAAAATATTGATATTACAAATTAAAACCTACCAAAAGGTCTAAAAACATGTATTGCAATATTGAAAAAACATACTACAGGGATATGTACTTGGCAATCCATACGCGGCTGCCGACTATTTCCATTACAAAATCCCTTTTGCGCATAGGATGGGACTCATTTCAGATGAACTTTTTGAGGTAAAATTCTATATACAAAAAGACCCTCTCAAATCTGAACCCAAGAACTAATCTATCCTATTCAAAATAGTCTTGGAAGAAGAGTTGTGAAGGGGACATACTTGACTTTCTAAGGCCACAAAGCGTCGAGTGTTCTGAAGTCGTTCTAAAAATAAAAAAGGTACGTACTACTATATTAATTTGTTGGGGAAAAAGTCACTTCGAACTAACTTAAAAAGTGCAAATCACCCCTTATCATAGAATAGTTTGTCCGGCTGTCGCCATTTAGGGCTGTTTCCGATGAAAATTTTTGATGAATTTTTTTGAGCATCTTTTTCATTAAGTCTATTTTACCATACCAAATTTCAGATAAAAACTCAACCGGAAAAACAGTCAAATGATTTTCTGAAATGTACTGCGTTGTTTAGTTGCGTAGTTATCTTCAAAAATTCATTTGTCTGCCTTCCCGATTGAAATTTTAGCTGAAATTTGGTATGAGAAAACTAGACTTAATGAAGAACACGCTTAAAAAAACTCATCAAAAAATTCCACCAGTAAACGCCCCGAATGGCGACGGACGGACATAGCCTTCTATATAACAAGTGGTTTGCACTTTTTAAGTTAGTTCGAGAACCTATTTGACCCTTTTCCCTAATTTCTTCTTAGGATGTGATGATTAATTACCTCTTCTCATTTTATTCTTTTTTTTTTGTATAAAACATAAAAGTATATATTTTCTTCATTTCATGCATTGAACTTTCTATTTTCTTTCCCCAGGTGATCTCCGGAATCAATCCACTACATGTATTAGAACCCCTCTGTCTTGAACCTGAATTGAGGTCCCAAAAGGGGTTTGCCCACACAAGGAGACTTCTTGAAAAGTTTAACCACCTCACCCGCACTGTTCCATCATCGAAATATTGTCGGGTGGGCCAAAATTCATGTATATCTTTCTTGTTTAATGCTTTCATATTACCGAGTATATTGCAAGTAATTATAAAACTATTATATTTTGTAATTTCCAGTGGCTAATGTATACTTTGGCTGAATTTTGGGCGAATGATGAGAGCGTTCAAGAGGCACTCAATATAAAAAAGGTACCTCTTTCATCTCAAAAAATGTTTTTCATCTTACGTCGGAAAATTTTCCCGCTTCTCTTGTTCCTAAACGGACTAGACAAATAACCTATGGTTGAGTATCATTGTGACACTCCCGAGGAGGAGCTCATAGGTTTGAATCTCATCTCAATTCAAAATTTTTGACCTTAACACAGAACATATACTATTATAGGTTTGGAAGATTTGCCAAAAAAGCGGACTATATTAAATCAATTCAAGCTCTAGCTGCTAAGTGTAGTATTTCCCCTCATAAGCTGGTTAATATTATTCGTTCATATAATGCAAATTATAATAAGTCAATTATTCAACTAAAATCTCATGCATTAGAATAGAGTTTCCGAATCTTATCGTTATGCTAAAGGAACAAGCTAAAATTAAAGACGCGATTCATAAAAAGTTAAGCTTACTAATTAGTGTAGTGCTCGATGGTGATCATTGCATTTGAACAAACAAAATAGCTATGACAAAATTACCTGTACCTAATAAGACAAAAACAGTGTCATTAATTCCCTTATATATGACCAAACATTTTGTTAAATTGATGCATTTGGCATACGTGGCATCCACAACCATTTTTATTATTATTTAAGTTTATTATTTGAGTATTCCACCTTATTTGTTACTGTCCTTATTTGTCAAACAATTTCATTTTGTTCACTTAATTAGGATATCAATTTTTAATTATATTATAATTTGGGTTTTGCAATTTTATAGACATTTTAATGCAGTTTCTCAATTTGTAAATTTTAAATATTAAAAACTAAATTAATTTGATCTTGCTAATCAATTGGGAGGAGGGAGTATTATCTGTGCTAAATTCTTCTTTTTTTCAGCCACCTTCAATTAATATTATTATTATTATTATTATTTATCATTATTAGTATTGTTAATATTATTATTATTGTTTTCCCACATGCATAGAATGATTAATCATTCACAATTGTACCACACTATGACTCAATTCATTTTTCAAATTGTAATGATCTCATTCATGTGTCCACGGTGGCGGAATCAAGGTACTGAGCCGGGACAAAGAATATTTTCAAGAAACATTTACACAAAATTTTTTGCACTAAAAATTAAAGCATTTATTAATTTAGGATGAGTCGAGGCCTAAGTTGGCCCCCCCTAGATCCGCCGGTGTCTTTCATATTACACATGGTTGTCTTTTCCGATGGATTTCTCGGAAGCTAAGTTTTGGTAAATCACATATCTAGTATGTGTTTCACCATTTCCATCTCCAATCTTTTCCATCTTGTCCAACCATGCATTTTTTTCACCACATCATATAATGGGGCCTATGATATTTAATGATATCATTACTATGAGTAATGATCACCTCGGGTAGTTCTGACGGGAAGCTCCATCCGAACTTACCTATTTGAGGGTTTTTACCAGTGTAGTTTTTTGATAAAATGTTTTGGAATTTTTTTCATCAAGTCTAGTTTATCCACAAAATATTTCAGCTAAACATTTAATCGTGAAGGCAATAAAATAATTTTTGGAAGATAACTGCACCAAAATATACATATAAAAACGCAGTTATCTTCCAAAAATTATTTGACTGCCTTCCCGATTGAATTTTTAGCTGATATTTTTGTGTGGATAAACTAGACTTGATGAAGAACATGTCCAAAACATTTCATTAAAAAATTCCACCGGCAAGATTCTCTGATAGGCAAGTTCGTATGGGGCTTCCTGTGAGAAGTACCTGAGGTGATCTTTTTCTTCGTTACTATAATGCACTAATTAATACATTGTACTAATTTAGTTATTAGTTCTATATTATTTTGTTAAGTCAACAAATATAGTGCAATGAAAATTTTCATTTATGGAAGGAATTCTAAATATTTAATTGTAACCTACCAATTACCAAAGGGAATCAATTCCAAGAAATAAAAGAAACTTCAAAAATAGTAGCACCTTCACGAAAAAGAAAGAAAAAGCAAAATAAGTTATTAGTGCATTATAGTAATGGTATCACTTAAAAGTCATTGTCCTCACTACATGATGATCCGCAGAAAAAAGAAAATTCATATATATATGGATCCAGGAGATGAAAAAGGTTGGAGAAATGGAAATAGTGAAATGTAGGCTAGAGACGTGACTTATCAAATGAAACATGCTTCTAATAATCAAGATCATATATGATTATCTATTTTTGTGAAAATTTTAATAAATGAAAAACAATTATTGTATCGAAGTGAGAAAAATAAGGGATGTATTTCACCCTAGCTTATTTATTTTTAGACTACACACTTTCTTTTCAGTCATTGCATTTCCTTTATATTTACGGGAGTTATTTATTTACGAGGGTAATTTATTTAAAGCAGCCTAGTCATATTACAGAATCTCCAATGGTTACACATTTAGGGATTTGCTTGCAATTTAAAAAATATTAAAACTACTAGCATATCATTGAAAAGCATATTTCTGCTTAGCTTAGGCAAGCAAATTAGTCAATACAAGTTACTAGAATGATAAGAATTTTGAATTAAAATGGTAATTACCAACATATTTAAATTGTTGGGTAAATAATATATTAAATTAATTAAAATCCAACTGTAAGGCGAAGTATTGAAGTGCAATGGCAAATTCCCAACATTTGCTATGTTCATTTTAAGAAATGTTAAATTTTCTGAAGTTTATATTTTGATGTTTCTCTTTGCTGTTAATATTTCTTATTATTTGTTTATTTTAACTTAACAAAATACATATTTTTTGTATAAATTTTAAAAATATGCTATTATCCTCAATATAATAACAATAACACCAATTATTTGTGGGTTTTGAAATATCAATGACATTTTCCCAATTTTAGAAATATTTCAAACTAAGTATTACTTTTATTGTAATCAAAAATTAATTCATTACAAATGTATACTTTCAAAGTTGATTGAGTTGTGAGGCCTCTTCAAGAGAAGAGTATTATAGCTAACCATTGGAGTGCCACATTATTGGAAAATGAGTTAATGAGAAATTGATAATGTTGCAAGCGAAACTACAACGTACCATAGTATATAAGTATATAACTAGCCATCGTAAATGCTCTTACGATGTTATACCATGGAAATTGACATGGGTTATATTCACTAATAACTATAAGGGGTCGCTTGGTTCAGAGAATGTCAGATTACCACGAGAATGTAATGTCAGATTGATGGGTATGTTAGATTGATGGGGATGCATCCAGTTTATTTCCATTTCTGTTTGGTTAAGATTAATGTGAAAATAACAAGAATAGATATTCAAATGTAATTAAATAAACATACTCCATCTGTCCAAATTAAAAGGTTGTCACACAATTTACGATCGACTGACCATAGTTTAGTAAATAAAATTTACATATTGAGAAACTATATTAAAAGTTTTATAAAATCGCACTATATACAGAAAATAAATGAAAAGAGATAATTAATTAAGGGTATTTTCGGAAGGAAATTAGACTATCCCCGGGAATGTAAGATAACCTAAGGCATGGATGGTTATAAGATTCCCCTCCATATTACATTCCCGGGAATGCAACTTTTCCGATTTTTTCTTAAACCCGTGAACCAAACATGGGTATCTGACATTCCGTGCATCACATTTCGACCTTCATGTGAGATTACCCCAAATCAAACAGAGCCTAAGGGCTTATGGTGTTAATACATAAATAGTGCAAATACATCTACCAAATAAACAAATGTGGTGAATTAATAACTCTTTTTTTAGCCCTAAAAGGCTAAAAACTGATTTTTAGTAAACATGATAGAAAGAAATGTCATTAAAAAAGTAAACATGATAGAAATGGCTAAATTTAATGTTTCTTTTTTTTTTTGAATGGACTAAATTTAATGTTAAAAAATTATTAAAGTTATGTACTTCAATATACTCCGTACAAGCCTAAACTTGGGTATATCGAACCATTCAATCAGGACACATGAAACAACCAGACTTGAATCCCTGCCTCATCCTCTTCTCCCCTGCACTTCAAAAAACTTTTGTCTGAATATAGAAAACTTTAGTCATGATGAGATGCTAAATATGAAAATAATGTTCAATCCAGGGGTCTATTGGAAAATGGGTACGATGCAACAGTGATTTGGATTATATTGGAACAACAGAGGACATAGTTCCATATCATCAAAATCTCAGCGCTAGAGGCTATAGATCACTAATTTACAGGTAATCATTTATTGTGTGCATGTATCTACTTTTGTGACTACTTTTTCATTTTAGGAAGACAAAATACATATTCTGAGTAGTCATGTCCTCAGTTGTGAAACGATGGTTCGTATACCCAGAGGGTCCGGAACATGAGTGATACGTCTACCACAAAGGATCAAAGTCAGGGGTGTACCGTAATAGAAATCCAGGCGGCTACCGCGCCCCAACAAAAAAAATAGTGTGTGTATATATATATATATATATAATAATTTATGCTCTCCCAAAGAGTTTATTGAACTCCCAAAATATTTTCGCCCTCAATATGATTTTCCTGGGTCCGCCCCTGATCAAAGCTCGTCTAGTTCGGAATTTGAACGACTACTTGTTGTCCAAGAGTCCTCTAATGGTGATGAACTTGGTTATAGGAAGGAATTGAAAAGTCGTGGTCTCATCATTGAAAATCATTCCTCATCTGAATGAAGGGTTTCTAAACACTATAAATTCCTCACCCATTCCCATTTGAACCCACATCTTTGCAACTCAATATTTACTTATTTCTAGCTTTTCATAGTTATTATATTCTTCATTAGTGTTGAGCCATGTAATTGAGGGGTATACCTAGCAAACCACTTTTTCTTCACTTCCATAACTAGTTTCATAGACTATTGTTCATCACCTTAGAGCTTTGCTTAATTTATAGCATACTCATGTACTATGTATCTCTCTAGATCTTTCATTATAATTTTCAAGAGTATACTAGATGTTCTTCTTCATTTTCTCTCTTGATCTTTTATATCTACTGAGAGCGTGTTAAGACTCGGGGTTCCATAAGGTCAACCTTACAGGAGGAGTTATCCAAATCTTAATATAGCACTTAATTCCTTCACAAGTATTTGGTGTTGGAATTCAACACCACTCCTCACGACCAGACACTCCATCTGGATCGTGCCGTCATTAATTTTTTTCATCGATTCGTCATTGTCATTTTTTATAATCGTGTCAATCATTTTTCATAAGGGGGCTCACACCATGAATCGATTTGGTTCTGACACCACGTTAAGATCCAGTGTTCCATCCTAAATGGTCAACCTTATAAGAGGAGTTATCCAAATCTTAATATAGCACTTAATTCCTTCAGAAGTATCTGGTGTGGGAATTCAACAGAGCGAAAAAGAAAATGTTCGTTTATCATTCAATACACAATCCCGTTAAAAGGTGAGGGTATCCTAAGCAAATAATCATTTCTTTACTATTGAGGTTTTGGTCTAGTCCCCTCTCTTTGTGTTCCATTTATTTTTTAATAAAACCCGATAAACATTCCCTGGTGTTTACCCCACTGAATTTGGTGGTTTGCCTCCGGGTTAAAAAAAAGCAAAAAAAAAATACAACTGAGGAGATCATTTCATAAACCTTACCCATTAACAATGGTATGTTTGCCAAGGCCCCCCTTGCGGAGCTTTTGGTCAAGTTTCAAAATCCTAAATTAATTAGGTGCCTTCAGGTACTAGAATAGGGAGTTCCCTCACCGGTATATGTCATAGTGTCATCTCGTCTTTGTCTTTATTGAGACACTCCGTATTTATATATGCTTGAACTAAGTAATTCTCAATTTTCCAAGTGCAAGCATTCACAAACTACTTGTTTTAGTGTGCCTCTTCGACTCTAAGAGCTCATTTGGTAGCACGAAAATAGGTTGATTTGGTTGATTTTGCTGAAATTTATGAAGTTCTGATTGAAGTAACTGCATTGGCTGATTCTACTAATTTTAGAAAAAAATAATTACTCCGTATAAAATATATTTTATTAATAAAATAAAGAAAAAATTATATGTAAAAATAGCTAAAATGGTTATCTACAGTAACTTCAGCCAATACAGCCAGAAAAGTAACTTCAACCTTACATTTTTTGCTTATTACACAATTCAATGCACGAAAACAAAAGTTATGTGTTTGGTGAAAAAGTTGGCCGATAAGCCTGATAAGCTGAAAAACAGTATTGCCAAATGGTCTCTAAAACTCAATAGATCATAAGAGACTCTAGACCTATACAACCCAATGAAAGGTACTCCATCCGTTCCTATTTTATCTTCCAAATAGGTTTGGCACACAATTTAAGATAGTGGATATTGTGTGGTGGAGAGTTGTGCAGAGGAGAGAGAAATGTGTAAGAAATGTTGTGAACCACAAATTCTTTACTAAAAAGGGAAAGTGGAATTTTTAATTGGAACGCACAAAAAAGGAAAGTTGGAAGTTTTAATAGGAATGGAGGGAGTATAAATTGTTGGAAAAATGTGCTAAAAATTGCATTAAATGGTCATTTTGGGGCAATTATTTGAGTGGGGTCCACTTCCGATTTGGGTCGGGTCAAAGTGGTTTCAGATTTTCCTTGTTAAGGGCTACAATTCGATATATGGTACGCTCAAAACGGATAACGGGTGAATGAGAAATTGATTCTCGAAGTTCACTCGTTGAAATGAAAAAATTAGGAAAATGATGGATTTCTAATGTGTTTTATACCACACCGGAAAACTCAAGGGATTTTAACCCCTTATAAAGGGAAGCCTCTTTTAAGGAGTTAAGATTCCTAAAGGTAAAGGCTCTTTGGTTTCTTCTCGTAATGTTCTTTTATTTTTTCCAAGCTGGCAGAATCGCTCCGTTTCTGTCTGGACCAGAAGAGGTTTCTGTTTTCAACAGAACTGCTCTGCATCAGAGACGCTCGAGGTCTTCTGTTCGCAACAGAGATGCTCGAGGTCTTCTGTTCGCAACAGAGACGCTCGAGGTCTTCTGTTCGCAACAGAGACGCTCGAGGTCTTCTGTTCGCAATAGAGACGCTCGAGGTCTTTTGGTCCGTTACAACAATAAATGCCTAACGTTCTTGTCTTTTAATGCTGCGTTAAATGGACAGTTTATGGACGATTCAATGCCCAACGGATTGGTCAATGATGTCCAACGTTCAGGTCCATGAACACTACATTTAACACACAACAAATCCTCCTTTAAATAGCTGGCAGGTGCTTTGCAACAACACAACACACAATACATTCCTCACGTATTTTTGAGCTCTAAAACACTTCCAGCTACTCCGAAAAATTCCCGAGTGTTCTCCTTTGTTCCCGTTCGCCGGAACTCTCGTTTGTGTGCTCAACATTAGTTCGTTAGCCACCGTATCCTGGGAAACGGTCGTTGCAACGCTTCTAGCCCTGTGGGAGGCGACGAATACATTTTAAGGACATCGTGCGTAGCACGGGCTCTTGCTAAACTCTGTCACATCTCTTTTTTCTGTTTTTCTTTGGCTATTTAGTTAATTAATTATTTTTATTAATTAATATTTCTTCGTTTTTCCGAGACACACCCAACATAAATCAAGAGTTTAGACTTTTCTTTTATCGATATATCCAAAATTGAGGCTAATTAACTGTGCGTCCGGCTTAAAAAACACTATGTTCCGGCCCAACCGTCCAAACCCGACCCATTGACAAGCCTAGTTAAGGGCGTCCTGTTTTTGAAAGATAACCCGATAGGTGAGAATCTTAATTAAAGGGGCTGTCCAATGGTTCGATTTATAAATATTTTATACGTAGTATTTTAATACTAATTTGTAAGCATTGCTCAGATCTTACCTCGCTGATTTTTAATATTTTATTGTCTCGGCTAAATGTAGATAAACAAAAAGATAAATGTTTGCTCAAATAGTGTTCTAAATACGAGTATGAATATGTGTTTTGTTAGCATTTTATTTACGTCAAATGGACATGTGTCACATGTATGAGGATTATATTTATAATTATCCATCTCTGATGTTTACCTGTTCAAACATTTCAAATTTTAAAAGAATACACATGTGATTCGGAAAGTTGGATACGGCTTCTTTCATGATTTCAATATTAAAGAGTTTGAGAAATAAAAAATACTGTATATACTAGTTGTACTCATAAAGTCATAAATGATGGAAAGATTTGTTTTAAGAGCTTTTTCCTTCAATATTACTATATTTAAACTGATTTCCAAAAATGTGACCATTTTTAAAAAAGACAAAAATGTGACTCAGAAGGTCACATTTTTTGGAAAATATGACGTCACTGTTATTTTTTGTCACTCCGGACTGTTATGTCACTATTATATGTCACTATAAGATATCATGTCACTGTCGCCATTGTCGGTCACCGCCGCCACCGATCACCGCTGCCAGCCACAACGACACCACCACAGTGACATCGCCATAGTGACACCGCAAAAGTGACTCCGACCAAAGCGACAGCCCGCCCATCACCCAGAGTGACATCGCCATAGTGACACGCCCTCCACCGCTCCTCACAGTCCCTCAGCCCCGTCCCCAGCCAACCCCACCCTAGCACTGCCCTTCCACTGCCGCCTGTCACCACCGCTGGCCGCCACAACTGGCTGCCAATCCCATCCCATCTCCTACACACACCCCAACCCCCTTTCCAGCATACCCCAACCCCATACCCAGCCCTTAACCCCACTATCACCGTTGTCCCTGCTACACCCGGCCACCGTCGCTACCCTTGCTCCCCCAGCCCCCAGCTGCCCAGTCCCCTTTTCTGCCCCCAACCCCCTCCCCTGCTCCCTCCAACCCCCTTTCTGCCTCCAGCCCATCCCTTGCACCTCCAGCCCCCTCCCCTGCACCCAGCCCCATCCCTTGCTCCCCCCCCCCCACAGCTGCACAGCCCCGTCCACAGCCAACCCAGTCCCCTCCCCCGCTACCTCAGCTTCAGTCCCCTCCCCTGCTACCCCGTCCACCCACAACTTCCCAACCCCAACCCCAACCTATCTGCCCCAACGCCGCCCAACCCCATCAACACTTGACTTCCCCGCCGCCACTCGTCACAGATCCGAGATGGAGATGAAGAAAGGTGAAGAAAACGATTTAGGAGATGCAAATTGAACCCGGCGGCGATGGGAGAAGATGGAGATGACAGAGAGTTTGTTGGGAGACAATGAGCTGCGAGCGGAGATTTGCGGAAGTCCTAGGCGGAAGAGTAAGATGTGTGGAAGTCATGTGCGGAAGTCCTCTGCGGAAGTCCTGGGCGGAAGAGGAAGATGTGCGGAAGTCCTGGGGGGAGGAAGAAGATGTGCAGAAGTCGTGTGCGGAAGAGGAAGATGAAATCCCTAATTTGAAAGCAACGGAAGTGCAGAGGCGGTCATAACTTGTGGAATTATGTAAAAGGGTCATAATTTTGTCTATCAAAAGGTGAGAAGTAATAGTAGTGCCATCATTTCTTGTTTTAATCATTAGAACATTATTTACCCTCTGGATTTATTTTAATCATTTCACTTATTGATAAAAAATTTACTTTTTGAGGGGAGAAAAGTTATAATTATTGATAAAGAAGGTTCACTACAAAAAAAAATAACGGAGTCGACACAGATCTTTGATACGGATTTGTCAAAATTGATAGGGTATTTGGTAAATTTGTATCAAATTCGCAGCAGCAATTTAAGAAAGTAAAACAAAAGTAAAACTGGGAAGAAGAGATCAGAATTTTCCTTGTTTCGTTATATTTTGTTTCGGCCGAAGCCTTACAATATGTATAGGTGGGTCAGCCACATGAGACTCCCTTTCCTATAATAATACTACCATCCATAGAATAAGTAATAATTAATAGCTAATTATTAGGGAATAATTTAGGGGATCCGTAGATGCCAAAAATAATGGTCCAATAATTTGTGTCAATTTCCTACCAAACGCAATGTCATTTTAGCACTAGCTATTTGACACGGCGTCGTGGCAAAAAATATTATGATCCATGCCAAACTCGATCAAATTGTGGCAAGTCCGTCCCAATATCGTTGTTTTTTGTAGTGGTTTATTATTACGTTTGATTGAATTATAAATTAGGAGTAAAACATGGACCAAAATGAAAAAATAGTATTTATTGTTTTAAGTTCCCTAGATGAAAATAATTGCATGTGTTAATTTGGACAAAAGTCCTCTTGCAAGTGTTTGGAGTGTCAGTCTCACACCAGCCTGCTGCTGCCATTGGCCGCAAAAGCTCCAGCACCACCGATTGCCAGATTCCACTGCCACCAGATTGCCACCACCACCACCACCACCATATTGTCACTGTCACTAGATTATCATTGCCGCCTCCACAAGAGTGCTCTGCCACCAACGAACTGACCTTGGTCATGCAAAGAAATTAGGGGATAATTATTTACATTAATTAATTATATTAGGGGTAGAAAGTAATGTTTAGTCGTATTTAGGGAGTAAAATTAAAGCATTATATTGTGTTGGGATATATTATCTCGGCTTATTACTGTTCAGGAGTCCAAGGCATTACCCCAGTATGTAGCCCGATGATTAGTGAGGCTCATTTCGACCCATCCGGCCCACTTCAGCCCATAAGGTCCACTTTGGCCCATTTGGCCCATCAGGGTTGATTTTGCACCCCCCCCCCCCCCTTTCTATTCATAGGAGTTCCCTCCATTTTGGGATGGCTCTTTGATTGATAACTTGTACTCACTAGATTTTGCTTTTATTCTTTTGTACCCAAAGCTTAGACTAGATGTTCGGCCTTTTTAAATTGTGTTGTAATCATTCTTGATTGTCAATTAAGACCTCGACCCACTTACTATCTCTTTCTTTATTGGCCAAGTACTTGTGCCCTATACTCTCACTAATCAGCTAAGCATTCCATCGAAACCCAAGAGAACATGTTGGATCCTTGGAGTTGGAGGAATAAACCCCAACACATTGAGCGTTATTTATGCATTTATGTTTTGGTTTAGTCTTCATCATTACTTTGATGAAAAGTTATCACATGTGATACACATTTTTTGTATGAAATAAAATGTGCATTATTCTATAGTAGGTTTGTTTTCATCTATGTATCACAATTTGCTCTTGTGAAAAATAAACTTTAATAGAGGAACTTTTAAAACTAAACTATACTTAGGAACTTAGCCATGACTCACAATTTTCTATTTCATTTTGTGTAGTGGGGATCACGACCTTGTTATTCCCTTCATTTCCACACAAGCATGGATACAAGCTCTCAACTATTCTATTATTGATGAGTGGAGGCCATGGATTGTTGAAGACGAAGTTGCCGGGTAAGATGATAGTAATAGTAATGATAGTGATAGTGGTAATGGTAATGGTAATTATAATAGTAATAGTAATCATAATAGTAATAGTAATATTAGTAGTAGTGATATTAATAGTAGTAGTGGTAGTGGTAGTGATAGTGGTAATGATAATGATAGTGATAGTGATAGTGATAGAAATGATGATAGTGATAGTGATAGTGATAGTGATAGTGATAGTGATAGTGATAGTGATAGTGATAGTGATAGTGATAATGATAATGATAGTGACAGTGATGGTGACAATGCTAGTGACAGTGATAGTGATAGTGATAGTCATAGTGATAGTGACAATGACAGTGACAGTGACAGTGACAATGAAAGTGACAGTGACAATGATAGTGATAGTGATAGTGACATTGATAGTGATAGTCATAGTGATAGTGATATTAATAGTAATAATAGTAATAGTAATAGATTAATAGAAGTAGTAATAGTAATAGTTACAACTCCCTTCGGTCCCAAAAACAAATTCATAGTTTGACTTCAAGGTTTTTTAAGAAAGTGGAATTTTTTGTTTTGACTTTCCTATTATACCCCCAAAAGTAGATAAAGTGTAGTCGGAGAGAGAAAGTAGGTGTAAAGTACGTAATAAAGTAAGAGTACAAGGGTAACTTTATATTAAAAAGTTGTCAAAAGTGGAAGTATGAAGTTTATTTTAGACCTATCCAAAAAGGAAAGTGTGAAGTTGTTTTGGGATCGGAAGGTGTATAATTTTTTCAAAACAACTTTCTAATTAAATATAGTACTGTATTTCTTACGAGTATAATTAACATTGCGTATTTCTTATGTGTACATCAATTTTTGAATATGCTAGGTTTACACGGTTATACTCAAACAACATGACATTTGCAACAGTGAAGGGGGCAGGTCATACAGCTGCTGAGTACAAACCTCATGAATGCCAAACAATGATAAAAAGATGGCTTTCTAATGATCCACTATGATAAATCTATCATTATAAGCAATGTGATAAACGCATTTTAAATGTTTCAAATTGAGACGTACACTTGCATGCCAAACCCCTCTTGAAGCTGAAATAGTGATCTTCAAAGTAAGTTAAATTAAATTACAGAGCTATCGTGAACTATATATATATATATATATATATATATATATATATATATATATATATATATATATATATATATATATATATATATATATATATGATACAGATGAATCATTTTGATTTTTCTTGTTTTCAGTATATTGTATTATAACTTGTGATGGAGTTGACGGCAATAATAATCATTGTCCCAGATAATAATATATAGTGATGGAATTTATAGTAATACGCTAGTATAGTTATTTGACTTGAGAATAATTAAACATTAAGATGAACAACTTTTATTATTTAGTTCAATAGAGATGGAGATTTTGTTGTTTTACTAATTTCCACTTAGTGAAATGTTCGTCGAACTCAATTATATATTTTACTATCTCCTCTCAAATACTCAATTATGGAGTATTTTCAATTCATCGAGAGTAGTTATTAATAACAAGACGAGTTCATTAATAACATTTATTAACTAGTCAGTATAAAACATGCGTCTTATATTAACCCGCTAGTAGCAATAAAACTTTTGATGAAATCAAATGAGATTGACAACATCAAACAAACAATTTATTGGTTTTTTAATCAATATAATCAATGTCATTTAGATCGTTAACCATGAGACACTTGCGTAAGTAATCTAAATTATTATCGTTGGAAGGACCGAGCGAACAACACTCGTATTTGTCGATCAACTCTAGTAGTAATTAATATGAAAACATAAACTAGTTGATCATTTAGTGATGCTCAAATATTAATACTCTCTTCTTCCCGAAAAGGTTGACCAAATTTCATTTTTTGGATGTCCCAAAAAGATTTGTCATTTCCATTAAAGTCAGGAATATGTGGCTAAATTCAATTCTCTTTCCTCTGCACAAATTTCATCCATACAATTTTTACTTTATTAATCCACGTGAAAGTCAACTTTGGTCAACCTTTTTGGGATGGAGAGTATTAAATATAAATAGGAATATATTTAATATTCAATAGAAGATGATAAATGAAAATAGCTCGCAATTTTAAAAACAAGGTTTCAACAACTCATACACAATCTCTATCACACGGCCCTGTTGATTTGCTTGGTAATGTGACATGAATCTTTACCACAAAAAACGTTTGGAACTTGGAAATAAGCACCATTTCATCGCAATTTATATCCTGGGATCGGCGCAACATGAAGATGGTGTGCCGGACCCAAACAACGTCGTTTGTTGTTAACAATTACGAAACCTTCGAAGCTAATGAAACGCCCTCCGGCGTCGCCCTCCCTAGGTTTCAATCTGTGTTGTCGCATCTGGGTTGTGAAATCAGATAACCTATTTTTCATAGATCTAAGAGCGATTTGGTCCGTCACTGGTCAGTAGGAGCTCCCTTTGTGGTGGTGTTGTCGCCAGTGAGCTTTGTAGATGTCCCTAGTCAATTTTCTTTGCGATGGTCACTCCTGATCTTTGGTTTCGGTTGGGATGTCTGCCAAATCTCCAGCAGTAACGCTGGCTTGCTCAATGGAGAGGACGATTTTGTGAAGTTGCATCAATGGAAATGGAATTTCCATTTTGATTACATCAAGTTACATTTTAGTTAAATGAAGTTGCATCTTTGTAAAGGCGTTTTACATTTCAATAGGCCAAACTGTCAAAGTTACATTTCCCAAGTTACATCTAACCTAATTTCAAGTTACATTTCAATTTTAGCAATTTACATTTCAACGAGTTACATTTGAATGAGTGTAATTTACATTTTGATTAACTTGAAGTTACATGTGGATTCACACGAGTTACATTTCATATAGTTATGGGAGCATGATGCTCACCATGCACCCATACCACGGTATACGTACTGCCATTTCATCCCAAATTTGTTGGAATCAACTCAAATATGTTGATACGGACATACGGTGGTCCGTCTTGACGTACAACACCCAACAAGCATCCACTACAACAGGTTTTTGTCACGAATTTTTGTCATGAATTTAGTCCGTGACAGGTTTGTCACGATTTTGTCACGGATTTATCTCACATGTCACCATAAATATACACTTTGTAACATATAAACAAAGTGCCAATTCTTGTGTACATGGACACAAGTGCAAATTCTTGTGATCACGGATATAAACATTCGTTTTTATACACTTTATATATGGACATCTGATTTTATCGTCATCCATATAATTCTTGTGTTCAAGTGCAAATTTAATAAAATCTTGAACACCATTAAATAATTCTTCGCGCATTCCATAGTTTTTGCAATGTTTATTATATATCCAACTTCTGTTTTGTCTATACATTATGCCTGGATATTATAATCAAAATATTATATTGGTTACAAACTATAAATTATAAGCACTAACAATAATTTGTTATGTTTAATATATTCACTAATTAATATATTAAATTTCACTAAAGTTCACTACAATTAAATAAAGTTCAATTAATATTATTAATTAACTAAAAGCAATACGTTTGTGGCATTAATCATATCAATTAACTAACTTTTGAATCATGACTAATTAATATTTAGGAACATTAATATGTTAAATTTCACTAAAGTTAACTATTAATATTATTAATTAACTAAAATCAATACGTTAATGGCATTAATCATTTAAATTATTAACTAATTCACAATATAGGAACATTAATATATTAAATTTCATTAAAGTTCACTAAAAGTAACTAACGTTCAATTAATATTACTAATCAACCAAAAGCAATACGTTAATGGTATTAATCATTTCAATTATTAACTAATTCACAATATTAGAATTTAAACACTAAATACACTAAATTATTACGTTAATGGCATTAATTGACAATACTAAAATTATGAAAATCTAATAATACACAATAAATATTTAACTAACATTTAAATTAAATGAAATTGAAATAATTCAAAATAATAATTCACACTAAAGTAATGTTTCAATCCTAACTTAAATCATTATAAATCCTAAATTAGACATTAACAATAATTGCTAATAAACAAACCTAATAATTTTATAAACCCATTGCAATTAACTAATATTTAAATTTAACTAATATTATCAATTCAAATCCTAAATTAACGGTATTACCTAATAATATTATCAGTCCAAACCCATTTCAATTAACTAATATTTACATTTAACTAATATTGTTAGATATTAGTCACGGAACTAAAGTTCACTAATTTAACTTTGTTAATTTACATTTAACTAATATTGTTAAATATTATTAATTCACAATAATAATTCACACTAAACTAATATTTCAATCCTAACTTAAATTAAATAACTATAAATCCTAAATTAGGCATTAATAATTGCTAATAAACAAACCTAATAATTTTATAAACCCATTTCAAATATCTAATATTTACATTGAACCGGGTAGGGGAGCGATGAGCCCTAGCAGCGGTGACTTAGGGAAACGCCCATTTCAGATCGATCGATCGTTTGCGGCAAAGGAAGGTTTTCAATCGTTGTATCTGGCCCTGTAATTCTACGGTAGGAGGTTCTCCTTTTCGTTTTATGTTCTTGCGTCCTTGTCCTGAATTGGACTTTGGTTTGCGCGTCGTTGATTACCCGTCTCTGAACCGACGATTCCATTGCTGTCGAGGTCTTCTTCAATGTTCTTTATGAACCGGTGTTGCTTTGATCGCTGTTTTATTCAGTTAGAAGAAAAGGTGGTCATTGTCTAGGGAAAACCTAGGTGTTTTTTCCGGTCGACTTGCTCGTGTCTGGCATTTGTTTCTCGGTTTATGCTACTTGCCGACTTGTGCGCTAGAAACTCGATATCAGCTATATTGCGGATTACTTCATGAATATCTTGAGTTGGAATTGTAGAGGCTTGGGTAATCCGGCCACGGTTCAAGGGTTGTCGGATATAATCCATCAGCATCGGCCGACGATTGTGTTCTTGATGGAGACTAAATTAAGGTGTCAACGTGCTAAAGAGATTATTCAAGCGAAAGGGTTCGCAAATGCAGCGGGGACAGATAGTGATGGAAGAAGTGGAGGGCTGGTTCTTGGTTGGAATGATGACGTGTAGCTTTTGGTCATTGAAGAGAATCCGAACTTCATGGACTGTAAAGTGAGGTCGTTGACGTGCAATTTTGAATGGCGGTTAACATGCTATTATGCCTACCCGGAGACGTGTCGCAAGCGAGCGGCTTGGGACATGATGAGGGGAATTGCGGATAATAATTCTTTTCCTTGGATGGTTATTGGTGATTTCAACGATATTTTATATGATTCAGAAAAGAAGGGAAGAGTCTCTCATCCTCCATGGAGATTGCGTGGTTTTCAGGAAGCTACTGTGTCATGTGGACTACGTGATTTTTCGTTTGAGGGATATCAATGGACGTGGGAACGTGGAAAGGGGACTCGGTATTGGGTGGAGGAAAAGCTGGACAGGATCCTTGTGAATGACGAGTGGTGGGATAAATTTTCGGATGCTAGAGCAACATCGGTTGAAGCCCCGGTAAGTGATCATATGGCTTTGTGGATAAATATTATTCCAACTACTCGAACGAGGAGGGTTAGGAAATTTAAATTTGAGAATGATTGGCTGAGAGAGGAAAGTTGTAGAGCAGTCGTGATTAATAGTTGGGGAGCAAGCGAACATATGTCTGTGAATGAGAGAATTCTTCTTTGTGGAAGAGAATTATTGCGGTGGGATCAGTGTCGTACGAAAGGTTTCCGACATCAAATAGAGGCATACAAAAAAATATTAGCTGAACTTCCCGGTCGAGATGATGAGTTGAGTTTGGCCGAATTCGTTAGAGTACGGATGGTGCTCCAAATGTTGATGGAAAAGGAAAACCAATATTGGAGACAACGTGGTAAGGAGTTTTGGCTCAAAGAAGGTGATATTAATTCTCGTTTCTTCCATAATGCAGTTAAGCAAAGGTGGCGTAAAAACTAAAAACATTGATTTTTTTTTAAATTAGTAGACAACACAAAAGAAAGAATGATAGTAGCATCTAAAACCAAGAAACCTGTTGTGCTTGTGTAACCATAGCAGATTGAAATTTATGCTGATAAAAAAGGACATCATCATATTTATAAAAGTGTGAAAATCCCTGACTTGAATTTGGGACATAGCACTTTGACCTCCCATTGATGAACAATCAATCATCTATGAAATGACATATTAAATAAAGAAACTTTTCATCATAAGGTATCCCATATAATTTATGTGAAATAATAGTATGCTTACCCCATCATTATGTGAATTTGAATCGCCTTTTGATGTTTTTTTCTTCAAATCATGGCAAGCGCTAGGTTTGCACATTAATCCTTGTAATAAGAAAAGTTACTATATCTATACATTATTCCATTATTATGATGAAATAAATTATGACTTTTCGAATACAAAATACTGACACAATCAGATCTTGAGCTAGATTCTGAACAATTTGAAGGAGATGATTCACTAGCATGCTTATCTTTTCCTTTCCTACATGTTCTTGTGTTGTGTTATGTGCTACCACACTTTGAACAATGCCACAACCTCTTAATACTGAGTTTTTTCTTTTTTGGAGCTCCTTTAGTCTTCACTATATTTGGGTCACCTATGTGCTTAAGCGATGAACCACTTGAACCAATGGGATCGTCTGAATTCTTCATCTCCAACATCTCATATTTTTTAGTAAATAGCATTATGTCATCCATTACTTCATTGTATAACTCACTCCTTTTTGCGCCAACCTTGCAAAACCTCATACACGCGCCACTATAGGCTGCAAAGCGAGCTGCCTCCATGGCATCAGAATCTAAGGATTCAGACCATTCAGACAACATTGAAGAAGCTTTAGCATTTTTAGACCAACGCGTTAAAACTAAATGACGCGGAATATGGTCGAGATGCTCCTCTTTCATAGCACAAATAATATGTGAGCACGGAACTCCGCGAGACTCAAATCGCTTACATGCACATGAAAATTCTAGCTTTTCAGATTGATAGAGCACTTCAGTTTCATAATCAGGATCACAATACTTCGTCAATCGGAATATGACTTGCTCTTCGTTTAGTACTCGCTCTTTAACAATTAATGAACAACCCTTTATAACTTGATCTTTCACTTCTTGAAAAATCTCGTTCGTAAATATTTTCGCAGGATCCTCCTGGATCTGTCGAAGTGATGTTGTTAGCACTGGTGCTGCGTATGAAGATCTAAAATCATCAACAAACTCATTGTTTCTATACTGTCTCAAGGCTTGCTCAAAATTATGCATGAATTCAAAAAAAGTGCACTTCTTCCTAATATATGCCTTAATGATTGTGTTAATGGATTCACATTGAGATGTAGTCCGTAGATAACCAAAACACTGATCCCGCAGATAAGCAATGGCCCACAAATATCTATTATTGTAGGTTTTGGATGCCCATCTGTTTTCCACAAGGTCATGTTGCATAATCATATCTCCCCAAAATCCTCAAATCTCTCACGCGTAAAATTTGAATACATGGTGAAGTCCTTCATAAATGGAGCGATCTTCACATTCTCACAAGCGTTCTTGTGCAAATGCCATGCACATAGTCTATGAAAAGCATTTGGAAATATCACTTTTACGGCCTCTCTCACAACACCATCGATGTCTGTCACTACTGCTTGTGGATGTTTGTTTCTCATCGCTTCCAGAAAAGATTTCAATACCCATGTATATGTTTCAGTTGTTTCATCTGAAACCAAAGCACAACCAAATATAGTTGTCTGTAAAAGGTGATTACAACCCGAGAGAATAACAAGAGGGTAGTTGTATTTGTTCTTTTTGTACGTCGTGTCAAAAGCAATAACATCACCAAAACATGAAAAATCAAATCTGCTATCTCCATCTGCCCAGAAAAGGCGTTTGTCTACCATCACTAGTAGTTGAGAATTTGTTATACAGCATGGGGTCATGGTTTGCTTTCCTTGGAGATAGCTCGATGCAGCAACACCATCTCCATCTTTAATCTCGTCTCGTGCTTTGCTATCAAAATAGTTATATAAATCTTTTTTTGTATAACCAATGTTATTATATCCACCCTTTTGACCCACCATGTACGCCATTATATGGCATGTTCCAATTCCATGTGAATGCAAGCTATCAATCTGTGCTTTATCTGCATCTGTCATTCCACGGTAAGCAGGTAATAAATGCACAAACTTTAAAGGGGTCAATTCATGGTCATGAGCCTCTTCAAAACAAATCACTATCTAGCTTGATGTTTTTAAATTGTAACGTACATTGAATCTTGCACGACAATTGGTCCGAGTGAAAGGTTTATGATCTCTTTTCCTATCTGTCCTTGCCAAATGTTTTGGGTTTCGTAGACCTTGTCTATTACATACATAATGTCGCGTGATCACATTTTTGCTACTATTACGAGCCACATTATGTTTTCTAACTACAAATCCATAACATTTGGCATATTGTTGTAAAATTAATAAGCATCCTCTTCATTATCAAATTGTAGTGCATGTACCTCGTCTACTGTCAAGTCTGAAATCCTTTTAAACTCACCTTCTTCAATACCCGTTGTTGGACCTCCCTCGTCACTAAAACACTTCTCATTGATCGCAGCACCTTCTTTTTCATTACATGATGAAGATTCTCTTTCTTCATTGAAATTATCAGTTGCTTGACTGTCACATTCATTCATCTACCAAATCAAAGTTACAAAAGGTTAAAAAAATAGAAACTTTATACTACTATTGAAATTGCAAATATTGGTAACAAAGTTTATCAATAAAACTTGACAAATATTTTGTTAGACATATGCATAGCAATAAAAACAATAACAATGATCAAATAATGCAACTCTAAAATGTAGCCCCTATCTTAAGAAAAATGTCCATACCATGTATTTAATCAGAATAGAAGGACTATCAATGATGTTATCATGAATCCTGCTCATAATGTTTCCAATTGATACATATGCAGAGAGCTGGTTTCAAATAATATTAATTGTGTATAGAAACACAAGCCGAAAACATCATATTTTTATCTTGAATAAAAAACTGTAGGATTTGGTTTTTGAACAAAATAAAAGAAATAAATCAGATTACGTTGAAAGGAAGCATGATTACTACCATTATATCATAATGAACAATGTGATGACTGTTTTTACTCCCAATAGCAAAATTGTAATGGTTCAATTTAAGTGTCTTTGCCAAATGACTAAATGGCTCTTTGTGAAAAAAAGTTATGATTGACAAGAATTAAAAAATTAAAAAGTAAAAATAAAATGAACTTTCTTTTAAATCTAAAAACATATAATAATAATAATAATAACAATAATAATAAGAACAATAATAATAACAATAATAATACTAATAATAGTAATAATAGTAATAACAATAGTAATAATAATAGTAAGAAGAAGAAGAAGAAGAAGAAGAAGAACCACCACCAGCAGCAGAACCACCACCACCAGCAGAACCAGCGAACGACGAGCGAGCGAGCGAGCGAACGACGACGACCACGACCACAACAACAACCACGCCAACCACGACCACCACGACGACGACCACGACCACGATGACCACGACGACGACCACGACGACGACCACGACGACCACCACCACAACCACCACCACCACCAAACAACAAACAACAACAAACAAACAAACAAACAAACAAACAAACAAACAAACAAACAAACAAACAAACAACAAACAACAAACAACAAACAACAAACAACAAAAACAAACAACAAACAACAAAAACAATCAACAACAAAAATAAACAACAACAACAACAACAACAAACAACAACAACAACAAACAACAAACAACACCAACAACAACACCAACAACTACTCCAACAACAACACCAACACCAACACCAACAACACCAACACCACCACCAACACCACCACCACCACCAAACAACAAACAACAAACAACAACAACAACAACAATAATAATAATAATAATAATAATAATAATAATTGTAAGAAGTGTGAAACGTGTTGCACTTATTATTAGTTTCCAAATTCCAAACCTTACAAAATGTTCTATTTATTGCCTCTTACATGTCAACCAAAATATTAAATTGGGGACCTAGGAACATCAATGAATAAAAAGCCAAATTTATGTCAAAGGTGTTTGACGACATCAGTAAAATGATCAGTTCCTCCACGTACCGCTCTAGAAAACTGATTTGGTTATTATGTATTCGTTAACTATCTTGAGCACAGTCTCAGAGCCATAGACTAATACTTTAAATTTTAATAACTTTTTTATTTTAATAGAAGAAATGAAGATTTCTTGTTCTAAAATAATTATGTTATGAGTTCAAGTACATAATTAGTTGGTCTCAGACTTTTAGACTTAGTTTGACCTAGTTTGACCTAAATTATGAACTTGAGTCATAAATAAAGAATCATATACTTCAATTGATATGCAAGAAATATGTTGAATTTTGAGATATTTGATAGCACCAAATGTATTACTAAATAAACCTTTTTAAGGTGGCATAAAAAAGTAGATCGCGACTCTCTTTTTGTTCCGGAGGGTCGAAAAGGACTAGGAATTGAGAATTTTTTGATAGGATTATCGACAGCAATCAAAATGATGAGTGCATCTGAACAGCGGACAGAGCTACTTGCTCGAGGAGAAATTATTTATGATATGGTGGTGCAGTGTTGTAATTGGGTCGCGGATAATTCTTCGCAGAATGTATCCATTTCTGAGATGTTTTTTAAAGCTGATATTGAGGGTCTTATATCTATAGAGAATCTAGACAATATGACTCAATTTTCTCTTTATCAGCCACTGGTGGATAAAGAAGAGGTCAGTAGAGGTCTTAAAAATTTAGATTCTATGAACGAAGAGCTTGGGACTGTTTTTGTTGATGAAGTGATGAAACAAAATGAGGTTGATCAAGCAAGAGTTGGAGACGAATCAAAAGAGGATTATCATAACTATCTTGCCAACATTAAAGCTGAATTTAAATTATTTCAAAAAGAGCTTGGTCACAAAATGCAGCAAAAGGCCCCTGAAAAACACATTAATTTGGTTCAACAATTAAATAGAGTGGCTCACATACCATCAGAAGAAGAAGGCTTCACGGTTGTTGTTTCCAAAAAATTGAAAAGACACAATGAATCAACACCTAGGACTATGGAGACCAGGCAGCAAGTGTGATTGCACGACACGAGGCAGCATACTCAACAGCGAGCTCGGCTCAACTACTCCAACACAGAATACTAATCATCTACATTCGTCTTTTCTGTTTCTTAATTTACTTTCTACCTTCATTAGCGTTTGTATTCTGCTTCTTTTATCAATAAAGATTTCTTTTTACGCAAAAAAAAATAAAGAATCCAATACTTCAATTGATATGCAAGAAATATGTTGAATTTTGAGATATTTGATAGCACCAAATACCAATGTATCACTAAAAAAACCTTTTTAAGGTGGCATAAAAAAGTAGATCACGACATTGAGTTTTTCATTATATATTCTTTTCCAAAAAGCATTTTAAATGTTTTTATAAGATATCCTTCTATATTTAGTTTATGATCTAATTATTTTTTACCTCAAATGTGTTAACTTAAATTCTCAAAATTCTTTTCACAATGGTTACTTTAAGCTGACAAAGCCATGCTTGAATCCATTTTTTAAAGTATTGAATGATCTTCAGGAACAAATCCATGTACTCGTATTCCATACTTGAATCCATTTGTTCAAGAACTTCATTTTCAAAGTCTCTTAATCACTTTAAATTGATTATCACTTCCAGTTTTCCCTATGTAATTTTGTTTATCAAACACTACAAATCGGTACAACCAAAATCTTCTTGAGATTTGTACAATTTCTTTAATTGTCCATTCTCTCTCCCTCTTTCTCTCTCTATGTGTGGGTGCCTCTATCTACTTATTAATACAAAGACCAGTTCAAAGAAGCTTCTCAAGCTAGGAAAAAGATGGCAGCATTTTGCTTCAATAAAAAACGAAGGAATGCATTAACTAGTCTTGGTATCTTCATGCCGTGGCGTGAAGTTCTTGATTTTAAGTGCATCAATTCCCAGCAAACTAAGATAAGGTGAAGAAACCAGGAATTGAGAGCATACGCTAAGTTTGCTAATATGAAAGTTAGAATATTTGTTGTAATTGGGGAGACTAGACACTTTATTACATATTGTTCTCTGCATAGAGCCATACATAGAGGTGTATTTCATTATGCTGGGCTTAACTATTAGAGGGGTAGGCTAAATATGATAAATGAAAAACATTACACTAAAAAATTGAAAAAAAAAATTAAGTTGTCTTGGGCTTCAGCCCAGCATAGCCTATACTTAGATCCTCGTTTGCCAATAACTTTAGAATTCAGTGTTATTCTCATGTAACTTGCATGGTTTATGAAACATATATGAGATGATATCTGTTATTTCATATTTGTCTCCGATATCATGGATCAATTAATGTTAGCCGACCCAAAATCTTTTGGGAATAAAACTTGGTTTATAAACTGTGTACTCCTATGTCACATTTCAATGTTTTTGTTGGAATCTCAAGATCACTTGTGAGCTACTCCGTATATATTAATATTTTAGAAAATACTTTTATTACGGAGTACTTCCAAGTGTTATAAAGAACTTTTTACAAGCTTTACTAAAAGCTCACAAAAAACACCTCAAAATCTGCCTAGGATTGTTTTATTTCTACTTGGACTATTACACAACTTTCTTACTTTTGTTTGTGATGTTGGAAGTGTATGAAAAACTCTCTATGTATGTTTCCAAACTAAATGTAAACAAAGACCTCTTTTACATTGACTTTCGATTCATTTAGGTGGCTATGGTCAGCGGCTTTGGTAGTATCTAGATATGGAAGTATGACATTTGTGCTGGTGGTTTTCAATGGCAACTACCGAGGAAGAAATAAGATTTGAGTTCTTGAAAATTGAATTCATCTATTCTTTGTTTGCCTCATGTTCTTCTCTTTATTTTTGTATATGGCGGTCATTAATCTATAATACAATGAAATAAAATCAAACGACAATGGTAAACTTTCATTCTAGCCCATTTGGAAAATCTAGGCATACAATTGACTGTGCACAATAATTGTTTTTTGGTCTACTAAAAATAGTTTTAGAATGTTTTGACTTATACTTGTTTTATTCTCGAATACGCTTCGATTTAAATAATAGTAACACATAGCAAACCTCTGTTAGACCAAACTATACTAGACTAATAAATCTCAATGCAAGTGAATATATTCTTAATGAACCAAAATTAAAAGCAATGATGCAAAAGAAATTAAAAAAACAGATTTATATAGTACTACATATAATATTTGGGTGTCACTCATATTTTTTTTCAACAACCTTCATGCCAATCTTATGGGTTGTTTGTTAGCAATATGGAGTCATAATATTATCATTGTCACAACCAAATAAACTTGATGACCATCAAACGTACTATTGCAAAAAAAAACATTATGTAAAACCCTAACCCTTAATCCTAATCCCGCCGTAACAACTATGATATCTACTCTCTTAAATGATAAAAAATGACCTTCCAAATTTGATCCCTAAGCAGTGGTATTCTATTCAAAGTCGTGATAACTTCATTTTTATTTATAATTTCCATAAAGTATTTTATGTGTATCTTATGCAGAAATTCATATGAGAGAACATGGAAGTGTGCCAATTTATGGACCTATGGAAAGTAGAAACTTGAAAGAGAATATGTTGATATTTTCAAATACTAGTGAAACTGGATATGGGACATACTAAAATACCTTGGTAGTATAAAAATAACAAGCCAAAATGCACAAATGATCACCCACAAACCTGGCCAATTGAAATTGACATTAAACTTGACATTAGACATACATTTATTGAGTAGTGTATAAAAGAACAGATTAGAAGTAAACCTCAGAGGAGCACAGCTTCACAGAAGGCGTAGCAAGCCAGCAGGCAGAACAAATTCTTCCATTTTTTAGTCTTCCTGCGAACGACAGATAAATCGAACGACTTGAAATTTTAACACACAAATGAGATGACTTCGTTCAGCAGCTCGGCACATAAATCAGACTACTTGCCGCCGGGCACCGCAGATTAAAAACGACAAAAGCTTCAGGGGCGCTGGAAGAGATAATAGATATATGTACCTATAGGACTCCAGCGAAGTGGGGCGCCGGAACCCGCTCGCCCCGACCTGGTTCCGTCGTTATCGACAATCCTCCAAGTCTAAGAAGAATATAAAAAATGAAACAAGTCTGATAGTTGATTACATGACGTCCTTTCCATCGATGGGCCTTGTTCACAAATTGGAAGCACCGAAATCCGAAGTACTAGTTTGATTCGCTTCCCTGCGTCTGGGTTCTCCTTACAAAGGTAAACAACGGACTGGCTCCTGCGGAACTCACGCCAGTAACGTCCAGACGGAATACTGAGGCTATTGAATATTAACTTCTTTCTTGGGGTTATCATTTGGCAGCAATTTATATGTACACCCCATATTTTTATAATTGTTTTTATAATAGTGTAGAATAATTAGAATTAATTATTAGTCAGTATCCTGATTGTATTAGATAACTACTTTCTCTATTAATAGACTCTTAGGACTACCAGTCTGGTTAAGCCTGTTCATTATTCTCACATGGTATTAGAGCCTTAATTATACCCTAAATTTTTTCCTTATGGGGTCGACTTCCGCCACATCCCCTCAACCTAGTGTGCCGCACACGACGGCAGCGACTCAAGGAATGGCAGCGCCCGTCACCATGGTTGCGCCTTCTGCCGTTACTATGCTGACCCCGTACTCTCCGACATCAGCTTCGACTTCTTTGACGTTTGGCTCCACCTCCAATCTGGTGCCTCCCTCGTTTTCAGCACTGTTTCCGGTGAGTCACTCAGATATTGATGAATCTGCGTGGATTCCACCAACATTTGATTGGTCCTCCCTAGTCACGGCACAACATCCTCTTCATTCGGCGTCTGAGGTACCGCATGTTCAGCAGCCTCAATTTGGAGGCCTCACGTTCGTTGGTGTACAGGGGCTGGCCCCGCCTCCTATTTTTCGGCCACTAGGCAGACCGGCAGCAGCCCCACAGAGTTCTCTGGAGGTGATTGCACAGTCTATGGGGTTTTCGACACCGAATGTCACCAATATTGTTACTACAAAGCTCGATGTTATTGAAGATTATCTGCCCTGACGCACTCAGTTCAAATCTTTTCTGGTGTCTCATGGACTCCTAGGGTTTCTATATGGTACCATCGCTACCCCTCCTCAATATATTTTGGATGCTTTACGTAGAGAAGTTGTGAATAATGAGTACTATTATTGGTTAAAGTTAGATCAAACAGTTCGTTCTTGGATGTTTGCTACTGTATCTCGTGATATACTCGTTGAAGTTCACACTCTACGCAATTCTGCTACCATCCTGAAACGTCTAGAATATCATTGTATGGCTGCCAGTATGGCTCACTCTATGGAATTAAAACGCTTGTTAACCACTTCTAAAAAGAAAGAAAATCAATCCATGGAGCAATACATGCGTGAAATCCAGAAAACAACTGATGTCTTGGCCACAATTAATTCCCCTGTCTCCATGAAAGATCTTCTTGAGCAAACTTTACTAGGTCTTGGTCCGGATTATGAGTTCATTATCACTACTTTGACTACTTTTCCCGAGGGGCTTACTTTTGACAAACTACAGACCAAACTAGTCGAGCAGGAGCAGCGCCTCATCTATCTTCGTTCTCAAGAAGTTCCCTCGTCACCTGCGGCGTTTGCCACTCAACCCACTGCTCCAGTTCAAGCTGGTTCTGGCCAAGAAGCGTGTGGTGGTGCTCAGTTTGCTCGGGGTCGCGGTCGGGGGTCACGTGGCAGAGGCAGAGGATACGGCCAACATGGTTACGACCAACAGCAGTTTGGTCCACCTGGGTATGGCCAACAGGGCCACAGTTCACAGGCGTGGCCGGGACAACAGGAACCGGTCGGTTACTACCCACAGGGTTACTATTCGGCCTCCACACCTCACGGACGTCCAGGTTCAGTTTTATGTAATTCAGTATTTTCATCGTTAAACATGCATCCCTATTTTGTTGATATGCAGGCTCACCTTTAGATGATGGACAGTTTGGTTCAATTCCCCCACCAGTTGTATGTCAAATTTGCTATTCCCCAGGTCACTCCGTTGTTTCATGTTCGTCTCGTTTTAATCAGCCCTCAGCTCCAGCTCTTGCTGCCCCATGGGTGATCCTAATGACGCTGTCTGGTTTCCGGACTCCGGTGCTTCTGCGCATATGACTCCTCAAGAAGGTAATTTAGCAAATAAATCTATTTATTTTGGACCACTTACTGTTACTGTTGCTAATGGAACTAATTTACCCATTAAAAATATCGGTGATATTTCCATTAATTCACTTTCCAGGCCTCTTCATTTAAAATCTGTCTATCATGTTCCACAGATTAAATATAATTTATTATCCATTCAAAAATTGTGTTCTGACAATAATTTCATAGTGATTTTTGATAAAAATTCTGAATTTCTAAAGAACAAAACCACGGGGGCAATCCTTCTCCAAGCTTCCAGTAGCGGCAATTTCTATCCCATTCGTTTGTCTTCTTCTCCAGTTGTGGCATTTGTTTCTAGCACGGCGAGTGGACCTTTGTGGCATCGTCAACTGGGACACTGTAGTAGTAGAGTTTTAGATGGTCTTAGAAAGTCTGGTCAATTATGTAGTGCGTCATCTTTTAATCATGATTGTTCTTTGTGTCGATTGGGAAGATCTCAACGATTACCCTTTCAGGATGTTTTTCATTATGCTAGTAAACCATTATTCTTAATCCATTCAGATGAGTGGCAATCTCCTGTGTTATCTTCTTCTGGCTACAAGTACTATGTTTTATTTATTGATGATTATTTTCGTTTTACCTGGATTTATCCCATGCGACGTAAAAGTGAAGTCTTTCATCATTTTCAATCATTTAAATGTCTGGTGGAAATTTATTAGATCATAAAATTAAAAATTTTCAAAGTGATGGAAGGGGTGAATTTGATAATTTAAGTATGCGGTCATTTTTTAATTCTAATGGAATTCTTTTTCGCAAATCATGTCCTGACACACCTCAACAAAATGGTTTGGCTAACGTAAGCATCATCATCTGCTTGAGTTCGTTAGAACCATGCTTATTGATGCTGGTCTTCCAGCTCATTTTTGGGTAGAAGCTATTTTGACTGTTGCTTAAATTATTAATTGCTTACCCTCTACTAAATTTGCTGGTTTTTCTCCATATAAAAAATTATTTCATCGGACACCTGGTTTCTCTTTTATGCATGTGTTAGGATGTGCGTGCTATTCAAATTTCCCTGCCACCTCTTCTAATAAACTGTCTCCTAGGTCTGTTCAATGTGTTTTTCTAGGTTATGCGTCCGAATATAAAGGCTATCGTTGTCTTGATCCACAAACTGGTCGGATTTATGTCAGTTGTCATGTCTGTTTTCATGAAAATATTTTTCCTTATTCTCAGTTAGTGTCTCGTAGTGTTTCTCAGTCATCTACTGTCCAGCCGCAGACTCTGTCCTTATTTCGCTTCTCCTATGAGTCGACCGCTGCTACTGAACCACCATGCACCCCTGTGGATTTTTCTCTAAATAATTGCTTACCAATTTCATCGATCCCCTCCCTGCCGGCTACTACTACGGCGCATTCCAGTCCGGTCAGTTCACCTGGGACTGGTACACTGGTACCTATTTCGCCGCATAGTTTAGGCTCGACGGAAACATTAGCCACGGCTGATGGGGTGATGGTCGATGTCTAAATTGTTGATGCTTCTTTGCCCAAAAATATTCATCCCATGCAAACACGCTCCAAATCAGGAATCTTTAAATCAAAAACTATTTTTAATTTAAATACTGAGATTTTGGTTCCTGATCCAACATATTTTTCCGTGGCTAATAAAGATATTAAATGGAGAGCTGCAATGGCTGGGGAATTTAAAGCACTTGTCACTAATAAAACATGGGACTTGGTACCGTTTGACTCTAGCAAAAATGTGGTCGGGTCTAAATGGATTTATAAAATTAAATATCGGTCTGATGGCTCTATTGAACGACATAAAGCACGTTTGGTTGCCCAAGGGTTTAAACAGCAAGCTGGGGTTGATTTTTCTGAAACTTTCAGTCATGTTGTTAAACCCACCATTGTTCGCATTGTTTTTACTTTAGCTATTTCTTTTAATTGGCCTATTCGTCAGTTAGATGTTAAAAATGTCTTTCTTCATGGTCATCTCACAGAAGAGGTTTACATGCGTCAACCACTCCGGTTTATTCATCCACAATTTCCTAATCATATTTGTCGCTTGCGCAAGGCCATTTATAGACTTAAACAGGCTCCCCGGGCATGGTTTCATCGTTTCAGTAGTTTTCTTCTTACGCATGGTTTTCTCTGTAGTCGTGCTGATAATTCTTTGTTTATTTTTCGTCAGTCTACACGTATAATTTATTTACTCTTGTATGTGGATGACATCATTGTTACTGGAAATTTCTCTACTCTCATTCGTAACTTTATTTCTCTATTAGGGAAATATTTTGCGATGAAAGATTTAGGGGATATTCACTTTTTCTTGGGGGTTCAGGCTGTGCGAAATTCCTCTGGTTTGTTTTTATCCCAGGCCAAATATGTGTCAGATCTTCTCACTCGTTTCCATCTTCATACTCTTAAATCGGTTCGCATGTCGTTAGCTACTAGACCTGATATTACATATGTTGTTCACTTGGTGTCTTAATTTATGCATGCTCCTCGTACCTCCCATCCAGCATGCTCGCAGTAAGCATATTGATATTGATTATCATTTTGTTCGGGAACGTGTGGCTCATGGTGATCTTTTAGTGCAGTATGTTCCTACGAAGTTTCAGTTGGCAGACATCTTCACTAAGAGTTTGGCTCCTCAATAATTTTTATTTTTATGAGACAATCTACGTGTAGTTCCTCCTGCATAGATTGAGGGGGTGTAATAGTGTAGAATCATTAGAATTAATTATTAGTCAGTATCCTGATTGTATTAGATAACTTATTTTTCTCTATTAGTAGACTCTCAGGGCTACCAATCTGGTTAAGCCTGTTCATTATTCTCACAATAATGGGATCATAACTTCTTCGTCAATATTCTTCGCTGCCTGTGCAGCACTGCTCTCTTTTCCCACCTACGTACCACCGCTATGTTTTCCTTCTTTTTTTTCATTCAAATAGTCAAATACATGCGTAGACCATTCCTTCATTTTTATTCTTGGTTAAAGGGTCAAATAGGTCCTTGTACCCTTTCGGATTGCTCAATTTACCCCCTCAACCTAAAAAAGCTCCAATTGGCATCCTGAACTCGATAAAAATATTCAAATTTCACTTTTTGCAGGTTTCAATCCGGTCAGCGCCACGTCACCCGGTAGGGTACCAACTATGCATGTGTCGTGGCAACTTAGGGGGTCAAATAAGCCCCTGAACCCGATCGAATCGTTCAATTTCCCCTCTCAACCCTAAAATGTAACACTGCCCCCAATTATATTTACTTTTAAGTAAATAATGTAATGAACCTTGTTAAACGGTTAATGAATTTACGAAGTTGTAAATTTCCATTATTTCCTTCGCGTGAATAGTATATTGCACGTGGGGCCCACACCGGGAGCGGGGGCTGCCCGACATTCCCGAGACCATATATTTTATTCATCTTGGTCTAGATAATAAATATATAGTGGTGGATATTTCATTTGGGCCATGGAAAGGCCCAGAGTTAACCGATTGGTCAAAAGAGGCCCAAATTACCGGTACTGGTAATTTAACAGATAACAACACGAACTGAATTCCGGAGGCTTATAAATTAAAATTTAGGAATGTATATTCATTATAAATGTCATAATGAGTAAGAGCACATAATATATTTTATTTTCCCCGATAAAATAAAATGTATTTAAAACAGTCCGAAAAATACAACTTTCGGGACCAATTGTACATTTCGGGACATAAAGGGATGACCTCCCACATGAGTGGGGGCCACCCTACGTTTTTTGAGCTCAAATTGATTGGGGGCTGTACAACATGATGGGAAGGAGGGTGAGAGGATGCATGAATTGGGAGAGGACATGAGGTGGGTCTATTACCTCACACTCATTGACCTAATGAGACAAAAGAGTCATTCTCACCCCTCCCCTCCATTATGCTCGTCCCTGTCATCAAGAAAAGAGGGAGAAGACTCTGCAACTCCATTGTTCCATAGCCAAACTCGAGCTCAACCATTAGAGGTCCAAAAAGAGGTGTTTGAAGAAGAAAAAGATAGGAAAAAGTGTGGAGAATTAAAGTAATGACCTTATATTAACTTTTCTCTTCTTTTTTAACTATCATATGGATTACACATCATATGAGGAGACCCTAGAAATGTTCTACATGTTTAGAAGTGTAGAATGAGGGGTTGGAAGGTAGTTTAAGTCCAAGAACGGACTTAGAAGCCAAAACGACCAGTTCACTGGAAAATAACCTTTTAGAGGTTATTTGTATTGATATGAGTTTTGTGATGATAAAACCATGTTAGGAGCATAACTAAGGTGTTTCTAGAGTTCGTCGGAGTTTCACCGGAGTTTCACCGGAGTTCGCCGGAGTTTCGTCGGAGTTCAACTGAGAAGCGTAGAATACGCTAAAAGCTCATTTAAGGTGAGTGGACATGTTAATATCTTATAACTTTCGGGTTAATTATGAGATTACCTAAATAAATGTTATATGTGTTCATAATTATGTTTAAAAGGTATTTAAACATGTGATTAGCCAACATGGTTAAGTTTGTATGAAAGGAATTAATTGTTTATGCACGAAATATGATATGAGGAATCATATATAAAATGCATATTTCCTTGAAGTGTAAGAGAAGCACAAATGAATATTATTAACTTAATATATATGATGATTAAGTTGGTATGTATAAGTCTTGAAGTGACGGTTAACGAAAACGTTGACCGATTGATGATGGATTAATTAATACCGGTTGGTATTAGTTAATTATAAATTGATATAGATGCATGGCTTGCATGAATTGAAATACATAAGTTTTATGAAGTTATTTAGCTATGAATATGATATAGACTCTATCTAGGTTGATAGGAGGTTGAACATTAAATATAAACTTGGTGGAGGACCCTAGGACTAAAAATCCTTAACACTCAAATATAAACTTGGTGGAGGACCCTAGGACTAAAAGTCCTTAACACTCACATTACAAATTTGATGGAGGACCCTAGGACTAAAATCCTTAACACTCACATTATAGACTTAGTGGAGGACCCTAGGACTAAAAGTCCTTAACACTCATGAATTATGAAATTGAAATAAAGATAAGGATGAGTCCTATACACTCATAAGTATATGGGTGTGCTGGGGTTTTTTGTCAAGAATATTGGCTATTACTATTTTCCCCAAATAAACGGTGATCTACGGATCGGGTATTTTCCAAGTGTATATATAATATTAAGTATTTCTTAACTTGGGGGAAAGGACTATTTACATAAGTATCACCCTATGTTTGGGTCTTATACTTGAAACGTTAGTTATTCTATATTTAGCTTACTACTCGTTCGGTACTTGTACTGACCCCTTCGGGGGGACCCACCATTTCAGGTTGAAGTTAAGGCTTGTCATCTACACCTTTGCACGGGTGAAGAGAATCCAGAGGAAGGCGTAGTTCGTGCTCCCTCTACTATTTCAAACGATAAACAATGCTCATGGATACTTTTGTATTAATAAATTGTTTTTGCCTGCGAGCCTACGTTTTGGCCATGTGTGGCCCACAATTGATTATTAAATATTTCCGCTATTCAATTTAATCAAAACTGTGATGTTGTTGTGTATGTTTACTACTGAGTATGAATATATTATATTCATGGACGCCTTGTATGATTAAGACACGTGGACTTGCGAGTGACGTTACTTGGTCATACGGCGGTTGTACACGCGCCTAGATGCGGGCTGGGGCGTGACATAAAAATTTTCAAAAAGTTTTTAAGGGTTGAGGGGGTAAATAGAACATTTCAGTCGGGTTCAGGGGCTTATTTGACCCCCTAAGTTGCCATGTCACATGCATAGTTGGCACCCTACCAGGTAATGTGGCGGTGACCGGCTTGTGACCTGCAAAAAGTAAAATTTGAATCTTTTTATGAAGTTCAGGGTGTCAATTGAAACTTTTTTGAGTTCGGGGGGTAAATTGAACAATCCGGAAAGGTACAGGGGCCTATTTGACCCTTTAGCCTTTATTCTTTTCTCTTTTTTCATAACAACTTTACCATTATACTACTTCCGACCCTTAAAACTTTACCAAAGTTGACCGGCACGGAGAATAATAAAATAAAAATTGTGTGGTTGAGGTTTGTGCAGAGGAGAGAGAAATAACAGAAACCACAAAATAATTGATTAAAAGGGAAAGTGTCAAAGTTTTTTGGGACGTCCTAAAAAGGAAAGATGACAAAACTTTAAGAGACGGAAGGAGTGTTTTTTCCCTTTTTCTAATAAACCTTTATACCTTAAGTATTTCTTTAAATTGTGCATTATAAAACATTTTGGGTATCAATGTTTTTTCTATTTTACTTTTAAAATGAATATTTAAGAGTTTTTTTAAAAAATATTTATTTGAATCATAAATATGTAATTGTTTCAATGTTAAAAAATATAATAAAGTTTGTGTGTTAATTATTTTTATATAATTGTGTGCTCATTATTAACATGAGTTTTGTGTTATACTGAAATGAGTATACTGTAAACAATAAAAGTGCATGAGTAAATGATAAGCACAATAATTACTTATGTTTTACATAGGTAACTATATTTATCCGCACAAAAATATAGAGCGAAAACAGGTAAATATTCCAAAGTGTTCAAAAATGTGGAATATGGCTAGGAGCAAAAAAAACGGAGTCAAAAGTCAAAAGGGATCGAAAATCGGCACTTCTGGATAAATCGGAGGCACGAAGTTGAGAGGAAAAAGGAAGTAAACATTTTGGCGCAGTAACCGGCGCCGGACACACTCCAACCGGCGCCGGTTGGATTTTAATTTCCGAAAAAAATACACATGACCGGCGCCGGTCAGGCCAGAACCGGCGCCGGTTGGGTCGGATTCTGCTAAAAACACAACAACGTGCTAGACGATTTCTGATGGGAAAACTCTATCTTCCTCAATGCTAATCAAATATTGCTTCCATATCTGATTGTTGGGTTCGAATAGACTAAAAGATGCCATTCTTTAGCCTATATAAACCCCTCAATTCATCATTCAAATACATTCCATTTCATAGATTAATTCATAGCTTTTATATTTTGTTTTTGCTATTTTTCTTCAAGTTCTTTGGAGAAGAAGCTATTTCTCTCCTCTACAATTGGTTCTAGGTAATTTTTCTTGTATGTTATTGTATTTAATTGTTTGTAGTTACACTTTTGTAATTAATATGAGCATTAGAGGCTAATTTCTTAGCTAAGGCTAGGGATGAACTTCTATGCCCACTAGGTGTTTGATAAAAGTTCTAAACCAATAAATTGTGATTTATCCTTTATATATTGATTGTTTATGACTATGGTGTACAACATAGAAGTATGTTAAATTTAGTTTATACTTGCAATTAACGTTGAAGTCTAAACTATGAACACTAAAGGATAAACATATATAGTACCGAGAATAGAAATATATACGGTCTTATATGATACGGGTGTGATGTCTTGATATTCAACGGGGTTTTCGGTAGATGAATGTAAGCCGTAACGGGACTTACACGTAACGAAAACCACGCTCTCGCTGCCTTAACCGGAGTTGAGAATATATTAGCGACATCGTATTCATAATTATTGGCAAAGAACTAATATTCAACCCTATTTAAGCATTTAAGTGATTCCCGAAGCCTTAGTTGTTGTTATCATTTATCTTGAACTCAAAGTTAGTTAACGATTATCTTGTTGAACAAAAAGTGAAAAAAACCAAAAATATAAAACACAAATCAAAATCCCTGCACTTTATTCAATTCTTCATTTAAAGTTATCTACTCTCGGACTTGAATTAAACAACGTTTCCTTGTGGATTCGACCCGGTATTTTACCGGAATTTATTACTATATCGGCACTTGTACACTTGCAAGTTCAAACCGATCAGTAAACATTTTAAAAAAGAATATGATTAGTTTTGTAAGTAAAGAAATAAATTGATAGGGCTTAATTAAGGAATTTTGAATTACTATATCGGCACTTGTAAACAATTGGATCGATTTGAATAGCCTGTTAGTTATATTGAAATTGATTGAATCGATTCAATCTGTTAAATTTGACAAAGTTTAATTGAAGCGACTGCATTGGCTAAATTTGTTTAATTATAGAAAAAAAAATTTAAAATATCTTTTACTTATAAATTTAAGAAAAAATTAGAAAATTTTCAAAACTATTCCTGAAATAAAAATTATTTACAAAAAATGATGAAAAAAAAGTAATTTACAAAAACAAGACTAAAATTAATATGGATACAATGTCATTATCACGTGATGTGAAAATTGAACATAAATTATGTGAAAAAGTAACTACTATACTCGCTACATTTAAGAGGTCATGTTTCATAAACAATCTTTATTTTAGTCATAATTATGTAGTTGTCTCAGAAAATTATATGCAAAAATACCTAAATTTTTCTTCTACAATAATAGGACCTATTTGAACATTTCTCATAAATTTGTACTTCATATTTAAGTATAGTTTAAGAATGACATAACACACTTTCACATATTTGCACCCCCCTGATTTGCCTAAATATGCAATTCATATAAATGTAAGGTCATCCTATTACTTAGTCATTACTTAGTCATAAATGTACGGTCACACAATTCGTATTAATAAATTTACCTTATATATATATATATATATATATATATATATATATATATATATATATATATATATACACACACACACACACCTTTACTTTGGAAATGAAAAAAAATCTTTGTCACGATCATTCGTGCATCAACGTGAGTGAATTACTAGCAAAACATTTTACTACATTAAAGGACTTTAACAGCCTAACAGGGAGTAATGCGGAACAGAATCTGTTAATTCCCGAGCATTGCTAAAAACTTTCATATCTGAGCTTGGCATTCCAATTCCGGATACGATAATACCCAAAAAAGACTTAATATGTCATTATCCCGTGTTGGTTTGTTGTTCAAAAAACATGTTTTAGTCATGATTAACTTTACGTGATTGTATCTAGAGTAATCAATGATAGAGGAACGAACATTGAAAAAAAAAATGTATAAAGAAGTGTTTGTTAACATTTAACAATAAACTATGTGTGTTTCAAATTATATTTATACTGTGTCATTGTGTGCTACTTACCATTTTATGGTGTTATAAAAATATGTGTACTACATAAATCATACTCCCTCCGTCCCATAAAATAAGTCTCATTTTCCTTTTTGGGTCGTCCCAAAAAATTGTTCCCGTTTCCCTTTTTGGAAAATTTTGTGTGGCTAACATTCATTTACCTTTTTCTTACTCAACCACAACTATATATTTCCACTTTATTCCCACTTTTTTAAACTCCGATCCAAATTGAAATGGGGCTTATTTTATGGGACGGATGGAGTATTAGACATCAAGATTTAATTGATTATGGGGTATAATTCTAAATGATTAAATTAGAGTTACAAATATGTTTTTTATACACATGATACATAAATCGTAATTTGTTTTTTTATACACGTGAAATTTCACCAACCGTGCATCGCACAGACAATTGTATGTTGCAGTATCAAGGGTTACCAATCGTTGTGGTTTGAAAATTCTAATTGTTGATGAAGATGAAGGAACCACTGACAAGACTCAGAATGTTGTATTCAAATAAGTGTTCAATAATGTTGAGGTTTACATGAAATGCACATTTACAATGTCATGGTTTCTACGTATTAATTGGATGTTTTTTTATCTTTTAAGCAATGGTTAGTGCTCTCTTTTTAACCATAATATTATAAGTGTGTTCGTTCATTGTTTTGATCTACATCAGTATTCCATGAAGACAGATGTTGTCATCAATTGATGGTGTAATTTAAATTAGTGAGCACAAATAAATTTGAAAGAAAAATTCTTCGACCGTGCATCGCACGGGTGAGTTTACTAGTTACATTTTAAAATGAGCATTGTACCAATTTCAAATGAGTATACATAACTTACCATAAAAATTCTCTTATAAATTATTTCTCACCCATATTGCTATATCTTCTGCTCTGTATATAGTACGTATAACATCTTTAGATAATACTTCCTCCGTTCTTTTATTGTACTAGTGAACAATATTTTAAATATAAATTTTAATAAATCAGCACAATCAGACAATCCAACCAATCATCACTTCAATCATGAGAAGAAGCCGAAAATAAATTGAAAGTGAAGATGAAAAAAATGTAAAATAAAAACAATGCAAAATGACCACAAAAAATAATATAAGGAAGCAAACACTCACCCTCACGTGTAGCTCAGCTAGTCGAGTGGTGGGAAAATTGAACCAAGTGACCAAGGTTCGAAACCCACAGCGGCCGTGTAGAGTTTACAGAACCTAAAATAATGATGGACCTTTGGTGCGCACGTGTATAAAGTCTACCGCCGTTTTACTGTCTGAGTCACCGTGATTAACCTCCCCACCATCATGTCGGACAGAGGTGGGGCCCTGGGGTTGGGCATTCAAGCTTTTGCACCAAGGAAGCAAACACTTCGATCCATATAATTGATCACAATTACAAAAACATGTTGTACAGCCAGCGGGGTAAGAATTAGGCCGTCATTTGGCGATTTCTTCTTCTTCTACAATCTCATGGAGGAATTAGAAGGCGCAAACCCCGCTAGGAAACACCCATCACTTCCCGCAAACTATGTTACGTTGGCGATGCTCAAAGAGAGATGGCTCCAGAGGAAGAAAGAGGAGGAGGAACAACTGAAGCAGCAGCAACGGAATCTGAAACCGGAACCAAACGAAGAAAGCTCAAACGGGTCAAAACACGGTTCTAAACCCGCAATCCGGAATCAAAATCGTCTCCGTGTTGGTCGCGACCAACCCCATAAGGACCTGCACGGCTCCATGAAGGAGTACGAGGAGCATAAAAGCAGCGATTCAGTGCTGATTCCAGAAAATCGGGGTATTAGTGAAACCAAGACGAAAATGGGTTACCGGGAAAGAAGAAAACCTAGGTCCCCTGGGAATGTGGAATGTCCGGCAAATGTAGCAGCTCAAATTGTCTCGAACGAGGAGAATGGTGGGAAAGACGAAGGTAGTGAGCTTCAGTTGGCTGAAAATGCGGTTGAAAGGGGTATTCAAGAGGCTTCTGGAAGAGCACGTAGTGGAAGGAGGAATGAGAGAGGAAGGTTTAAGCAAAACCGTGAACGGCAGAAAAAATTGAAGGCTCTACGGAAGGCAGAAGAAGAATTGGGAGAGATGGAAAAGAAAGACGACATAAGGTTTCTTGGATTGGCCAAACAAGAAGGAAAGGACAATGGTGAGAAGTGGAAACAAAGTGGAACAGGAAGTTTTGCGAAGAAAATTGATAAGAGTTTTCAGGATTTGTTGTTGGATGATAGAAAACATGCCAATGTTAAAACCAGGGTAACCCATCTTGGTGAGAAGAAGGCAGAGGGGAGGGATAGAAATGGTGGTGGCCAGCGGCAGAGATATTTTAATGACAGAAAAGTGCCTTCCAGAAGGATAGGAAATCAATTAATGTGGGTTAAGAAGGGAGAAACTCTGGGTGCCGATGTTGCTAGTAGTGAGTGAATTCATTCCTCAGGTATCTTCTAACCTTTTTTATGCATAATGGGTATTATTAACATTTACAAATTTTAGTCTGTTTTTGTTCTTGATTGAACTTCTATGTCCATTGCTGTCATTGAATGGTGTAAAAGTTCACATTAAACCTTCCAACACTGCTATGGTTACAGTGGTGTGCTAATGAATGCCTTAACTAAGAGTAATTTGGCATATTCAGGTTTTACATGTAGAGTTTTCAAGTGACTTAAGTCTTCCCAATTACACTCCGAATCCAGATTTAGTTCAGAGAAAAGCGGCAAATACACCATCAGACTATTAGTGGTTCTGCAATAATGCCCTTGAAGAGAAAGATCTTACAAATACGCCCCTCAACTCATTTAAATAAAGCAATTAGATCCTTTTTTTACCTGATGGTGCCGGTAAGATGGTAACTTTCTCTTGAGAAGTTCGGGCACCAATAGGTAAAAAAGGCATGGTTGTTTTATTTCAATGGGTCGAAGGGTTTTTCACTTTTTGCAAGGTTCTTTTGGTTCAGGGTCTGATTGCAGAGTCGTTATTAGTTTGAGGGCTTATTTGCTCCTATTCTCTTTAGTTTATAAGCTCATATGTAGTGCAATGAGTTTGGGTACAAGAAGGTGACAAATATTTTTTCTTTGAAATTAATGGTACAACCTCAGACCACCTCTTGGTACAATGGAATATCTCTATTATTACATTTTGGTTCCTCAGACCACCTCTTGGTACAATGAAATATCTAACTTTTAAAGGAACAACTCGAGAGGTTTCTTGCAATTTCATATGGAGATATTCCATTAGATGAATATGTATATTTACATCTATCTGCAATATGCATTAACAGGGAAACATGTGACACATATATTAATCAATATCCTATTTGAAAGTGGTATTTATAAGTGGAACTGGAATATATCATATATGACTTAAAAACCTATTTGGCCATTGGTTTTACTCTCTTCTTTTCATTACGACCATTGTACTTTCGCTCAAGCAGTTTACCCTTCTTTCGTTTTCATTTCAAACAAGCCATTATATCAGTGATTTTGTGGGATTTTTGTGTCTTCAATGAAGTTTTCAAGATTCTCCATATGTTTCTATCCCATTTAAGATTAGTAGTACTGCAAGCACCTTATGTTCAACTGCGATTTAATTTGGTTTCTCACTGCAAAACTCACAGTTTTTCTAGTTTAGAACACATTAAAATGACAACAAGCAACTTAAAGTGTCATATTCTTCCATGTGGATTTAGATACACTTAAAGTGTCATATTCTTCCATGTGGATTTAGATACTTAGCACTGCACCCTATCTATAAGAATGTTGTTTAGATCTTAGGCTTAATGGCCGTTTTAAGATTTAGATAAATGCTAGATCCCGGTTTCTTAAGGTTACTTACTTACTTGGCTGATTCGGCTCGATTTTCTTGAAGGACAAGTGTTGGGTAAAATCAGTTCCAGGCTTTCAGCCAAATCAGCAAGTAAAGTAAAGCGGTGTTTGGATCTACTTCTCAAAACTGTTTTTTGCTCTTTCAAGGAGCAGAAGCGTTTGGCTGAAAGTGTAGAAGTACTTCTGAGTGCTCCAAATTACTCTTAGAAGCAATTTTTAAAAAGTTGAGCTGGCTTTTGAAAAATTGATTCTACTTCTGCTTTTAAAAAAGAAACAGAAGTAGAATCAATTCCAAACACCCATTGAAAAGCTATTTATTGTGCTAAGGCGTGCTAAACGAGTGAGTCGAGCTCGACTTCGGCTTAGATCGAGTTGTGCTTGATAAAGAAAACCGAGTTCAAGTTTTCGTTGAGTCGAAATAAATAGTTTGGTTCGAGATGAATTTGAGTTCGAGTCGAGTTCGAGGATCGAGTTGTATTTAGGTTTTATCTATTCTAAAAATGATATATTTTAAACAAAGTTTTATTTATTATACGTTTAAACGATATGTGGGATCATCAATAATTTTTTAAATATAAGAACATTGTTTTAAAGTTTAAATTCTTCGCCTGAGCTAGTTGTCTCTACACATTAGGACTCTCTTTGCCATCTATGATTTATTTAAAGCTAAGGTGAACTAAATTCAATTAATTCTACTTAAACTGCTTGAATGTCGCTTGAGAATGTTAAATTCTGCATAACTTTTTTAGAACATTATCTAAAACGTAAGCAATATATGAATCTCTAGTATATTCTTAGTAGAGAATTAATACAATTTTTATGCATGGATCAATACTGTGCATATATTATGTAATGTCATACGCATGAAACAAAAAGTCAATACTAACTCATAATTGAATAGCTTATGTGTGTTTTGAGTCGAGTTTGTATATAGCTTGAGTTTGACTTGGTTCTGTTCAAGTCAAGTTCGATTCGAGTTTGGATCGAACGGAGTTATGTTCGAATTAGAACCGAATCGATCTCAAGTGACTTGATTTGGTTCGAGTCGAGTACTTGTTAGGCGTATTATGCTAATAAGCACAATAAGTCATTTTTGGCGACCAAACAGGCTCATAAAGTCATAAAGCACTAAACATCACCCTTGCAATGGCTCCTGGAAACCCAATAGCCAGGTCCTTGAAATGCATAAACGCTTCACTGGTTGAATATTTAAATAAATTGTATCAACTGCAAAAAAAGGGTGAAACTGAGGATTTACACCCACCCACTCGTTGATCGATGTTCATATTTGTTAGGGACCTGAACACTACCAAGAATTAGAGCCTTATTAAGTCATTTTAGTATTGTTCAATAATAGGGTTTAGGCCCTACAACTTATTAGAAGTGGGCTGGCCCATTAGAAATAGAATAAATAAGGGTGAGTGGGGATTAGATGGGGGGCAGAACTTGGGATCAGGACTGGGATATTGGGAGTGAGAGACCACTTGAAGAGTCTCAAACCTTTCCTTTCGTGACTTTCTGTATTCCTTCACTAAATTTTCATTAATAAACTACTACTTTCTTCTTGGATTCTTCCGTTACTTATCATTGGTATCAAAGCCATTGACAAAAGCCTTACCTGCGCATGGTCTTGACCCGATCGAGAATGGAGCAACGTGTGGAAAATCTGGAAAACACCCTAGCGGAAGTGAGAACTGTCGTGAATGAACTGCTTGGCTTGCGTGAGACCGTGGCCGAATTGAAGAATATCATGTTACAGGGTGACCGCCATAAGAGAAGAGGACGATCAACCACAAACCGTCGTCGCCATACTTCAGCAAGCGTGAGCTCCTTTAGTTCTGAAGGTAAATCTCATGAAACTCACTCAGTTTCACGCAGCCCTTATCAGAAGAGAATCAGCGACCGTGTATATACTGGAAGAAAGGTCGATTTACCACTTTTTAGTGGAGACGATGCTTATGAATGGCTGATTAGGGTTGAGCGCTATTTCAAACTCAACCATGTGGCAGAAGAGGATAAAGTAGAAATAATCTTGATAGCCATGGCCGGAAAAGCTCTGAACTGGTACCAATGGTGGGATGAACAGACTGATGACCATTCTTGGGTTAACTTCAAAGATGCTTTGTTCCGGCGTTTCCAACCTGCCTTAGTGCAGAATCCGTTTGGTCCTATGCTCAGTATTAGGCAAACTGGTTATGTAATGGAATACCGGGATCACTTTGAAATGGTTGTAGCTCCTCTCAAACTTGCTGACCAAGGGATGTTAAAAGGAGTGTTTCTCAATGGCCTTAAAAAAGAAATTAGCACGGAACTGAAGTTGCACCAGACCAGTGGGTTAACTGAACTGATGGACAAGGCTTTGTTGTTGGAGCAGAAGAATAAGGTGTGGACAGGGGAAAAAATAAAGAAGACAACATAGGTTGGAAGGAACAGGGAGGAAAAATGGTTAGACCCTGGAACTGGGTAGACGCAACAAAGGGAAGAACACCTGCGTTAAATCCGGAGAGAACACTTTCAGAGAACAAACTGGAGGAATCGCCAAAACCGAGTAAGACATGGGAAGGTGGCCAAAGGTTGACACAAGCAGACTTAGAAGAAAGAAGCAAGAAGGGCTTATGCTTCAAATGTGGAAACAAATGGGGCAAAGAGCATGTTTGTGGAATGAAACATTATCAATTGATCTTGAGGGAAGAGCCAGAAGAAGAGGAGGGCACAGTAGATCAATTTTATGAGCGGGATGGAGCTGAAAACTTGCTGGAACCTAATGCAAAATCAGTCTCTTATCATCCACCTTGAGGACAAGGTGGAAGTTAAAGGGGGGAGTGATGTTAGGGACCTGAACACTACCAAGAATTAGAGCCTTATTAAGTCATTTTAGTTTTGTTCAATAATAGGGTTTAGGCCCTACAACTTATTAGAAGTGGGCTGGCCCATTAGAAATAGAATAAATAAGGGTGAGTGGGGATTAGATGGGGGGCATAACTTGGGATCAGGACTGGGATATTGGGAGTGAGAGACCACTTGAAGAGTCTCAAACCTTTCCTTTCGTGACTTTCTGTATTCCTTCACTAAATTTTCATTAATAAACTACTACTTTCTTCTTGGATTCTTCCGTTACTTATCAATATTTGTGAAAATTCTTGCTGATATTGAGTTTGTTTTAAAGAAACTCATACTTATTTGTACTTGTGTTTAAGCCCAGGTTCATCCATGGAGGGAGGACATATTCATACACCTCATTAGGAAGTCAGCTCACCAAAATATGCGATGTAAATTATATACGTCGTGGAGTACACCTTGTGCACAGAAAAACATTGCTCTCATTTATCTAAGCAATTGCATCAGTCGTGTAAATACAGAAAGGGAAAGAACTGTTATCATTTAGTCCGGAAATGAATGGTTGCACTCTAGTATTATAATTATGATGACAAGCCTCTTATTTGGTTCAAATTGGTGAAATTTTGATTGCTTTGATTTGGCTTTGGTTGAATTTGTTGAAAGTAGTGAAATTAGAAAATTTTATACTTAAAATATATTGTATTAATAAAAATATACTATCGAGAAATATACTATTTTTCGACCAGAAAAGTATATGAAAAATAGAAAATCTATTTCATTTCATCAAATTCAATAAAAAAGTAATTTTAACTTTACTTGTTTTGATTATTACTTATTTTAGGTTGCGAAATCAAAAGTTATATATTTGATAAAAAGTTTATTAATGAAATTGTTATGTTGAAAATAGAATGTAGACATAGACATGTTATTTTGTACTTCCTCCGTTCTTTATTAACTATTTTGCATTCCTTTTTGCGACGTTTTTTATTATTTGTCTCTCTTTCTATTTTAAGAAAGTTTTTGATAAAATACCTCCACTTTTATTACTTTCTATTTTACTCTTACTTTTTACAAATTACTTTCTCTTTCCAATGTGCTGTATCTAGGACTTTATGATACTAGAATTATAATTAAACATTTACCATTTTGACTAGGTGATTATTATATATTTATGTTTCCTTCTAAATAATCGTCTTTTACGGAAGGATGTTTTAATACTATTATCTAATGTTTTTGCTTATAAAAGATACAAGTACTTGTATTTGTTTGTGTGTTTTGAAAACAAGTTAATCGAGTTTTAAATTGGTTACATTAATCTCCAACATAAAGATGCATCCCGAAGTGTTTTTTTTCAATACTCGACCCTACCTAGGGGTGTACTCGGGTCCGGGTCGGGCCTAGGCCCGGGCGGGCCGGTGGTTCAAGAATGGTGGACCCGGGACCGGCCCGGGTAGCCACCGGGTCCAGGTCGGGCCTCCGGTTTGGGTTTTTTTTTTTTTTTTTTGCTTTCCTAACCCCCCCCCCCCCACCCTCCCAAACCCCCCCCAAACCCATCCTACCCATCAAGCCCAACCCGGGTGGAACCCCAAAAATGAAAAAAAATAAAAAAAAAAATATCAATTTGGCCTGGGCCCGGGCCCGACCCGGCCGGGTCGGTTCACCAAAATTGAGACCCGAGCCCGGACCCGCCCTACCCCCTGGGCCTAGGCCCGACCTGGACCCGGACCCGAGAACCGGGCCGGTCCCGCTCCCGCACAGTAGCGGGCCGGGCCGGTCCACGGGCCGGGTGGCCCAACCCGAGTCCAAGCCTAACCCTACCCTACCCGACCCATTCATGCATGGGTTACCAACTTACTTTGCGTACCGCGGGTTGAATAATAGCCAACCCGAACAAATCGGGTAGGCCCAAAAAATATAGCAAACCCGTGTCATCCCGCTCGATGTGCAGCTCTAGTGGTGACTATAACGAATGATGAACTTCGAGAGCGCTGCATAGAAAACCTAGAAGTAAAAGTAATGTATGATGGTATTTTAAATAATGAGTCAGAAACTCTTTACTTTTATTGAACTTATTTTAATGGTGTATAACCTTGGCATTCAGTCAATGTGGCGGTGATACACCCATATTCCAAGTTGTTATATTACGTTGCATAACTTTTGAATGTTTATTTCTTATAAATAATTTATAATCCAAGTAATATTTTGGGAAGGGAATTTTCTCAGAGTGATCCAAAATACCATTTTGATCTTATTAAGATATACTACCTCCGTCCCGGTGGACTTTGCCAAGTGCAAAGTAGGTGAGAAATAAGAATAGTAAAACATGTGTGGTTGAGAGTTGTGCAGAGAAGAGAGAAATTTGCAGAACCACAAATTAGTTGCTTTAATAGGAAAGTGACAAAGTTTTTTGGGACAACCAAAAAAAGAAAGTTGGCAAAATCCAATGGGACGGATGGAGTATAATGATATTTCATATTTGTTATTTTTATTGGACATTTATTATATAATTTGACATATTTTTTATTCTTAAACAAATAAGTAGTATATAAAATATATTGCATATTTTTTCTTTTTAGGGAATTGAAATTGCAATTTTAATGGCAAATATTTGTTTAAAACATCTACAATCATAATTGATATTTCAAACTCATAATTCAATTTGAAACGAAATACTCAAATAATTGTTTTTATCCTTACTGTTTTGTTTGTTTTTGGTCAAAGGTGAACAAGTGTTGGGATGATTGAGCTATTTATTTGCTGTGTGTAGGGTTGGACTCGGGCCGGGCCAACCGGCCCGGAACCGGACCGGCCCGCTATTGTGCGGGCCCGGACCGGCCCGGTGAACCGGTTGGTTGGCCGGTTCGGGTCACCCGGCCCGGTGGGATGTCGGTTCGGGCTCGAGCCCTTCAAAAGGTGAACCGGCCCGGCCGGTTCGGGTCCGGGCCGGGCCAGTTTTTTTTGTTTTTTTTTTTTTGATTTTTTTTTAGTTTTTGGTTTGGGCTGAGTATTTTGGGCCATTTGAGGTGGTTAGGGTTGGTTTGGGGGTGAGGGGGAGGGTTGGGGGTTAACTAGGAAAAGCCAAAAAAAAAATAGAACCGAGGCCCGGCCCGGACCCGGGGTTACCCGGGCCGGTTCCGGGCCTCCCCTTCATGAACCGAGGCCCGGCCGAGCCCAGGTCCGAACCGGGCCCGAACCGGGCTTGAACCGGAACCGGTCCATCCCTAGCTGTGTGGATGGTTATGTATACTTGGCATGTGTTTGAGCCGTACAAATGTATGTATGTGTGTCGTAATATGCATGTATTCCAAATACCTACTGCGTTTTTGTTTTGTTTTTATGAATATGTATATGCGGACTTTGTATTATACTACCTCCTTTCTTAAATAAATGCAACACTTTGACTTTTACACTATTCACATATTCTACTTTGACTACGTTTTATTTATTAATGTAATAATATTATTTTATGGAAAAAAATATTGTTAAATTTGTCTCATTGTAAATTTTCATAATCTAATTTTTTAATTTTTTTACTAATACAAAATCATTTATATTAATGGTCAAAGTTGTGTCTGGACAAGTGTGAAATGTTGGCCGTTTCATTTATTTAAGAACGGAGGAAGTATATGTGTATAAACTTATGTATGTTGTACTTTATGTATATATGGATGTAGTAGTATGTCTATACGTATTATTTGTGTGCAGTAGTATGTAATACCATTTGAATAGTCCATTTATTATCATTATTATTAGGCATAATGGAAACTAAAAATCCAACATTTTAGCGGTCCTCTTACAATAGCAAATCATCAACCGGTCAAGGACCATTGAATGAAGATCAGGTGAAAAGGTTGGATTATTCTTGAATAATCAAAAGGTAGGTCTATTGTAAGAAGACGCTAAAAGATTGGATTATTAGTTTCCATTTTCTGTTATTATTATTTGTGTGCAGATTTTAAATCGACCTCGTTTTTACTGTAAAAGATACTTTTATTATTTTAATTAGAGTTTATACTTTTAGAATTTTATTTTATTAAGATTAACATTATCAATAAATCATTTTATTATATAGAAATATCTATTTGTATTTTATTTTATTAAACGTAATATTGAATTTTATTTGATTAAGATTAACATTATCAATAAATCAATTTATTATATAAAATATCTATTTGTATTTTATTTTATTTAACGTAATATTTATTTTATTTTATTTGAATTTTCGGAATGTCATAGTAAGTATTATTATTAGTTGATTATTATAAAATAACTACCTTTTATTTTAATTTTGTATACAATTATATGTTTGTTATTGTTAAATGGTTGACCGGTTTTATAATATTGACCGAATTTGCCCTGACCGGGTCGGGTTGACCCGCGACCCAGTCACGTGGCCGGATCGCTTCCCGGTCCAATTTTTTTAAGATAGCTCTGTATTACAACCAACTACCCATAAAAGGATTTTGGTTCATATATATCACACTATGACACTATCTTTTCTGCCCATTTAAAGTACGCATTGTTTTAATTATATGTGTGCACCTTCATTAATCATGATGTGCATCGTTTCTGATTGTTTTTATTTCAGAGTAATTATTTTCAATATCTTTTTCATGTGTATTTTTTACATTGACTCGCGGGGCAGCCTTTAAAACCCGCAAGATTTTGTTGAAAAGAAGTATGTGAGGAATACTTTTTATTTTAAGAGGCTAAATTTTGTTATTTATTTTTTATTTTTGAGTATTTGCCATTTTTGTGCTACTGTCAAGTGCAAACTTTTACTTAAATCTACACACGGCATTGTGTTCCATAAAATACACATATATGTGGTATATAGTACTCCTAACATGTATAGTACACATAATTTTTTATTGCAATACATATGAGTGTGAGTTTACTAGTTGAATAGCTTTTATTTTATGGTGTTGTCACATGTCATTTTTTCTACAAAAGATGGTGGCACATGTCAATTATTTCTCCATAGAACTCTTTAAGGGTTAGCTTTATTATACTATATAGATTTTGTTTTATATATATATATATATATATATGTGTGTATATATATATATATATATATATAATATTTATAGTATTTTACAAAATATTAAAAACATACTCCCTCCGGTCTTTAATTAACTTTACACTTCTTTATATGCCTTATTTGGCAAACAAATTTACACCAAACAGTGTCAAATAGTGTCAAACAGTGTCAAACAGTGTACTCTATAGTAAAGTCAAATTTCTTTCGTTAATATGTGTGAAGTCAAAGTGTAAAGTTTAATAAGGACTAGAGGGAGTATTAAACTTTTAAAACTTCTTTATCAATAAAGGAAAAAATAACCAATAAATAGTAAACATGTTATAAGTTGTATCAACGGACTTTTATCTTGACCCTTGCTCGAAACATAAAGTCAAAAAAGGAAGAACACGCCCAAGCTTACACTCCACTCCATTGATTATTATAATATATTTATTCTTAAGGTCGCAAGCTTATAATTTGATGTTTGACAATGGATGTTCCTAACTAATATCCACCGTTCTCCCCATTGTCTTTCTGTTAATAGTAGTCATTAGCCAAACTTCAAAATTAAACCCATTAAATTAGAAGTTTATGTGCATACATGTTGAATCTTTGTAATGGTGGAAGCTCACATTTTCTTGGTGATGAAGATGACGTGGATGATCTTAGCCCATGTCCAAGCCCCAAGAGATCATCAAAGATGGCAGCACTCAACAACCCTTACTCCAATCGCGGCCTCGACAAGTTCTCTGCACTCTTAGTTGATCTTCATGTCATGAAGCAAAAAATCTATACACGGATGGGATCAGAACAAATCTCATTTATCCGTTTCGCCTTCTCAAGCTCTAATCGAGTTAAGCCCATCATTGTCAAGACAAAGAAGAAGAATAAAAAACCTGTGATCACGCCGATTGTTAAGAAGTCAAAGAACAACAAGAAAAAACATGCTGCCTGCGGTGATTGTAGCGCAAAAGGCGAAAGTGCCACAGACAAGGGTTCATCCGAAAAGCGCACGATTCAATCAACAGCATTTCAATCAACCAAAAGTAATGAAGTTCAAGAAACTGGTGATAGCAAGAAGAAAATGTTGTCAAGGGGTTTGACTCAGAAGATGAAGTCAATGATGTACTTGCCTGTAGCTATAGTCTTGATTTTGGCTTTCTTGGCTGTATATGGAAGGACCTTGGCAATTATGTGTGTTTCCATTGCTTGGTATGTCATTCCCACCATTACCGAAAGGTCAACTAGGACAAGTTTGAGTGGCTCCAATCCAAAAAGGAGACGAAACTGAGCTACAAATTACTACGAAACTGAAAAATAAAAAGTACCAAGTCTGTAATGTTTAACTGAATTGGAGAGGCTTTGTGAGCTTAGCTTCATATCCATATTCAGGGTTTTCTAGTGTGCATCTTTTATTTTCTCGCATTAAATCGTTCTTTAACCATTTCAGTCTCAGTAGACATAAATTCTTGTGTTACCTTAGAGAGGCTAAAGGTTCAGCATAGAATAATTTGTATAAATGAATCATTTAATCAGAGTACTCATGGCATGTGCTCTGTTTGGTAACCATCACAGGCTTGCTATATTTATCAATAAAAAGAATCACAATAAACATAATAAATAGCGTTGGCGTCAATTAATATAGATGAGGAATGTCATTGTTATCTCCAGTTGATCGAGTTCGTAAGTGTATAATAACACACTTACACAGGACACAGGTATATAAATTACTCTAGCACTAAAGACCACACAATTATAATTTAAAACATGAACTAGTAACACCTCAATATTTTAAGGTTTTTCGGAACTTTCCAAAAACATTGAAGAGACTTTATTGAACCATCTCAAGCAGTTGTATTTCATTTGAATCGATAATTGTGCATGTCGCGTTTCTTGTATTCTCATGTCCGTGCAACATCAATCAAGGAAGCTCCCAATCAAGTAGAGTTAGGAACTGGGGAGCATGCATGCATCTTGTGATAACATTAAACCCGTGATTTCCATCTGCAAAGCACTTTTATGTCAATTGTTCATATAACAATGTTGAAAAATGTAGCATATACATGTTATTTTATTATGTGTACATCCGGAACTGTATAGATAGGAATTAGAGTTGATTTAGGTCTCTAATTCTTAGATTAGCTCGCAGAGTAGATAAGAATAGATAGATCCTAATATTTAGGATCTGTAACAACTTTAGTTTATTAGTAAATTTGTATATATATCATTGCCGGATGGCTCAATAATATACAAGGAATATTAATTCTTCAAACCTACATGGTATCAGAGCCTTGTTGTTTAAAACACCATAATGGTGGACACTGAACACTCTGATTCCTCCACCCACTCACAAACCCATCATCCTAACCCCCAAATTAGCCAAATGACAAATTACCAGGCCTCGGTTAATTCATCTATGCTCATTACTGGACATAGATTGAATGGAACCAACTACCTAGAGTGGTCATAGTCTGTCAAACTGGCAATAGATGGAAGAGGAAAACTGGGATACATAACGGGTGAAGTAGAGGAGAAGAAGAATGGTGAAGATGGCTACAATGTCTGGAGGTCAGAGAACTCTTTGGTAACAGCCTGGCTTCTCAGTTCAATGGATGCATCAATTGCCAAACCTCACATGTTCATGAGAACTGCAAAAGAGGTATGGGATTCAATCAAAGAAACCTACTCAGATCTTGAGAATTCTTCTCAGATCTATGAATTAAAAACTAGGTTGTGGCAGTCCAAACAAGGAAATAGAGATGTCATCTCATACTATAATGAGATGGTATCTCTATGGCAAGAATTGGATCAATGCTATGATGCTGAAGACTGGGAAAGTGCCAAGGATCTGGCAAGACACCAGAAGAGAGAGGAAAATGACAGAGTCTATATGTTCCTAGCAGGAATGAATAGAGACCTAGATGAAGTAAAAAGCAGAATACTGGGGAAGAAACCCTTGGCCTCAATCAGAGAGGTCTTCTCTGAGATCAGGTTGGAAGATAGCAGGAGGAGGGTCATGTACAACACTCCAGTACCTAATGAGGAACCTGGGGAATCTTCAGCTTTGGTGACCAGAAGTGATGACAACAAGAAAAAACCTTGGTGTGATCACTGCAAGAAACTGTGGCACACAAGGGATACATGCTGGAAACTCCATGGAAAACCACCGGGAGCTGGAAAGAAGAAAGTAGAAAGGGCCCTACAAACTACTGTGACTGAGACTCAACAAGAGGCAGGAGTTGAATCTAAACAGCTACCATTCACTCAGGAACAGATAGAGTACCTACTCAAATTCATACCCACCCAGAAAATCTCCAACCAAGAAAACCGTACCAGTTCTTTTGCCCAAAATGGTAAAATAACATCATATTTTTGTTCTGAAAAACCTAAAACACCTGGGTCATTGACTCAGGTGCAACAGACCACATGACCTACATTCCAAAGTTTTTTTCTTCTTATCAACCTCGTGCAGGAGATAAGAAAGTTAGAGTTGCAGATGGCTCTTTTTCATCCATAGCAGGGATGGGAAATATTAAAATTTCCTCATCCATTAACCTTTCCAAAGTCTTACATGTTCCAAAACTTTCCTGCAATCTTATCTCTATTAGCAAAATTACTAAAGATCTTCAGTGTTGTGTAAAAATTTTTCCCTCTTATTGCATTTTTCAGGATCTGACATCAGGGAAGATGATTGGCAGTGCTAGAGAGGAAGATGGCCTCTATACTTTTGATGAAGGAACACAAATGAATAAACAAGGTCAAGAAAAAACTTGTTTGCAAACTATTTTCTTTCCTTGTAATAATGAAGTGTATTTAATGCACTATAGATTAGGTCACCCAAGTTTTTCTTATCTGAAAATGTTGTTTCCTAAGTTATTTCTTAATAAAAATCCTTCATCATTTCATTGTGATATGTGTGCACTTGCCAAACATCATAGGAGTTCTTACATCCCTCATAGTTACAAGCCAACTAGTCCTTTTACTATTGTACACAGTGATATCTGGGGTGCATCTAGAGTTTCAACTCTGAAAGGAAAAAGGTGGTTTGTAACTATCATAGATGATCACACACGGGTCACATGGGTGTTTTTACTTAAAGAGAAATCTGAGATTGAAGAAGTGTTCGAAAAATTTTACTCAATGATCCAAACTCAATTCAACACTAATATCAAAATTGTGAGAAGTGATAATGGTCTTGAGTACTTTTCTAAGAAGTTAAATAATTTTTTTGCTGAAAAAGGGATTATTCATCAAAGTTCCTGTGTAAATACACCTGCTCAGAATGGAATAGCAGAGAGGAAAAATAGACATTTACTTGAAGTCACTCGTGCAATTATGTTTTCTGCTAAAATTCCAAAATATTTATGGGGAGAAGCTGTTTTACATGCTACCTATCTAATTAATAGGATGCCATCAAAAACTCAAGGATTCAAAACTCCTATTGATACTCTTCAAGCCAGTTTTCCTGAAACTAGACTCTTTAATTCTCTTCCCATAAAAATATTTGGCTGCACAGTTTTTATTACCAATCCTGACAGAAATGCAAGCAAATTTGACCCTAGAGGGAAAAAATGTGTTTTCTTAGGACTATCTTCAACTCAGAAAGGCTATAAATGTTTTGACCCTATAACAAAAAAGATGTTTATAACTATGAACACTGTTTTTGTAGAAGATCAACCTTTTTTTGGTACTCATCTTCAGGGGGAGATTCCTAATGAAGATGGTAATAATGTGTCACATATCCATGAAAAACTAGAATCTCTTGACATTAATCTAGATGCACAATATAATAGACAGTTAGATGCACTAGAAAATAGTCAAGAGTCAAAAGAAAATGAAAAAAAAAATCTGAAACAAGGAAAGATGATGAACAGCAGACAAGTAAGTTTTTTGGCAAGGTTTATGAAAGGAGAGTTCCAAATCACAGAATAGAGGACATCCCTGATCCTGCCACTGTCCATGAATCTGACTCAATGCCAGAAAATGACAAAGGTAATAATTTCAGTGATCTAAATCTACGTATTGCTCTCAGAAAAGAAAAAAGGTCATGTGTTAAATACCCTATCTCAAACTATCTGTCCTATTCTCAGTTATCTACATCATTTGCAGCCTTTACCTCTAGCCTTTCCACTGTTTCTATTCCCTTAACCATACAGGAAGCCCTATCTATACCTGAGTGGAAGAAGGCTGTTTTAGAAGAAATGAATGCCCTTGAAAAGAATAAGACATGGCAGACTGTAAAAGTACCCAAAAACAAACCAAGGGTGGGATGCAAATGGGTATTTACCCCTAAATTCAAGGCAGATGGTACACTTGAAAGATATAAGGCCAAATTGGTTGCCAAAGGATACACACAAACCTATGGCATAGATTATACAGAAACTTTTGCTCCAGTTGCAAAATTAAATACTATAAGGATCCTACTATCTCTAGCTACTAACCTAGACTGGCCTCTTCAACAGTTAGATGTGAAGAATGCTTTCCTAAATGGGAAGCTTGAAGAGGAAGTATACATGAGCCCCCCTCCTGGGTTTGAGGAGCAATATGGCTCAAAGGTGTGCAAGCTGGAGATAGCCTTATATGGACTTAAACAGTCCCCAAGGGCTTGGTTTGAAAGGTTTACTCAATTCATAAAGAAGCAGGGATTCAAGCAAGCCCAAGCAGACCATACACTATTCATGAAATTCTCCATTAAGGGAGAAATTGCAGTACTAATTGTTTATGTGGATGATATAATTCTTACAGGAAACTATTGTGAAGAGATTAAAGACCTGAAGAAGAAGCTTGCTCAGGAATTTGAAATCAAAGACCTGGGAGAATTGAAGTATTTTCTTGGCATGGAGATAGCCAAATCAAAGAAGGGAATTGTGGTATCCCAGAGGAAGTATGTACTAGACCTACTTCATGAAACAGGTATGAGTGCCTGCAGACCAATAGATACTCCAATTGACCCTAATCAAAAGTTAGGAAATGTCAAGGAAGGAGTACCAGTTGATATTCACCAATATCAAAGATTGGTGGGAAGGTTGGTTTATCTGGCACATACAAGGCCAGATATTGCCTTTGCAGTCAGTATGGTTAGTCAGTTCATGCATAATCCATTCCAGGAACATCTAGATGCTACCTACAGGATCCTAAGATATTTGAAAAGCTGTCCAAGGAAAGGATTATTTTTTAAAAGAAGTGACAATAGAAGTGTAGAAGCCTTTACAGATGCAGATTATGCTGGTTCAATAACTGATAGAAGGTCTACATCTGGGTATTGTACTTATGTATGGGGGAATCTGGTGACTTGGAGGAGTAAGAAGCAGAATGTTGTTGCCAGAAGTAGTGCAGAATCTGAATTTAGATCTATGGCTAATGGAATCTGTGAACTACTTTGGATCAAGAGAATGATGACAGAGTTGAATATGGAAATGGACCTACCTATGAAGTTATGTTGTGACAATAAAGCAGCCATTAATGTTGCTCACAATCCTGTGCTACATGATCGTACTAAACACATTGAGGTGGACAGGCATTTTATCAAAGAGAAGATTGAAGCTGGAATTGTGTGCACACCATTCATATCTACTAAAGAACAAACAGCTGATATCTTTACAAAGGGGCTGTTTAAACCAGTGTTTGAATTTCTTATAAGCAAGTTGGGAATGTATGATATATACTTACCAACTTGAGGGGGAGTGTAGAAAAATGTAGCATATACATGTTATTTTATTATGTGTACATCCGGAACTGTATAGATAGGAATTAGAGTTGATTTAGGTCTCTAATTCTTAGATTAGCTCGCAGAGTAGATAAGAATAGATAGATCCTAATATTTAGGATGTGTAACAACTTTAGTTTATCTGTAAATTTGTATATATATCATTGCCGGATGGCTCAATAATATACAAGGAAGATTAATTCTTCAAACCTACAAACAACAACATCCAAGTCTTAATCCCAAAAGATTTTGGGGTCGGATCAATTGTTCATATCTATAATAAAATAATTTTGTATAATTAAAGGAAACAACTTACAGAGTCAGCTAGACAGGGTTAAGCTTTTAAATAATGAAGCAACACAATCTTATTCCTGCAAATCAAGAAGCAGCTCCAGGTAAGTGGCCTAAATCTCGTTTAGAATGTTTAACTACTAAATCAGTGCATGTGATTGATGTGAAATCAAAAGGAAAATGCTTTAAAAGAAGCAAAAGAAGCTTCTGATTTTTGACCAGGAATGCAACAAATATCTTGGCTGGGAATATAAATGAAGCAGTTTATCACAGATTGAGGCCCCATTAGAAAGCCAATTCTGGCTTAGGGCTTTCTATGACTTTTGATTATTGACCAGGAATTTAAGAAATATATTCGCTGAGAATATAAATAAAACAGTTTGTCACAATATTATAAGCTAAAAAGGGTCCATAATTAGCTTTTGACTTACTACCTTGGCTAAAATAAATGTCACCGAAAAGCTTTTCCTCCCAAAAAACAGTGAATACAGTCGATCAAGCCAAAAATAACCATTACAAAACAATCCCTTAATGTAGAAACCAACCTTGAATCTCTTCCTTTGGCCATCCACATGACTATAATTGTATGATCTACTCCTCGGCGCTTCAACTCGTTCACTCCATGATTCGTTTGCAAGCGCCAATCTATCTCTTACCCCTGTTTGGTTTCTAGCATTTCTGAAGTATCCATCCTTGTCCCAAGTTACATCATAATCAGCTAGCAAGCGCGAACCCAGCTGCATGAACCACCAACTATGTGATTATCACCCTATTATACCACTCAATTGTTTTGAATTAAGTAGAATCCACAACAAAATATCTTCAAAAAATTAGGTTGTTGTGACATTATATTTGCAGGACCCAATCCTTGTATACAACCAATGTCGGATACTAAACAGCCCATTTAGTCCAAACTCCAAATCCAGACTCCGAAAACTAGAGTTTCGAGAAAACAAACCAACTCCCAGACAAGATCCCTCCAAACCATCAAATATACGGGGCCTCACAGCCATCACCGGACAAGAAATTGATGTCATGTAACATTGAGCCTAATTCACTCCAAAAAGATCCTCATAAAGAAGATTTACCTCATATTCATATAGTACACAAACTCATTATAAAAGTACTGTCACATACTCAACAAGTACGCTCTTGACACCTGCCTCCGGGCATCAAACAGAAAAATGTGGAATGTGGTTGTGGAAGGATAAAAAACGTAAAGGGCAAGAATGCAAGATTGTAATATTCAAATATTATAAATTGAATATAATTGGAAAGAAATACCTTTTGCAATGAACGGCCACTTAATGCATTCAAAGCATTGCAGAAGTCCTTGTGCTTCTCAAACCGAACCACAATCTTACATTGGAGCCCGGAAATAAAATTCCCTTCATCGCCTCCAACATCCTTACCTATATTATTGTCCTCAGCCACATCAAGGTTCCTATTGAATGAAACTATCAATGATGGTCAACATTGCTTTCCCTTTAAATTACTCAAGCACGTTGGCGAAGTACCAAACAGGGTCTCGCACTAAAAACTATCACACATACCTAATTTCCCCAAACATTGAAAAAATTGTGTGACTGACAAGCACGGAAGGCTTTGGAGACACCCTTGTCTCAGCAAACCATCGTGATGGCAAACCTTTCAACACAATTGTATCAGGCTGTATACCCGAGTCCTTTTGATATCCTACAGAAAGTAGAAAAAAAGGGAAGGGCATTAATTGGCTAAAATAGTTTAGAATAAACAACTACCGAGGAGTGAAAAGAAAAGTAGTACTAGTAGCAGAATAACAGGTCAATGAGCATGAATAATATCGATAGAAGTACTAGTAGCAGAAAAGTAGTACGTAGTACTAGTTTAAGATGACACAATATAATTAGTTAATTACGAAGTACTATCCAGCAAGAATGGTTAATAAACCATCATTGCACTTCTCAGTTTCACCTCAGCTGAAGTTTGATTATACAGCAATTCATATGTAAGCAAGCAGAAAATTGCACTTTATATAGAACATTACCGATCAAAAAAGAGTTTTATATGGACTGCTGCGAGAGGTGGTTCATTTTTCATTTCAAGCAACTAGTTGTATACTTGCATTGACGCAAAAACAATTAAAGAATGAACAATAAGTTACATATTGCATCCAAGATTGATACTTAACAAACCTCGACCTCCAAAAGCAGCAATCTCTTCCCACTCCTTCTTCATTGCTTCGAAATCATCAGATGCAGGCAGCACAACACTCAACTTGAACTTAGTTCCTTCAATATTAACATCCATACCATCCATTCCCTCAACAATTCCTCTCCTCCACTCCCGAAATTTCTTCTCGAATGCCTTGACATCGTCCTTCTCAGTTTTTGAGCTCAATAGCTTCGCAAGAAACCCTAGGTCTCGAATACAGAAGCTTCCACGAGCTACCGGCTCGTCGCGCTTGCGCTTGTTCAGGTCCTTGAATCTCCGCACTTGGAGGTCTTCCTCCTGAACGGATACGGAATGCGTATTCTTCAGGTAATCAATCAGCGACCGCTTAAGCTTCCACTCGTCGAGCGGTGAAACGGAGTTGTCAGCGCGGGAGACTGTGATTATGAGCTTGACACGTGGGACCAGTGACAGGCCGCTTTCCAGCTCTACGGTTTCCGTTGACCGGAGAGCGTCTAAGGCCCTACGGTTGATCATCTTCCTCGTTGCCTCTATCGCTATGTCACCTTTAACTTCAATAGGACTGGCTGGTTGGAAAACCTTCTGTTCTGCTCAAAAAGTCCATTAGGTCGTGTACTTAACAGTCAATTCAACGGTCAATTATGTGTGCTTACAATTATACCCCTGTCCCAACCCCAGCCATGATGACACTGGCCGGCCACCGCCCGCAGCCACGACCACATAGAGCTGATCCGTCATTAAGAGACTGACTTGGTTGATTGGGGACTAGGGAACAATTAATCAATTAGATTAGAAGTATTAATGATAGAAAATTAATGGTTGGTCATGTTTATGAAAGATTTACTCCTTTTTTTAGTCTTATTTGTGCAATTATGTTTATACATTTAGATTTATTTAGGATGACTACTATCAACTGAACCTTCCAATCCATAAAAACGCTCAAATAAGAGGTTTAGTTGGTACATAATATTATCTCCGTCCCCCTAATATTGGGACGGAAGGGAATACTACATTTGTCTCAAATTGATTTGACAAATCAACATTTTTTTGTCAACCAAAGTTATAATTAAATCCTCACTATTGATAATCATTTCAATTTTATAATTGAAATTTACATACTCAAAAACTACATTAAAATCTATATAAAACTGTAAAATGCAAGCATAATATAATTAAAATTGATATCCAAATTAAGTGAATAACATAAAACTGATTAAAGATGACGATCAGTTTGGGGTCGACGATATGTTAAGTGAATTAACATAAAACTGAATAACATAAACTCGTCCTCAAGGCAGGATGCACATCGTCCTCAATGTCAAAGACACTCCTCGTCCTCAAGGCCAATGGCACACATCATCTCCAGGACAATGACATTCATCGACCATATCACGAACACAACAAACGCAAGCGTAAGATCCATCAACTAAAGTCAAAGACACAAGGACAGGACATTCATCATCCACAGAGCCAAGGGCGCCCAACGTCCTCTTGTCCAGGACCCTCATCGTCCTCAAAGCCATTGACAACCAACTACGAGTGATTCCGCATCGACCTGGAGCGCCGTAAGCAATCGTGATGCCTCCTCGGCTGCGCAGGGGTCACACCCACCGTCCTCGAGATAAAGGACGTTCATCGTCCTCAAAATGAAGGACATCCATCGTCCTCAAGACGAAGGACATCCATCGACCTCGAGATAAAGGACGTTCATCGTCCTCAAAATGAAGGACGTCCATCGCTCTCAAGATGAAGGACATCCATCATCCTCGAGATAAAGGACGTTCATCGTCCTCAAAATAAAGGACGTTCATCATCCTCAAAATGAAGGACACCCATCGTCCTCAAGATGAAGGATATCCATCGTCCTCGAGATAAAGGACGTTCATCGTCCTCAAAATGAAGGACATCAATCGTCCTCGAGATAAAGGACATTCATCGTCCTCAAAATGAAGGACATCCATCGTCCTCAAGATGAAGGACATCCATCGTCCTCAAAATGAAGGACATTCGTCCTCCTCGAGATGAAGGACGTTCATCGTCCTCAAAATGAAGGACGTCCATCATCCTCAAGATGAAGAACATTCATCGTCCTCAAAACGAAGGACATTCATCGTCCTCAAAATGGAGGACATTCATCGTCCTCAAAATGAAGAACATTCATTGTCCTCGAAAGGAAGGACAAGAGACAGCTGACTATGGCACCGCCTCCAATTGAAATGAAGGACGTTCCTAACAGCTCAATTATGGAACCCCTCGGCCAGGAACACTAGAACTCTCGGGTAATCCTCCGTCGGCCAAAGCGTCAGAACGACAAGGATCTACTCCCTTTCACTTCGTCTGCATCTCACCTCAGAGAGTGGGGGACTCCTGATGGAGTATATGGGTCCAGACCCCATGACCCACATACTCAGAAGACTAAGAGGAGCACAACTGTCATCCAGTGGGCCCTCCGTCGGCCAGATGGCACCCCATCGGCCGAAAAAGAGTCAACCCGGAATACGCTCCAGAAGCCAAGGAGAAGACTTGTCCTACGTCGGCCAGTGCCCCCGTCGGCCGAGCGTCTCCGTCGGCCATGCCTCCGTCGGCCGAGCGCCTCCGTCGGCCGAGCGCCTCCGTCATCCATGCCTCCGTCGGTCGAGCGCCTCCGTCGTCTATGCCTCCATCGGCCGAGCGCCTCCGTCGGCCAGAAGGAATTCACAGGACTAGACTTCTAATGTAATCAGCCCAATAGAGACTCTATATTGTAATGGGCCTCCCAAGCCCAATACTTTGGAGCCCAGCCCACTTTTTCCTAATAAATATTCCACTTGGGAGCCATGTAAAGGGTTCGAAAATCATTCATACAACTTACTTCTCTCTCTAGCTCTCCCTTCTCTCTAGGAGTTAATGCTCCATCATATACACTATTAACACATAACATGTTCTAGTTTGTTTGATAACACTGAATAAGCTGGATGAGTTGATTCTGCTGAAATTTATGAAGTTTTTATTGAAGTGATTGAATCGATTGCTTAATAAAAAAAATTAGATTTAAAATATATTTTATTAGTGAAATATAAAAAATATTAAAAAATAATAAAAAGAAACTAAGAGGGCGTTTGGTAGCATTGAAGTTGGCTGAATTATCTTATCTGCTGAAAATTATGAAGTTATGACTGAAGTGGCTATATTGGCCGATTCTTCTGATTTCTGGAAACAAAATATATTTAAAATATCTTTTATTAATAAAATAAATAGATAATTATATAAAAAATAGCCCAAATGATTTTTTTTCTACATTAAATTTAGTCCATTGAGCACGTAAAATCAAAAATTATAAGTAAGAAAGTTTAGCGAAAGGGTTTTGAATCAAACTTAAGCCAAATCAGCCTCACTCAAAGGTGTCTTTGGGGGTGTTTGGATCTAATTCTTAAAACTGCGTTTCTGTTCTTTCAGAGAACAGAAGCAGAAGTTGGAGTGTTTGGGTGAAAATGTAAAAATGATTCTGTTGCTCTAAATTCTGTTGGATTTAATTTACTTCTAATTTAAAACTGCGTTTCTGTTCTTGGTCATGTTAATGAGTTTGGATAATTTGTTTTAATGTGCTTTAATGACCATTCATGCAGAAAAAGTGATTTTGAAAACTCTCCTGGGGGAAGAGTTGCACGAGCCGTGCAAGCAGCAACTGCCAAGCAAACTACAAACGCTAACAGCGCAGAACCAGCTCTTAAGGTTGTGTTTATTTTGAAACTGTTCTTTCAGATTTTGCAATACTACTAGATCTCTAATGTTTACGGAGTATTTTTTTTCTTATGTGTTCATGTCTCTCTCATTCAGTTTGCCTGTTCTATAATTGCATAAATAGGTTGTGTCCACTTCACATGTTGACCCGCTTCTATCCATTGTATTTAGTTTTTTTATGAGTCAAATGATAACCATAGCCGGCCCCAAATTCTTTTGGGAATAAGGCTTGATGATGTTTTCCCATATGATAAATTGATAACCATAGCGCTTAGGGCAAAGGGCCATGTGTAAACATTAATGGTGAATTGATGATAGACTTTTCTATGTGATTTTCAAATTAACATTCATTTTTTAATGATTATTGGAATCATTTGAAGAATTACTTGTTGAAATGCTAAAAATGAAAACATTCTTCGATTGTTCAGTTAATATTTTGAAAGTCATGAAGGACTGCTGGTTAAAGTTAATATTTGTAAAGGTGCATGACCCTTTTTATTAATATACTTCTAATCCTGGGTTTTGTGTTTGATTTGTTGGCTTTTGTTTTTCTTGTGTTCAGTGGCAAATGGGATGATGCTTTCTCATGCTAACTTCTGGTGTACTCTGTAAGCATTTCCATTTAGATGTACACAGTATCATTCATATTTTTATGTAGTATATGCTTTTTCATGGTATTATATAATTGATGTTGTTTCACATTTAGCATTATTCTTTCACAACCAATTCTTATAGGCTCTCTCATGCCACCTTTAATTTTACTCGAAACCTTTTACGCGGATCTTTTTGGACAATTGCTTTGTTTGATTTAAAAGTTTGAATAACCGTATTGAAATGAAAACCCCAAATTGGGAAAATTTGTGGTCAGCAAGATTTGCTTGAAGGCTTTTTGGGTTTGGGGATTGCGGAGAGGTAGAAAGTGAAAGGGTGATTTTTTTATAGATTATTTCAGCATTTAGATGCGTAAAGTGAACATAAAGAACTATATATAAGTACATGACCAGATTAATCATATACTTATTTCCAATCTAACACTAACAAATTTGGGATAGATTAGTAAAGAATTAAAACAAAAATCAATCCCTCTCTCCCCTTCCCCACAATATCCCAAAATCAAATAAGCCTATGGGTTTTAAATACTAGTGCAATTTATAAATTGATTCATTAAAAAAAAAGACAATCATTGGATAAGCTGTATACTGAAACTAGCATCTTCACTTATGAAGTTCTTCACTGTCACTTTCTGTATTGCACTGTCATGTGTCCATTTTTCTCATCTCTTATGCCTCGTTTGGATTATAAGATCTAGGGAATTAGGGAATTCATGTGCACTCTTAATTTCTGAGATAGGAGGCACAATGCGCATCATGTGCACCATTGGTGGGGTTTGAGCGGTTATCGGCAATAGGGTGACTTCTCCCATAGTTCCAAAGTGACATTGTTTTTATCCCCAGAGATCCAGTTCTTAGCAGTTGAAACAACTCAAACAAGACATTCTATTTTAGATAAAGTGATAAATATCTGCGAATGCATACACCGAGTCTCTGAAATTAACTACTTGTTACATAAATCATTATTCAAAATCTAAAACTATATTTATCTTCAATTGTCCTTCACAATTTTTTTGTAGGATGAACTCTTCTTCTCGAACTTCTACAGTTCTACCCTTGAGCAAAAGAAGTTTACAATAGCAGTTTTGCCATTGGTAGTTGATGTTTTTGCAGGATTTTGCATGTTGTAAATGAAAAGAACGTCAAATAACAGAATGTCAGATATTTCTAAAAAGCTCTCTCCTTCCCGGTTTACAAGTAATACTTGTCATATTTCAGCTGTGTGTTGTTTAACTGTAATTTTTCGCACATTCTGTGTATTGTATTT